ACACTTTATAAAGGAAAAGGAAAGAGTGATATTTGTGTCATTACAACTTTTCACTCTGACAACTATTATTTTATTCATCTTTCTTTGTTCAGCTCATAGAATCGATCATATTGCGGTCTGAAATGAAGCAATCGGTATAACTAAAACAGATGAAACTGTTTACAAAATTTTAGGGTACCAACAATAGGTCAGAGTATAACAGAAAATAGAGGTAAAACATTGCATGTTGACGCGCTATTTTTTACAATTTCCTTCTACTATATCTTTCATTTTTTATCCTTATTATGTAATCGTTTTAATACTAAAAACTAATGTTATTTACATTCTTCAAAATACACCCACAACATATAATATATTGCAAGTTTAAGAAATGTAGTTTCAAAATGTGACGAATTATATATTTCAAAATTCCTGTAATAGATAAACTCTTACAAATTTGGCAACGGTGTATTTTGACTCGTAATAAAATTTGTAGACGATTTCGACTAAAGAGAGATCAGAAAACAGTATCTACCTCATTTTCCCAGCGAATAATAGCAAATAGCGGGAAACCGAGAAGCTGTTGTCACTGTTTTTTCATACAATATCAACAAAATTTTCATACATAATATTAAATAATGCTATATTTTTACCATAACAATTATTAACATAATTAAATTCTTATTTAAAATATATTTGCCTACGCTCAAGGCGCCTGATTGGATCCGCCATGTTACCTCTAAAATAGAGAAAAATTTCTATCTTACCTTTTCTGCCTCGTTTACTTAATAAGAGACAGATAATTTTCAATATTGGCGTCAAAAATTTTTGATTTTATGAATGACTGGTTGTGGATGTGGATTTTTCCAGCGCGCCTCCTTCGTTTTCCCTCACATTTGTATATCTTCAACCTTCTCGAAATCATCCTTTAAAACTTGACTGGGTAAAGTTTACTAAGTCGGAGCGGGTTAACGCGCATGCGTCAATAACGTCAAATCTACACTACCCTTCCTACTCCTTCTATCCTTCGTACCCCCTTCTACCCTATTCTAACCATCCCTACCTTCTCCTGTACACTCTTTTACTCCCGTCTAATAATTATTATTTTTTATCTAAAACAAATATTTCTGTCCATTTACTGAAATTAAATACACATTGCCAACGATGCACAGTTTTTGAAACTGTCAGAACACAGAATTTGACGTTATTGGCGCATGCGCATTATCCCGCTCCGACTTGGTAAACTTTACCCTTCACTGTTCTTAGTCGGAAGTTTTTTTTGTTAACGGTAACAAATATTCGACTGGCAAATTTAAAAAGAAAATTACCCTGCCACCCAGAAGAATTGCAGAAGATAAACTATCGATGCCCATGCATATTCCCGATGCAATAGCGATCGAGTCGTACGGATCGCGGGGGTCGAGAACCGTCCACCAAAAAAAAAATAACCGGAGTAAAGACTAAAGAGAGAATATAATATAGCTCGGGCGACCCGTCCTCTGAATACCAAGGAGCGAATCCGTTGCGTGATCTGCCTCTCGTATCACCTGATTTCGTTTCGACTTTCCACTATTAAATATTATAATACCGCTCCGCTATGTGCACTATTGTCGATATGGCGGCCGATAAAAACTCACCGGCGGATTTTGTGCTCCATTTAAATCGCGCTTAAATATTCGAACCGGACCTGTTTCGGGGCCCCGTATATTAATTGGATATCCGAAACCGATTGCTCTTTTTTTATTCGTTTATATTTCGAAATACTATCGACGGTGCGATTGTATAGAAATTCTGGAATGATTCCAGTGTTGCTCTTCACCGGATCTAATATTAACATTTTCACGATCTAGGAGTGTATATTTTTAAGAATCTCATGTTGAAGAGGAATTTTTATAAAATGTGACGTTAATTTCCAATTATCCGAGCCTTAATGAACAAAAAACCCCCATCGTATCTGTTGATTTATAACGAAAGTGGTTCGTGTTTTGCGAAAGCTCGGTGTAAGTAGCCGTTTGATGTATAGAGAGCAGTTGAATTTTCCGGCAACGTTCTCCATTACCGTCGTGAAATCATTAATTTACTAATTCAATAAAATTATTAATTGCATGTGCTTAATGGTTTCTACCAGAAAATTAAGATTAATCGATTATCAGAACCGTTAGAAGTAGCTATAAGGGTCGTGAGATTGTAGATGCAATTATTTGTATAGGGTGTCCCTGATAAAAACTCTATACACTACGTATTATTTATGGGACATCTTGTATATGAAATTCAGGAATTTGTTTTTTATTGAAACTGGTAAAAGTTTTTGAGATTTCTGAAAGTGTCGTTCACCGGAAATCGGCGATTACCTGAGAAACTGTAACAAAAATGCCTGCATTTAATTAAGATTATAACCGCAAATTGATCACGAAAAAGTATTTAAACCTATGAAGGAGTTTTAAAACGTGAAACTGAAATTCCGTAGATTGGCAATTAGAATTGGAACAATAGGTCAAACTCGGTTTCGTATTAATTATCCCGACGATTTCGACAGCGGGTATAATTGGTATGAAGTCCAATCATGGCTTTATTTAGAAAGCCACGATTTTAGCTCAACGAGGACTGGTTTCAGTTATAATTTAGATAAGTCGCTAGCTAATAAAAAAACCTAATTATAAAGAGCCGTTTGTATTGTCAAACAGTGAATGTGGAAGAAGGTATAGTCGGTGCAAAACAAATATCAATGCACGTCACCTATAATTTACTACGTCACAAGTAGGCAGTGTTGCCGAACTAAACTGCTCCACAAAAGTTAAGGAAGTTCGCAAATTTTGCGATTATATTAAAAGTTACAGACTTTTTGATTCACCAAATTTTCAAATATGCGAAATTAAATGTTTTCTCTCATATCTGAGTGGATTTTTTGCCCCTACCTCTACAACTCATACTAAATTTGGCGATCAAAAAACCTGCCACTTTTAAATTAATCTCAATATTTGCGAACTTCCTTAACTTTTGTGGAGCAGTATATTTTAGAGTTTACAAAATCTAAGAATTTTCTAAAATTGTCAAATGGCAAAATGACAAGAACAAATTGAAAATTAGGAGTACCTGTTTCATGTTTCTAAACTGCGGATTTATTCAGGGGCTCATTATAATTAATCATCAAATTCCTTTATCATTTGAAATATATTTAACAGTGCGCCTAAAAACTTTAGTGCAGTTGATCCTGAAAAGAGTACATAGTGAAATTTCTGAGAAAACTTTCCTGAGAATCGGAATTATTTAGAGCTCAAACTGTGTTATTTCTAACATTTGAAAAAAGATAACGCAAAAAAATTATAATTCTTAATTATTCGGATAAATAGCCTTTAGTAGACTAGCTGGTAAACTAGAAAAAAGAAGAAAATGAAAATTTAAAGTACCCATCGGATGACAACGGCAACTATGCAACATGACAGTCAATGTCTACCAACCTAGTATAAGTAAAAAAATAATAATTTTATATACAACCGTTGAATTTTGACATTATATATTTTTTTGAATGATTTAATTCTGCTTTTTAACATTTTCTATCATCCCTTATTAATATTAAATTAAATTCTGCAGATATTATAGAGCTTAATCCATTTTGTGCATTAATTTTTAAAAATTGGTCACAATGCTTGGCAAGTATGACGACAGTAGTGACGTGCATTGATATTTGTTTTGCACAGACTATAGTACTTATATATCGCACTTTTAGAACAAACTAACTTACGATCACGAAGGAACGAATACCCATAGTCAAATAAATTGAATAAAACCTGTTATAGTTCGTGTAAAAGGCTTTTAGAATTCCGAATGTACACAGTTATGATAGATGATGTACATCGACAATGGCTGGAATAAAGCAAAAGGGTAAACCACGGTTCGGTTTTTCATGCATTCCAAATTAAATTATCGCACCGACGCCGGGTTACATAAGAAATGTGGTATTGCACCTCGCACGCCTGGCTAGTACTTGTCAGATTAAACGATAATTTGATATACGAACTCGGAAATGCGCATACGGCGTTGTTTTCTTGAATTAATTTCACATTCTCAGGTACACGCTTCCCGTTACTACGTTGTGTTCCAAAATCAATTTACATGAACCGTTACTAAGTGTTTTGGTTCGATTCGATTCGATTCGATGTGTTCGATTTTATTTGTTTTAGGAAAACCAACTTGGGAAAAAAATAGTAAACAGCCAGTTTCGTTAGAATTTCCATTAAGCGAGCAAAGCTCAACATCATTTACATTAAATTTATAATGGCAAACTTCTAAGTAATAAATTGAATACAAACAGGAATTTTAACAAAACGTTCCTGTTATACCCCATTCTTTCATCACTGTCAAATCACAAAAAATATACAGGGTGTTCCAAAATGACATGCTAATATTTAAGGGGGTGATTCCTGGACCTATTTTAAGGGAAAAACTTCATATGAACCTTTATCCTAAACGTCTTAACTTTTGAGACACAGGGTGTTAAAGTTTAAAAAAAATCAATTGTTTTGTAATAATTGTGATACTCTTGTAGATATCTTTATGAAATTTGGTGCAAGTCTTCTATGAATCCAGATAAATTTTCAGATGTATAAAAATTTTTATTATTTTCAGCAGTGGCGTCCGTACGGGTTTTGCTTTGAATATTATTGGTAAAGTGTAAGAGTAGTGTAAGAGTAGTGTAAGAGTAGGGTGGAGAGTAGGGTGGAGAGTACGGTGTAGAGTAGAGTGTACAGTAGAGTGTACAGCAGAGTGTAAAGTAGAGAGTATAATGTAGAGTGTATAGTGTAGAGTAAAGTGTAGAGTAGATTGTATAGTGCAAAGTAAAGTGTAGAGTAGATAGTAATGTGTAAAGTGTAGTGTGTATAATTAGTGATAAATGAAAGAGTGAATTACTTTTAACGATTGCTTTAATATCTCCTTCAATAAAAAAAGTCGTAGGTTTATAATACATTTTGCTTATTACTACAAAATAAATAAATGATAAAAATCTATATATTTAAATATTAAATATAATACTTTTTCAATAAAAAATTTAAAGCTAAACAAAAATAAAAAAATGTATAGCAAATCGCTACTCATATGAATTACGATTTAAATAGCAGGTATAATCCGAAAAAAAAATCTTTTTCTGTAATTTCCCGCAAAAAATTTTCAGAATTTTTACACTCATACAGGATGTTTTGTTAATAATATACAAAGTTTTCGACAGTAGCAGTGCATTAGAACTTTTCGGAGTTTCTGAAGAGTAACAAATCTGAAATTTTATGAGTAAGATTTAATTAATGTTCATAGTTTTTCTAAAATATTTTCAAGCAAAATTGTAATGCACGGCTACCGTGGAAAACCCTGTATTGAAACACCCGGTACCTCGGAAAATATGTAAGAAAATCAGATCTTGTTTATTTTGAAGCATTGTCTTTTAAGAAGTAATACAAATTAGAATATATACACGGTGAGTAATTAATGTGAAAAAAAAACTCATCTTTTAACGTAAAAAATTCCAATAAAAAATATTCACATTAAAGTTAAAAGAGTTTCAACAATTACCCCTTCATACTTCTTTAAGACAATATAATACATTAAAAGATGCAGCAAATTTGATCACACTAATGCATTTCACATCGGAAGAAACCGCTAAACAAAACTGCTAGTAGTTTGCTCCAAAAACATAGTCTGACTTTTACCATCCGAACTGGACACGTCCTTCTTATAAAACCCGGTAAAATGCCCCCAATTAGGCGGTTTGATAGGAACCACCTTAGGTTTCGGCGGCAACGGCGGCGGCTCCGAGCCGATTCTCTTATCCATCGAACTCAATCTCACCTGTTCCGCGACACCATTGGTCTCGTTCGATCTGGACGGCTTCGCCTCTTTGCCGAGCGGCGGCGGCGGCGGCGGCACCGTCACCGTGCGGTTCTCGTAGTTCGATTGCAACTCCAATTTCATGTTCTTCGCCGACGATATGACCGGCGACTTGTCGATATTCGCCGGTGCGGAATTCTCGCCCAGGTAGAATTTCGCGTTGCTCTCCGCCGGCTGGTCGTTCGGCCTGTGCTGTTGGTCGTTTTCCTTGTTTTTCAAAAAATCCGGCATTTCGAAGTTGATTTCGGTGCCGCGTTGGTCTTCGATGCGACGCTGGGCTCTCGTCAGGCCTTCTACTAGTTCTACAAATGAAGAAGTCGAGTGTTAAAAACTGGCGCAATAATGACTATACAATACTCGTTTAGTTATCGGGAGATTGGTACTTCTATACTCTTTCCTGTATCAAGAGCATAGTGTGATATTGGAACCAATACTCCTACCTCTATCAGAAGTATAGTGGGATATTGGTTCTTCAATACTCCTATCTCTATCAGGAGTATAGTGTGATATTGGTACTTCTATGCTCCTTTCTCTATCAGGCAAATAGTGCGATATTGTTACTTCTATACTCCCTTCTCTATCAGGAGTATAGTGATATTCCTGTGATATTCCTTTTTTTATCAAGATCATAGTGTAATATTAGTACTGTAATATCAAGAGTATAGTGGGATAGTTCTTATTCTATCAGGATCATAGTGTGATATTAGTACTTCTATACTCCTTTCTCTATCAGGAGTATAGTGGGATACTTCTTATTCTATCAGTATCATAGTGTGATATTAGTACTTCTATGTTCCATTCACTATCATGAAATAGGATGATATTGGTGCTTCTATTTTCCTTGCTCTACCAGGAGCATAGTGTGATACAGGGTGTCTCATAAGTTGATACTTTTTTTTAACTGCGTATAGATCTTTTAATTCTAAGCAACTTTTTCAAGTAAAATTTTTTTAATATTCTGAAAAATAAAAAAGACGGAAATTTTTAAAATTTCTTTAAATTTCGAATATTTTCCAATACGAACCTGCCATTACCTAGAAAAAAATTTCTATTGTTGAATTGCAAATGGTTCATTTTTATACAAATAATGAATTGGTGGACATGCTGATTATTTATGGAGAGTGTTTCCACAGTCTTTCCAATCAAAATGGCGGCAATTTTGAGCAGTTCCTTTAACTTTTATTGAACAGGGCCGTATTAACTAACTTTTTAATAATTAAAAATTGAAAAAAAACATGCTCTTATTTTCCAGAATATTAAAAAAATTTACTTGAAAAAGTTGCTTAGAATTAATAGATCGCAGTTAAAAAAAAGAATCAACTTATGAGACACCCTGTATTGATACTTCTATACTCCTTTCGCTATAAAGGAGCATAGTTATTGGTATTTTTATACTACGTTCGCAATTAGAAGGTGGTAATAAAACCGATTTTTGTATGCAATAGATTACATAAAAGATTTAAAGAAAAAAATCAAAAAATTTTCCTTATCTGTTCCCAGATAAAGTTACTCAAACACAGTGCACATTCGTGCTTCTGGGATATTAGATTTTAAAAGGATGTAATGAAATTATAAATTACTTACAATAAAATTGATCATCGCTTTCATAGAATTTAGATATAGTTATTTCAGTTAGGTAGTTATTAGTTATTTATCAATTATTGATCCGATAGTGCCATTTTAATTAATTTCTTTGATTTAATGTTTCAAGAAGGTTTTATTACTATCTCTTGATGGCGAACGGAGTATAATCGAAAAGGCTATACGGAGTATAATTGATAAATAATAAATATCCAAAAAGAAGCCGTACAAAAAAACCTATTTAGAGCGACTTATACTTCGGAGATTATTCGTTAAAGAATAAATTTTCGTGTCTTTACCTTCGCTTTCGCTACAAGAGAAGTTGAATTTATTGGCGCCCGTGGTCATTTTGGCGATGAGAGGTTTCTTCGTGACGATGTCGCGCGTTATTTCGGCCACGGCCGCTTTGTATTTGGCTTGGATTTTCTTCTTTTTCTCCTGCGTGCTGCACTCTCTCTTCAAGAATTTCCCCATGAACGTGGATGAGTGTTCCGAACACCAATCTTCGCTCTAAAATAAACGCGGAAATGTCTAGTTAATAAGTTAAGGGGAAAATCTTAGCGAGTTTACCTTAACGGATTCTTTATCGGATTTCTGCGGCTGGTTTACGGACGATTCGGACGATTTTTCTTGCAAAATCCCTTCAAACACTTTATTCGTGATTTCTTCTAATTTTATTTTATTAGTTATTATCCTAGACGTGGAGGAATTTACGTTTCCTTGCTTGACATCTGCAAAAGTCACTTTTAATAATAACATTTCTGGACCGAACCTATAGATGTTTTTTCTTGAATTGGCGATTCTGGGAATTATTTTTAGTTTCTTCGAATAAACAGATGGCGCTGCAGCTGCTTTATTCAGTCAAGAAAAGAGACATGGCAACACAGCATCGTCGGAAAACGTGTGAGGTGTGATTTACCAATGTCAGCGTTTTGAGCGTTTGTTGACAGAAGATATTTTTATTTTATTTATTTTGCATTTATAAGTTATTTTTTTAGATTTTATTTTGTTTGTAGTAATATACATCTTGCTCCATTTTCGATTGCAATATGGTCACTTCTATGAGTGGAACAAAGAAAGATTATTAAAATGACAGTTGTCAGAGTGAAAAGTTGTAATGACACAATGTCACTTTCTTTTTCCTTTGTAAGTGTCTAATGAAAGTTGTCTTTATCGCACTCATGGCCTATATAAACTATACAGTGAATTAATAATGATTTTAAGTTCTATTTTATACCTAGGTACGTCGTCCTAGTTTTCTAAACACATTAGAACGACCTATGACCTATTCCTATACCTCTTTAAAATACATGGTTTAAATAAATGTTTGCAAAAGAATTTAGGCTGTGATCCCAAGTCAAACAGTTTTTAACATAAAAGACCTTATCTTTCAACAAGGAATAACTCTTAAATTAATTATTAAATTATTCTCTTATTAAATTCTTTCTCAACCATTTGTCTACACCCTATATTAAAAAAAAATAAAAAAAGTAATCATTGACAATGTGGCAACGTTGTGTTTAGTTCCTTCGAATTTGTAGATGTCGCTTTATAGCTTTAAAATTATGCCATCGAGTTATGCATCTATATTGTTTGGTCTATGATAAAATTTAATTTATTATTTACATAAAGCTCTTACCGTCTTTGTATTGCACTTTCAACCTCATACCGTCTATCGCCGTCACTGGATTGTTCACGTCAACGGCAACGTTTCCGTTCAAAATCACCATTTGATCCAAGTTATACTGGTATTTGTACAAGCTGGGCCTCAAGACGTCGCTGATGATCTTCGTGTACTTGGATCTAATACTAATCATTTTTCTATTGGGTAAATCGAGCCTGAACACGACCCTTTGTTCGACGATCACCTCGCAACCGGCCAGCGATATCGAAGGATCCTCTACGTTTAAACTCTGAAAGGAAATTCGTAATAACAGCGATCGCTTTCATAGAAACTCGAGCACTCACTTTCAAATGCTTATCGGTATACACCTCGAACGATGAATAATTTAAGCCTCGTTTCTCTAGTAATCTAGTGACGAGCTCTTGTATGGTCTCCGACGATTTTATTTGTACTACAGTGGTACTGCCGCTGCTTAAAAATACCCTACAAAGGGACGTTCTCGCGACTTCTGCGATGGTGTCTTTGCTCTGTTTAATGAGATCCTGAAATCAATTAAAACGATGAAAATTACTATACAGGGTATACCACGGTCGATGGCAGGTTAGGCGTTGAGGGAAAACGGAGAGTACGATTGTTGTGAAAATTTGGTTATTTAAGTAATTGGTCCTGCTCTATCGATTTAAAATATTTTCAACGCTGCGGCGTTGCAACTTCTATCAAAAAGTAGCACCAACTTTGTTATTTTAAATGAGACACCCTGTATATTTTTACATTTTTTTACTCCGCTATTGCTTTCCGATTATTTTTGTTTAATATTTCCCTATACCTATCTTAAGCGCTTTTCGAGAAATTCATTATTATATTTAATTTTTTATTCAAAACATAGCTCCAATTAAATGTTGATTACTGCGGAAATTAGATTAGGAAAAAGCTGAAAATTTGGGATTAGCTTCCAGATGCCTTAGGTATTAGTTCGCTATAAACGTTTTTTTTTATTTATACAGGGTTGTTCAAAAATTGTCATTTTATCGCTAGATATACAAATGCTAATAAGTTCATTTTTTGAAATGGGACACCCGGTATATTTTTAAATGTTCAAAAAGATAATTAAATTCTCTTTCAAATGGTATATCATGTTCCTATACCTAAATAATCAGGTTTCCGAAATAAAAGCAAATTTCTATAAAAATCTGATTAATTTAGCGAATTTGTATTGGGTAGCTTATACCAAAATCAACCAAAAACATATACAAGGTGCTTCATTCGCTATTGCAACATGGGCATTTCTATGAGTTGAACAAAGAAAGATTATTAAAATAACAATTGTCAGAGTGAAAAGTTGTAATGACATAATATCACTCTTTCTTTTTCCTTTATAAATGTCTAATTGAAGTTGTTTTTGTTGCACCCATAGCCTATGTTGCAGTGAAAAATGGAGCAATCTGTATATTGTCAAAATTCAACGTTTGTATAATGGGTGTTAATTAATAAGTGCAACAAACTTTAGGGGGTAATTCTACATGAAAAAATAATTATATTTTGCTGTATAAACATATGTTCGCAAATGCTTCGTTTTCGAGGTACTTGTGATGTCAATAGTTGACCCCAAAAGATAAGAGGGCGTAAAAAAGTACTATATTTTATATAAAAAAATGAAAGAATAACAGGTTTCCATCAAGGATCTTAAAGTACCGAGGATTGCTCAATCTCCTTCAAGTATTTAAAATAGTTTTTGTAACGTCAATAGTTGACCCCAAAAGATAAGAGAGCGGTCGAAAGTACTATACTTTATAACAGAGTAGCAGTACTCCTGGAGCAGTTACCATCAAGAATATTAAAGAATCAATCAAAAAAGCTTTTAGAGAATGAAATTTTGTAGTATTGACTGACCTGCGAAGGAATGGCAAGATCGAGAGAAGTCAACGACGAGCCGCTCGAGTGAATCGTATCGGTATCGCCGTTTTTAGAAAAATCCACGCTGTCATTGTCCTTTTTCGTATACTCGATCTCGCCTCTATCCTTCGATTTCGATCGGTTCTTCCTGTGCCACGGCAACAACGACTTCCTTCGTCTATCCTCAGCGTTGCTGACGGATTTCTTGAGCTTCGTCGGCGACAATGCTGTTTGTACTAACAACCTAAGATAAATAAAAAAATATAAAGATAATGGTCTTTATCCGCCGCTTCGTCCTAAGGCTAATCAATCTGTTAAAGAGCCTCTTTAACCTGAACGTTGTTATGGAGTAACCATAGTCTGGTTACTTCGGCTCAATTCTCAACATTTATTCACGTGGGAATAAAAAATTTAGACATGTGAATTAAAAATTGGTATTCTCGACAAAATCACGTGAGTGTTTTCACACAAATAGTGTACGAATATTTTTACATGGGTATATCTGTGTGGATTTGAAATTTCCAATGGAATTACTGAAATGACTTTGCGCAATTGTGGTTGTATCAAGTTCTGTCGCTATTTGTTATATTGTTTTTTGATAAACTTAAACATGGAAGAAGCAACTCTTCTTAATTTAGGACTGTTAGAAGAGGCCGAGATATTGGTCTATATTTATCAATATGAAGCATTTACTTTGAAGTAAAAGGTAGAAGTAACAGATAGAAGCAAAAAGTAAGAGACAAGGGTTTAAAAACCTTGCTTCAAAGTGGAATGCTGGAGATCCTTTCACTACTTTAAGTGATAAACAATTTATAGCATTATTCATGCTACATAAAAAAGTACTATCAAATCTTTTCGAGAACTTGAAGGCCTCTTAGAGTCACTATTAATTAATAATTGTTTTTGAGCTTCTTACAGCTAGATATATTAACAGAATATAGGTATTATAGTATACAAATAGTATAGTACTCGTATAGTAACAAACCATGAAGATGAAACAAAATTAAAATAAGACATGACAAGTTTCCTGTCAATGCTGTCGCATAGTCAGGAATGTCAACATAACAAATCTAAAATGGTAAAATGTGATTGACTAAATATCTAGTTAATATTAGACGTACGTATCAAGAGTGTTTCCATGTGAAAATATATTCCACTATAACCAAGAGTACTGTGCCAGACAAGAACGTGAATAAATGTTGTGAAATTATTTCCACAACAGTTTAGTGACAGTTTTTTCGTTTAAAGGATTAGCCATTGTCAATTTCATCAACTTTAAATTTGACAAATAAATGTCAGAGTCATGAAAGTATAGCAACAATTAATTGACACATTTTATAGTACGTTCAGAATTAATTCTTAAATGTATCAATATGCTCGGCGGTTAAAACTAAATTGGTCTTAACGTGAATACGCGTTATTAAAATGTTTTCAAATTTGGGGGTTGACTTAAGGATGAAATTACCTTTAAAACGAGGTGTCACTTGACATAAGAAAAAAAGATTCAAAATGGCGCCTAACTGTAATTTTGAAAGTTTCAACTGTCATTTTTACGTCAAAAAAATAGTATTTTAACTTCAATATAAACACCCCAAATTGCGAGCCAAAAGCTCTTACCATTCAAAAGTTAAAGGGGGGGGGGGGGCGACGGACTTTTGATCCTCACTGTATAAATACTTTCTAATAGCTTACCTAACATCCAACTCCACTTTGTCCGTCTCGCCGTTCAAGCACCGTCTAAATATATCCGATTTGATGAACCTCGGATAGCTGTCGAACTTCATCAAATTGAATATTTGCTTTTGGGCCTGCTGCAACAGATCGACGCCGGCGCCCTGCAGGTGTCTTTCGACGCCCTGTCGGGCGGGCGCGTCCACGTTCACCGCCTCCGACGCGCCGGCGCTCAGGTGTTGCCTGTAGATGCGCTGCGCCTCGTTGCGCCGGTCGTTCTCCGACGTCAGCGCCTTGAAGCGCTCGCAGGATATCCAAAAGTATATGTTCTCGGCGCTGAATTCCTTCTTCAGAAATTCCTGCGCAATCCCAAAAGAAAAAAAAACCAATGAGACCACAACGTTTCCTACATTCGAATACAGGGTGGCCCTGAACTCACGCCCCCCCCCCTAGAAAGGCCTTTTGGAAACGACGATGGAGATGCCAAAACTGCAGTCAAACACATGAAAAAGTTATTCCTTTGGTAAATAAAGAGGTTTAAAATTGACCAATCCCAGTAGCAGTTTACAAACGCGAAAATGACATGAATTAGCTATACACCAATTTGCCATTATTGAATGATTCTATGTCCTTTTCACATTCAAGAGGTATGATCTTTTTTCCATCTCCGTTTCACCTATATATGATTAATGTCAAATGAGTTTTATTTGATTGCAAAAAATATGTTATATTCATCCGATTCATCATCAGAACCTGAAAGTGAAGAGTCCTCAAATAACAGTGGCAGTGATAAGTTATTGGAACTATTTTTAATAAACAAAGAAATCAATAAAACTCATGCAATAGCAGATTTCGGAATCCATTGCAAATTGCAAAACCAGCAAAACAAATTAAAAAAATGAATGCACGTTGAATGCACAACTTCATCATGGAACATCAGATCATAACCGAAACCGATCATGGAATGAAAAATATGGGTTATAATTCATCTGTCAACCAGATCCATCCTCTTCAAAATCCGATTAATCAGATGACTAATCGCTGTTTCATCGATGAGAAAAAGATCGTTGACAGTTGACAAACGTTTAAAAAATCGCTGAATAAATGAAAAGTTTGATGACATCGGTTGTTCAACCGCTGAATAAAAGATCACACCTTATGTTAAGTAAAGCTGCCAAAATCAGCTGTGACTATTGATCAAAGATTTCCTTTCAAATCGATCATTCGGGAACTCCGTCGTGCTGATACCAAACCTACAGAATTTTTTATTGCTCAAAAGTGGTTCGAATCGAATGTTGGATTTTTTGCACAATTTGGAGGCAATTCTTTGATTAATAGTCACAGCTGATTTTGGCAGCTTTACATAATCTTAAAAGTGAAAAGGACATAGAATCCTTCAATAATGTCAAATTGGTGTATAGCTCATTCACGTCATTTTCGTGGATTTGAACTCCTACTGGGATTGGTCGATTGTAAACCTATTTATTTACCAAAGGAATAACTTTTTCATGTTTTCGGTTGCAGTTTTGGCATCTCCATTGTCGTTTCTATAAGGCATTTCCCGGTGGGGCGTGAGTTCCGGGCCACCCTGTATATCAAAGAATCGTTCATAAAAGACCCCCCATTATTTGACACCAATTAAAAAAAAATATCTAAATGTATTATATTAATAGATAGTCGATGATAGTGTGCGAGTTTTTCTTGCGTGGCGAGAAGGTCACATCACGTACAATAATTTATTACAATGTTATTACTTTTCACACCCATTAAGTCTCATTTATCAACGATAAGTAATCGTTGTGTTTCCGTTGTCTTGTTAAATTAAATGCAACTAAAATTTCGTCTCGTTATAGTGCAATAATCACCTCGTTTACATTACTAGCCTGATAATGACATAAGATTCGTTTCTTTATAGGTGCTGGATTGTACACTTACGGCGAACATGTGGAGCCCCAGCGGATCGGCGAGGAGTTTCTCGAAGGACCCTTCCCAGGCCGAAGGTCCTTCGGGATAGATGCATTTCACGAAGTTCTGACCATCGCACTGCAAATGAAAAATATCGTCAATGTAGCACGCCAGTAGCATACTAAGCCGAACTGGGACATTCTTCTGCGGACAGTTAAATGACACTAAAATTAAAATCTTTATTGGACGAGAGCGAGAGCGCGAGGCATATGCGTTTTGTTTATCCAATCCTGCAATTTACAGTTGCATTTCAATGGACGGCTCTACGAGTTTGTTTAACAAGATAATTGCCCTCTCTAGCTGCTAATAGAACGGACATAACTCGCGGTTTCGTCACAGAAGGGTCTGTTTAATTGAATGCTGCAGGGGATTTTGTCGAGCGCAAGTTCACCAGAGTACAAAAACATTAAATTCGTCGATTGGAAATAAAATCTACGATTTGTAAATAAACAATCCTTTTATTCGCGGTACTTAATTATTCATCTCCCATTCAACACCGCAAATCTTATGTAAATACTCGAGACTGATTCACTTTGTTGTGTTATAAACATTCAGACATTTTAAAACGATGTAACGAGTGATGGGCTTGGAAACAATGTAAAATATCGAGAACATCTGGTAACGTTTAATTTCCACAACCTCAGAAATAAACATTGAATGCTGCAGTTAAAAACGCCCCAAAAAGAAACACCACCTTAAGTGACAGTCATTAATATGAATACGTTTAAATTTTCCACCAATTTGTTTGAATAAAAATAAAAATGTTCTTTAAATAAAAATTTCCCATTGAGAAAAATTCCCACAATTTTGCAAAGACCCGAAATAGCGACTCGGCCTTTGATAGCCCGAAAGGTTATTGGTCTGGTTCTTAAACTAGGTCGTGAAATATTAATTACACATATTTTGGATAAAAATAAATTTTGATACAGCCGTGAATTGATTAAAAATATCTCTTTAATGCTTCGGGCGTATTAATTTCGGTGCGAAAACAAACGAGATTGTGGGAAAATTTCCTTTGAATTTTACCGTTTGATCAAAATTACACTTTAAACTCGCAATTTCTCGATTAAAAATTACGCAATGTTATCAATAAATAGGATGCAATATTTACCTTATTATATTTAGTCCAATATTTTTTGGTGTTCGCTAACATTAACTCTAACATGGTATATTTAGAACTGATTCACATTTACGCCTTTAAACGCTGCAATTTTTTATTTAACAATATAAAGATAGCATTTCCTGATAAGATTTATCTTAGATAAAAGGCGACAAGATTTAAACGTTCATGGCAGAGAGTGGAAACAATTAAAAAAAGCATTCACTCTCACTCGTTACCGAAATTACAATCGCCCAAGAATTTGAGAAAAAGGAAGTGATGTATTATTAACCAAGGTTAGTAATAATAGAGGTTGTCTCTTAACTCCGATTACGTGACGTCACTGGATGATTTAACATAAAAATAGAGAACTGTTTTTAATTAATCTCAATTAACTGATCACTTAACTATCAAGATAAAAATTCAAAAGTGGATAATTAGTGGAAAGTTAGTAAAATAACATCAATTTTTGTCGCATCACGATTACGTTACGAGAACCTGTTAAATTTACAAACTATGCTTCTCTATTTTATTTTTTTCAACTAAAACACTACGTAAAATGTTATTGTTAATAAACTAACCAAAGCAAATTACCATAATCGTGCGAAATATTCATATAAAAATATATAAAAACCATGCAAAACATTACAAAAAAATAAAATCCAACAAATATTTGTGGCGTCGTATTACCAACCCAACAAAAGAAAACAATCTCGTAATACACGTCTATCTTTTCGTTATAAGAAGTGTATCGGATTAAATTACAAAATTTCATACACTTAATGCTTTGTAAAATAAGAAATATTATACGAAATTTAACTTACACGCCTATATTTATTTAAAAACTAAAGAGGCAACATCTAAGGCCGAATCTTTTGTTATACCAGAAAAAAAATTCCTAGAAAATGTTCAAGATTTTACAGTTTCCCTCAGTCAATAACCAATATTAAGATAAAACATTACCTAAGGTCCAAAGGCAAGCTCAAAGCAAAAACATATACCAACGTACCTGATGCGAATTATTTTGCATATATGACATCGATAACGGCCTTCTGAGGTATTTCTGAGAGCCGGTCCTGCGGAAGGAGTTATTGAGACGCTGGAAGGGCGGTCTCATAGCCACCACCAATTTGTTACCATCCTGGTTTCCATCTCTATGTAAATAAATAACCACATGCAGCCCGGTTAGAAAGTGAATAGATTAAACCAATTTTGTGTTTATTTTGTAAGAATGGACCCTAATCACAAAATTTGACTCAAATAGTAGATATTTCGCGATATAATAACGCCGATAATATTATGAATTATGACATAACGCATTCCGGACGGTAGATTAATTTTTGAAATACCAACAACAATAGATTTTTATTAAGTGCTTCACACGATGTTAACAAATAAAATAATTACTTAATTATTAGTTATGTACGTTGTTTTTGAATGTAAATATTATTATTACGGAAATTATTATTCATTAAAAAGTACGTAATCTTTATATGAATCGATTATTAAAAATAACACAACAAAATACTCGATTTATTGAATGATTTCTTACCCGAAAATCGACGGGAAAATGCGCAATACACCCATTTTTTTTAACAGTTAAACTAAACCGAACCGATTCGACTATCAACCCGCAATGGGAAAATCAACTTTTAACGTGTATAGGAAGGACTTTAACATTTAACTAACCCTCGAATGTGCGTCAGGTTGTTGAAACAGAAACAGTGAAACAGGTGCTTCGCGTGCACCTGACCATGTGCAATAGACCTCAACAAATGCCGTTACATAATTTTCAAAACCAGGTAAGCTAACAATTCAATTACGATCGCGGAAAACTTCATCGAAAATTCTGAGAAAATTTTCTGTTGCGCAGCCACTGATTGGTTATCGGGAACAGACTGAATTGAAGAAGAATATAAAAAACATTAAAGCGTGCATACGTTTCGTTTAGCATGGAAATTCGTTCATAACAATTCGGTTGCGGTTTTAATTGTAAATTTTTATCGATGTTTTCCTTATCGGAGTGGAAAAGGAAACCTCGTCTCTTTAATAATAATTAGTAGAAAGCGTACGATTCACAATATATGGGAATTTCACGAACACAATAAATTTATTATTACAAAAGTTTTGTGTTTATGAAGACCGTTTTATGAGATTTAAGGGCTCTGATATTTTTAACAATTTCACGCCAAGATTTAAGTAAGCAATTAAAGCAGTGAGAAATTATTTAAAAATATTCAGTAGTTTCCTATGATTCTATCTTATATCTATACAGGGTGTCTCAGAATAACTATTCCTAATTTTCAGAAATGATGAAGGGCACTTAAATAAACATTTTTTATCAATACACTAGTGTCCGAAAATGTCTCGGTGTCAAGAAAAATTAGAGGTCTTTAAAAACAATCTCGGTTTTTACAGCAGGAAAGATTTTAGTTGGTTACTTACTAAATTGAAAAATTTAATCAGAGCAACCTGTCAAAAACGTCGGTCCTTTTACAATATTCGATTTGGTATTCAGATTTTTAAGTAGCGAAAGCATCAAAATTATTTATATGTTTTTAACAGCAAGCTACATGAATCTTTAATTCTAAATTATTGTGTCTTTGTAATTACAGACCATAGGCCTTAATGCACAGTTTCTAAATGGATCGATCGGTAGAGGGGGCCCGATTTCTTGGCCTGCACGTTCACCAGATATGACGCCGCTTGATTTTTGTATTTGGGGTCATATTAAATCATTGGTTTATTGGAACAATTTTTATAACATTTAATGTTGTATTATTTTTAATACTAATGTTCCTGCTTCAATTTAGTAATGTTGGATAGAGATTCATTTTTAAATATTTCTAGTTATCTTGACACCGAGACATTGTCGGACACTAGTTTATAAATAAAAAATGTTTATTTAAGTGCCCTTTATCATTTCTGAAAATTAGGAATAGTTATTCTGAGACACCCTGTAGATATATTAAATTAATGCACTTTTTGAATAAACCATATTGTGATTTTATATTTCTATGATATATTTTAGTAATTGATAGATAAATAAATAATTTCTGATTAAACTGTGATGACTAAAGTTCTCAAAATCGGATCAAGTTCGCAATATGCGGGAGGATCAGTCACAAAAGTCACAATGTCACCATCAGGAATAATAATTAATTATTGAAATATTATTCACATACTTCACCTTTCATACCAACGTACGAATATTTATGAATTAATTTATTAATGATTACAAATTTCTTAAAAATAGGTCAGAATCAAACTTAAAATTATACATCAGTGTATCTACTGTAAAAACCGCCAAACTTCAGGATGTGATTACACAAGCAATTTCGAACAAAAAATGCCAATTTTATCATTTTCACCGAAAATTTAATGTAATTAATCAAACATAACTAAAGGTCTTCAATACTGCATTAAGAATATTTAGAGTATCCTGTACAAAAGAACCTTGTCTAGAAATCTGTATGACCAAGAAAGTAAACCACACTTAGCCCCAATTATTCTTTAGCCATTTCCTCAAGACACGCAAAACATTTTAATGGAATTGTTAGTTTAACGAACACAAACATGTATTTATCTCCAAACGATATCATCATTAACAAAGCAAAGTAATATTTTTACAATTACTTTCAAATGTACCAGGTTGGGTACCATTTGCTTGTTATTCGGTGTATTTAAACGACAAACTCCAACCATCGGATGTCATTTATACAGCATGGTTTTTTCTATTTCTAGATTTCTAGCCCACATCACATCCAGTCTAGGTCGTCAATTAATACCAATTAAGTAACACAACGCGCATTCTTTCAAATAATTCAATGACTAATTCATCAAAATCGACCGACGTGTACGTAACATTGCAATAATAATCGTACAAATTTATTTTTCTTTTACGTTTTTTAAATCCCCGATCTATTATCACGTGATAAATTTAAACCTCGAGCGGCGATGGTTTAATTGAACGATCGTTTAAGCCTAATTATTACTTTTCCCATCGAGTAAGCGCGAAAGTATTACAAAAAAAAAAAAACCATAAACTTACGCGCATGTTTCCATTATATTTCTCAATAAATCATCGACTCTACCGTTCCAATTCGTCGGGTCACAGGGCGAGGAAAAAATCCGGCAACTTTCATCGAAAAATCGCGATTTATCGCGCGGCACGTCCTTACAAAAACATACACGCATACATTACACACTATGCACAAGAAGTGTACTATACAATCGCCGTGATTCACAAATTCTTACTCAGCATTCTTTTGAAGCCGCGCTGCGAGCGGTAAGTAAGCCGATAATACGCTTGCTCCGTTCCATACGAGTATTTCAATTCAACTACCGATTATTTAAAAACGTCGACGAATTGGGTGCGTACTGCCGCAGTACGAGAACCATAACACGTTCAGTATAGTCCTTCTAAAGTCGATTTAAACGTTTAAATATAAGCTCGTTTTCTAGAGGGAATTTTCATCTTTCGGAACACGTTCGAAGAATCTAATTAATTTTTGAGTTTCGTAAATTAATCCGGAGGTTTACTTCAAAATGAGTTGGGATAAAAACAATTCGGAACATGTTATTTTATGAAGAAAATACAGGGTGTAGCGCATAAGAACCGACTTAAAGTAGTTGAGTGTAGGGGAGCCCAAAAAATGGTTAACCCCACTTAACTTAATACAAAGTTACATTTCTGAGATGTTATGGGCCTTCAAAGTGGAGTTACAAATTAAAAAAAATGTATATTTCAGTAACACTTAAAACATCTAAATTTGGTATACCTTATGTAAGAGAATGTAAGAGCATTAATCGATAGTTAGGAGAGATCAATTGATCTATTTTAAAGAGTTCATTAGGTATGATGTTCTAAAAAATTATTAGTTAATTTCATAGGTAATTTAATTTTGAAAATTTTTTCTTGTTTTTTAAAAATCTTTGCAGTTTTAATAAAAAACGCTAAAAAAATAAGATCATGTACACTGTCAATGTTACTTAAAATCGTCGATAACTCAAAAGTTAGCTGTGGAAAGTCAAGTTAGTTTAAACAACACATTTTAATCTCCTCAAAAAGTCACTTATCTGTGTCAGTTCTTATGCAGGACACCCTGTATAATCACCAGAAAATCATTATGTCAGACTCACTTTGGTCAGACTATAAGTCATACATTCTCGTACTTACGGTGTAAATCGTGAAATAACAAAGCTATATTGAGAAACCACATGCCTATGGCCTTTTACATTTTAATTTAACGGTACAATAACTGAAAAGATTATTTAAATGTATTCAAAACGCTTCAGAAATTCCCCGCGTTTAGATTTGAAATCGAATGATTCGAGGAGGCGATTCGTGAAAAATAATTAATTGAAAAAAAATATATTACCTGCGAAATGATAATTTGGACAGGATAAATTTCATCGCGAATTCGAAAAAAAAAATAACAATGTCTGGTTTGTTCGATGCAACTCAACAGTATGCATGTAATAGCTGATACTAAATGAGTAATTGCCAAATAAGAATTCATTGTTTTACTAATTTATTAATCATCAAAGATATTCAAGAGAGTAATAAATTCATTGGAAAATATTTAGTAGTTCTAAATACATAAATTAGTTCTAAATACCATTACTTCAAATACTAAATAGTCAAATTTCGCAAACTACTAGTACTAATACTACAGTTACAATTATCTGCATCAAACGACCATCAAAAAGCGATGAAGCATCGTTCAAATCACCATCAGATGACGAATAATTCATCGTTTTTCGTTAATCATAGACAACATGAAGCAAAAAAGCAAACAATTCGACACTCACCGATTCTTCGTCTTTGTTAATTCTAACATCAGGCTCGCTGTTGATGATACTTTTCTTCCTACCATCACCGTGGCTGGTCAGGTTCTGCAAGCTCCCGTACCCCAATTTGTCCCCGATGTTGAAATTATTCTCCAACGTATTCAGCTCCTCGCAGCTGTAGTTCGCCTTCAACATGTACTTGGAGTTGAGCTTGTAGTTGAAGTTTCGCTTGTCGGCGTGCTCGTGGCACGAAAGCCTGGCGGATTTCTTGGCTTTCTTCGTTTCGAAAGGCACCTTGAATATGCTGAGCAGGTTGGAGAGCTCGTTGCTCTTCGAGCTGTGCATGGAAACGTCGTCGCAGGAATCGCACTTCGAGTCCAAGTTCGGTGCTATTTCCTTCAGGGAGAGCTTCTGGGGGCTGTCGGGGCAATCGATGGCCCGTTCTCGGTACGTTTCCACTTCGATGTTTTGAGTGTTATCGTCGGAACTGTCCGATATCTTCGTGGGGACTTTCTGCACTATGTTGCCGTAACCTTGATCGTTACTTTCGCAGTCTCTAATGTTGTTTAAGTTGTTCAGTTGCTTGGAATCGTTAGGTTTGAACAAGCTCTTCTGTAAATTGTTGTTCCGGAAAGGTATATCGATGCCTTCTAGAGGGATGTTCGAAGCGTCTATTCCGGAGGGTCGGTTGATGTGGCTGTGTACCGGGAACGATCGGTGATGGGGAAACTCCACCACTAAAATTCTATCGCTGATGTTGCCGCAATCGTCTCTGAAGCCTGTAGTTTGTTCGATAAGTTTATTTATTGTAGACTTAACAGAAATTGTATCTTACCTATGCCGGAATCCGAATTGCTGGAAGCGCTGGGTTGAGGCGAATTGGCCATTAAAGGGCTTCTTAAATTCTCGTTTCTCTCGTTATTTTGCAACTTATACATGTTCTGTATCAAACTGACTACGTATAGGGCGTTTTCGGGAAATTCCATGCAATGCCCGTTCACTGTATTCCTAGTGCAGGCTATTTTGAACATCTCTGCTTTAGTCGAATGGATGTTGTGATCGATTATTTTCGGATCGACTGCAAACACGTGGCAACTGTTCGATATCTCCACAGTTTCGTTGTTGTGTTTTTTATCGAGGTTCCAGTTTTCGTTGGTTTCGTTCGCTCTCGTTTCGCTGATGGCCGTTGTTACCAAACCGAAGTACCTGCTCTCTTTATCCGCTGTAGAACTCACGTAAACCACTCGGTTTGTGGGATAAATAGCTAAAATCTGATTAGCAGAGTTCTTTAAAGTCAAACAAGTCGGGAGAATAGTCATGAGTATGGCAGTGGGAACTCTCTTTTCCTGTCTCAGTTTTCTGATGCAGCTGCAGACGGTCGGGAGTCTCGAGTTGGGTAATAGCTGTTTAGGCATTTCGATCGTGCCCAAGTAACCTACTAAAGCTTTGTATTCGATTGGTCCACCTTCTTCCTCCATCGGAGCGTTAATAAACCTTTCGGGAAGCTTATTGACTACCTAAAATTCAATTATTTTAAATAACAAATAAGAAGCTTGCAACGATAACTTACTGGTTTTGGAATAGTCTTCAAATCAAAATTTACTCTATTCAATTCCTTTCTGACTCTAGGTTTATGAGCGTATTTGGGTTTTCTGGTATTGACCATTCTGCTGCACTCCAATTCCTCGTCGCTGCTGTCGGAGAAGTAATTCTCAGCGATGGTCATCTTTATGGGGCCGATGCAATTACCGATGAGACTGACAACAGCGTCGTGGGCGATTTTAGAAACGGATATTCCATTAACAGATATCAAGAAATCGCCTGCTCTCAGGCCAGCTTGATCGGCGGGCGAATTCGCTACGATACAACTCAAAATGCACGGTTGTTGTCCCGAAATCGTGAATCCGAAACCATTGGAGCCTCTAACAACTTCCACGGTTTTGATGCCGTAATTAGGTCGTTTCTTTCTTCTCCTACTCGGGTGCATTTTCGACTTTTGTTACTAACAAACCCACACTAAATCAAGTAAACAACTAATACTAATAACGCACTTTCCCTACACGTCATTTATTTAATACAGAAAAAACACATTCCAAGCATATTTTTTAAATCGCCCTCAGGCAAAACAAATGCCATCATCATTTGACAATTTTGACATTTGACCAACACAAATGTCATGTGTCAATTCAACAAATTTGTAGCCTGTAACTAATACAAATTGAGCCAAATCATTTAAAAAAGAAGATTTTCAATCGTACAAAACGAACCTAACCTAAAAATACATATTAAAATTAGTACATAATTCAAATATGATAATTCAATCGCTTTATAAAAATATCCCTAGGCCCTTATTAATATTATCGACTTTAGGAGCAGGCGTGGGCTTCGCGACACTTATAAAGTACGCCATTTATTCTACAGCCCTAACCTAAATTAAGTTAATCTCGTAATTTTCAGGGAATATTTAGGAGGTAAAAAGTACCAAGGAATAGGCGTATCTCATGCGGAAGGGAAAGTTGTCATAGTTACCGGTGCCAATACGGGAATAGGAAAAGAGGTCGTTTGGGAGCTGGCAAGAAGGAAAGCCAAGATTTACATGGCATGTAGAGATATGAGAAGATGCGAAGCAGTAAGTTCTACGTACTTCGAAAACCACAGTTACAAAATAATTGTTTTAGGCCAGGGAGGAAATTGTTTTGGACACCAAAAACAAGTACATTTACTGTAGAAAATGCGATCTCGCCTCGTTAGAGTCTATTAGAAAGTTCGTTAAGGAATTCAAATCACACGAAAACCGATTAGATGTACTTGTTAACAACGCAGGCGTAATGAGAACTCCGAATGAGAAGACACGAGACGGATTCGAACTTCAAATAGGCATCAATCACTTAGGGCATTTCTTATTAACCAATCTTCTATTAGATTTACTAAAGGTACGTTTAGAACACTTCAATGCCTTTTATATTTATTTATTTCTTGTAGAAATCGGCTCCAAGTAGAATAATAAACGTATCTAGCGTAGCTCACAAAAAGGGCATAATAAACCAAGACGATTTAAACAGTGATAAATCGTACGATCCTGCTGCTGCTTACGCCCAGAGTAAACTTGCAAATATATTATTCACTAACGAACTATCAAAGAAATTACTGGGTTTGTTTAATATACATGTTACAGATAACTACTAAACCTAAGTTTAAGTAGGGTGGGTTTTGTGGGTTCATGTTATGTCATGTGAAATCTACTCGTATTTCTAACTTTACTCGGGTAAACCTAGGTTTAATCGTTTATCTAACTTTATCCATAACATACGTTTATCAATTTATTTAATATAATTTTTTTGTAGGCACTGGTGTTACAGTAAACAGTGTACACCCTGGTATTGTTGATACAGAAATCATAAGGCACATGAGCTTCTTCAACAGTTGGATATCCACGATCTTTATTAAACCATTTGTTTGGCCTTTCGTAAAGAGTCCTAAACAGGGAGCGCAAACGATCATTTATTTAGCAGTAGACGATAGAGTGGAGAAAACAACTGGGAAATATTTCGATAATTATGAGGAAGCTGAAGTCAGCGATGGAGCAAAAGATGAAAAAATAGCAAAGTGGCTATGGTTGACTAGTGAAAAGTGGACGAGATTGATTGCTTAACTTTAGAATAAAAATGATTTTTAACAAACAATAAATATACGTTTATTTATAACCAAAGGCTCAAATAAAATATATTTACACCAAGAATATACACTTTTAGATACATAAAAATAATAAAAAATATAATAGTTAAACATATGAACCTTAGCCGAAAAGAAATAGTAATCAAAGAAAAACTCTCTTTTTAACACAAAAATCATCAAGATTTTGGGAAAATTTTACATCAAAAACTTATCCACAATCTCTTATAAGTGTTAATAAATTCAAACTTATTTTAAACTTATCGCAAATATTGTGATGAAATACATGAAACTAATAGTATAACTTAAAATTGGCACAAAATCAGTCGGATTGCAAAGTTTATTTATGCATAGCCAAGTAAAATAACTAAAAATTTTAAAAAAACTTGAGAATATTTCAGTTTTGTTCCAAAGAAATTGTTTAATATAACGTTCTCCAGCAAATTTAAAAAAAAATAATAAATTTTAAACTGGCTCACCCACGTGTCGCAAATGCAAATACTACTGAGAAGTTTCGCTGGCGTTAGCTATAACATGAAGCTGTTTTCCCTTGCTCTTACTATACACTTGACCCGGACTAAACGGTTCCAAACGCGGATGGGAATCCCCTTTCTTCGATTTATCTAAAAACATCAGTCCAATTATAAGAAATAACAAACAAATAATTAGATACAGAGTCTGATAATGTACAATTTTACCACAAAAAACAGTTCTACCAACGGTCGTATATTATTTAGTACTACTAATATACGTGAATTTATTAATTAGGTATGTAATAACGTAAATCCTATTTATAATTCAATATTATTTAAAAAAATTAAATAAATTCATTTTATTTGATTTAAATGCTATTTATGAGTATATTCAATACTGATACCGCGCCGCTGATATTTGAATTTGACACAACTCCTGCACCATTTTTCATAACATTGGCAGATGAGTCACTCTACAGGATGTCCCTGAAAGAGTGGGAAATCTCTCGGATCTATATAGAACATAAAAAAATAAGATGAGAGGTTCCTATAAAAATTTTCCCTACAGACCCTCCCTACGATGATATGAGTCCCAGAAGGGCGCCACTGGAAATAGGTTTTCCTTAAATATCTTCTAAAGATTTATGTTTTTTAAGTCTTTATCATACAGGGTGTTGAAAATTTATGCATTAAGGTGTTAGCCTTAGCCCGGCCCTGGTTAACTAACGAAGCTAAATATGTTTCAAGGACACTAATTTTTGAGGCCCTCAGTAGTGTCCATCATATTAAATTTTTGTTAAATTATATCAAGTACTTTAGAAGATATTTAAGAAAAACCTATTTCCAGCGGCGCATTTCAAGGACGCATATCTTCGTAGGGAGGGCCTGTAGGGAAAACTTTATAGGAACTTCTCATCTCATTATTTCATGTTCTATATGGATCCGAGAGATTTCCCACACTTTCAGGGACACCCTGTACAACGATTTGAAACTGGACTGTAGGTGTGTTATAGGTTATGTTACTTATAGGTTTGTTCCTACAAAAAGTCCCTGATTTGTTACCAATAAGTTTCTGACTCTTCTATTTCGCACGCGCGGTTTATGATTGAATGGTGTAATCAAATTTCCGATTTCTTGATGGAACAGTCTTTACATTTATTACATATTCGCCAAATATCAAACAAAAACAACGAACAACATGACCTAATAATTAACCTATATTTGGAAATACAAATTACTTAAACTCGAATTGAAAATGCGCTTGCGCCGGATTCTAAATCTCTGTACTATCAGCAAATTTTTCTGACTATCACAAAACCAGTCCCTTGAACTGTTGGAACAATAAATTGTTAACCAAGTGAGAATCAGAGATGTCTGTGGAGTTTATTGGAACGCCTAAATTATTACTGCGCAGACTCCTGACGACCACCGGCTATTTCTGACTGTTGTAGGAACAAACCTAATATATCAAAAATTTACCTGAATTACCGCTTTCGGCCGGTATGTACTTGGAAATTCTAACGAGCGGCAGAGGTAAATGTCCGCTAGTCAAAGGCATCACCTCCAGCACGACCGTTTGAAATTGCTCTTGAGATTCGAATGTGACGACTCCCGCTGTCCTGCCGCACACAGCCCAAACGCTTTGCTCCGCTAACACTTCGTACATAATCGATTTAACGGCCTCCTCGGAATTGGAGCGTATGTTGTTTTCGATCGTTAAATGTAGGTGACAGACAATGCCTATTTTACAGAATTCGCTGCCCTTCGATGGGTCTACGACTGTATCTAGAATGTACAGAGTCTGAAAACGATTAGTATTAGTAATTATTAGAATAGGGAAGTTAAATATAATGAATTCAGCGACTCTGTTTAATTTTAAAGAGACTCTAAAGTCGCGTCACGAATCCCTCTAGTTACTCCATAAAAACAATGCAAATCTGTCAAGTTAAAGACGCGACTTTAGAGTCACTCTAAAGTTAAACAGATGCGCTGAATACGGGCCAATGTGTTTACCTGATAATCGGATATTTCGAAAAAATATTGAAACAATTTATTCTCGCCCGTTTGGTTCAGTAGTCTATAAACTAACGAAAACTCTGCTTTGATTACAGCATCTACATCGGGCTTAATCGACAACTCCCATATGTACGAATAAGAAGAACCGTTAGAGATAATTTGACTAGAAACGCAATTCTTCTCCGCCAATTCGCACATTTCTCCTACGTTCAAATTAACGCCCAATATCACTAAATCTACGTCGCATTGTCCGGTCACCGTGATTTGCACGTACTTCCTTTTGAGCACCGTAAATAACTTCCAAGTGGCTACTAAAGGTGGCGCGAAACTCAACGTCACCACGATGGGTTTGCTCGACCATGGTACGTGAATGGTAACCTGAGGAATGCCGTTTAGTAATTGAATTTTCGATTACAATCGAATTTACCTGTTGATCTTTCGACATGGCGTCCGCGAGTACTCTTAAGGAACGTTTGGTGCTGCTAAATGGCACGTTTGTACCGACTTCGATTTCCAAACTATTCTGCAGCGGAGCGCCTAAGTCGGTGTGTATGGAAAGACCGGAAGATGTAATGAGTTTTATTTTTGAATTCTACAATGTAAAGGAGTTGTTAAAGGTCTGCAGCCTTATTCATAGTCGCCTCCTTAAAATGATGTTAAAACACCACTAGTTAGTGGTCACTAACATCCAGTGTTGTTAAGTAGTTAACTACAAGTAGTTAAAAATGTAGTTCAACTACTTTTAATGTATTTAAATAACCAACTAAGCTCAGGAACTTAAATACATTTAACTACATTTTTTGTAGTATTTAACTACTTTATTAAAATACATTTTCAAATAATTTATTCATTCTCTATGCAGGTAACGTTTCTGAAATTTTTGAAAATATAATTTTATCCTCTAAAAATGAAAATTTTTTAGATAGATACCTGAATTGTTTTTTTACGATCTAATCTACAAAGCTTATATAAATCCCTTTGCCCTTATCGGAAACGACCTTATTTTAAATTAGAGGTAAACGCCCCAATTCGTGGAATTTTGTCATTACAAATTTAGTTTTAAATACTTTTAACTACAATTCCGATATATTTAAATACGTAGTTAAATACTTTAGAATTAATTGTATTTAAGCCGCATTTAAACACATTTTTTTTAAGTAGTAATGTAGTTAAGTACATCAAAAAAGTAGTTTTAACAACACTGCTAACATCGTACTAACAAGCCACTAACGTTTCCTATTCATAGTCGCATATTTCTTTCACACTAGTTAATGTAATGCTAGCAGAAAGATTAATGTGGCAACAACGGAAATAACTTAAAATTTTATTTTATATTGGAGATTTTTGCTATGATATTGACGTTATTGTGTCAGACGCACGTGCTGAGATCAATTGAATGGGTGATGGGAAAAAGAATAAAATTCCAGTGAACCTTACTTTTGGGAAAACCAAAAACTTTACCGCGAAACCCGTTATTTAACAAAAATTATAATTATTAGCTAATTATAAACTTTAACCAAGTACGTTTGATACCAAAGTTTGAACGGTTTATATCTCTTTGGTAACTAGCTATTGGTATTTCAAAGTACAACATCCTCTCAAAACGCAAAAATAATTAAAAAAATTAAAAACTGTTCTTTTCAACATCTTTGCCAGTCTTTTTGAAGTATTGGGACTACCAGCTTTTGAAATAAAGTATATTGGTATAAGTTATCCCTTAGATATTTACGGAAAGGTGCATGTAAAAAGCTGAAGAAGTAAATGTATTAATAAGAAATCCAGTTGAAATTCAAATATTAGCAACGATGAGATACTTAGCAAAAGGATAGTAAAAAAACAGTAAAAAGGCAGGAAAGACTCAGTGAACGCTCGATTTCACGCACTAGACGTTTGTTGACTGTTTTAAGAAATTTAATGGCTACTAACAAAAATAACATATTAGTAGCCACTAAATACAACTATGAATACGATTTTTTTAGTTGGATGTTAGTAGTGTGTTAGTAGCCACTAAATACGACTATGAATAAGGGTGCTAAAATTATACTCACTGGATCTATGCTGTAGCTTCCCATCGTCAGAATTAAATTCATATTTTGTTCGATGCCGGTCAACAAAGGCGCTGCCTTTTTGTATAATTTCAAAGACGGTTGTTCTTCTTTCACTTCGAATGCTAGTCTCGGCGTTAGAGTCGAAGAAACGAAATGCAAGTTACCCATATGGACAATTATCTGGCCCAAGAGGTGTTTACCAATTTGAGTAGCTTGTTTTTTCAGTCTTACTAAATTAAGTCCCGGAGTTATGGCCAATGGCTGGAAGAAATTCAAAGCGAAATAGTACCAAAGTAAACTTCGAATATGTAAATTACATACTAAATTGGTGATTTCCAAGCAATCCGTGAAATTCTCTTTAATTTGTTGGGGCATGCTGCTCTTCCTCCTCAATTCGGTGAATTTCGATGACACCCCGGCAGCGGCCAATTGCCTATCTTGTTTGAAATCTAAATTTTTCCTCATTTTAACTCTCTGCAATATCATATCGGGCGATTGCATGTCCTTGTTGGTCAACAATCTACCGGCAAATATCTTCTCCTGAGTTTTCTTGCTATCTTTGGTAAACTCGCAGGCGCTTTCCAATGTAACGGCCACTTTCGTACAAAGGATTTCCTTAGGAAAGTTCGATTCGATCAGTAATTCTACGTTAATGTCATTGTCTTGCATTACGTCGCCCTCGTTTTTTATATACACGCTTAAAATCTGCAAAAATATTCTCATAAACAACCATAAATATGTAACTAAAACAGATGAAATTGTTAACAAAATTTTAGGGTACCAACAATAGGTCAGAATCTAACAGAAAATAGAGGTAAAACATTGCATGTTGACGTGCTATTTTTTACAATTTTCTTCTGCTATATTTTTAATTTTTATATTCTTATTGTGTAATCGTATTAATACTAAAAACTAATGTTATTTACATTCTTCAAAATACACCCACAACATATAATAGATTGCAAGTTTAAGAAATATAGTTTCAAAATGTGACGAATTATGTATTATAAACTCTTACAAATTTGGCAACGGTGTACTTTGGCTCGTAGTAAAATTTGTAGACGATTTCGACTAAAGAGAGATCTGAGAACAGTATCTATTTTATTTTCCCAGCGAATAGTAGCAAATAGAGGGAAACCGGGAAGCAGTTAAATATTATTATATTTTTACCATAACTATTCTTAACTTAATTAAATTCGCATTTAAAATATATTTGCCTACGCTTAAGGCGCCTGATTGGATCCGCCATGTTACCTCTATTTTTTCTATCTAACTTTTTCTGCCCCGTTTACTTAATAAGTGACAGATAATTTTCAATGTTGGCGTCAAAAATTTTTGAATTTATGAATGACTGATTGGGGATGTGTAAACAACATATACAGTGAGGGCCAAAAGTCTGTGGCCCCCCTTTAACTTTTGAATGGAAAGAGCTTTTGTCGCGAAATTTGGGGTGTTTATATTGGAGTAAAAATTCTATTTTTGACGTAAAAATGACAGTTGAAACTTTCAAAATGACAGGCACCATTTTGAATCTTTTTTTCTTATGGAAAGGGGGGTCAAGTGACACCTCGTTTTAAAGGTAATTTCATTCTTAAGTCAACCCCCAAATTTCAAAACATTTTAATAACGCGTATTCACGTGAACACCAATTTAGTTTCAACCCCCGGGCATATTGATACATTTAAGAACTAATTCTGAACGTACTATAAAACGTGTCAATTAATTGTTGCTATGGTTTCTTGGCTCTGACATTTATTTGTCAAATTTAAAGTTGATGAAATTGACAATGGCTCGTCCTTTAAACGAAAAAACTGTCACTGTCAAGGACCAATAGCGAGTAGCAGTAATCACTTTCAAATCATTTCAAAATAATTTTGAATTACCTTCCTAAAATTTTATACTTGTTAATTTTAAAACTTAAATTCTTCGACTTAAAATTGATTGAATTAATTGTGTTTGATAACCTTAATTTGCAAGTATCAAAAGTAGCCAATCAGACATCAAAACGACTCTTTCGTGAAAGAAAGATTATTAAAATAACAGTTGTCAGAGTGAAAAGTTGCAATGACATAATATCACTCTTTCTTTTTTCCTTTATAAGCGTCTAATTGAAGTTGTCTTTGTTGCCCCCACAGCCTATGTTGCAATGAACAATGAAGCAATCTGTATATTGTAAACAACATATCGCAACCAATCGGAGTATAGCTCACTTTAAAAATATCATTAAAAGGCACGATCAGGGGCTCCTTCAGCAATTTCACGCATTTGCACATGTCGTCAAAGTAAGTCCAACGTATCAGCGTGTCGATTTCGTGAGCAGCGCTGACGGCCGCGCATGCTCTCGCGTACTTCCTCGCATCGTCCGCTTTCAGATAGCATTCGGCCAGTTCGATCTGCGTTTGAGCGGCCAATTCGCGCCAACCGTCCTGCTCGAACGTCTTCAGGACGTCGCTGAGAAACGCCGCCGCCTTCTGCGTCTCGCCGACGAGCATGTAGAACGAGGCCAGCTCGCGACCGACGAGCCGAGCCGATCGCAGGCGACCGATGTGCTTGTACGTGCCCATGGCGAGTTCGGCTAACTCCTACGAAATAGCCGGGAATTAATAGAGGTACTGGAAGTTGAATGTAGACGCCTTACTAGGTACATTTTGTTGAAAGCTTCTTTTGAACACAGAGCGATTTTTAGTTTGTCAGTAGGCGATGGACTGTCGGATGTACCTGGATTGTCTCCCATTCCGGCTGATAACTCGACGACCATATGGAGTTGTTCGGATGCGGGCGAATCTCCCGGCATTAGGCCGCACAATTCACCCAAACTTCGAATCTACAGTACATAATTAGGGCTATATTACTATCTTCTAATAAAGCCACAGTAGGTATTAAATTACCTTCTGGCTGGCGTATTCCCAAACGCCGGCCGTATGTAAAGAGTATTCTTCGACTTCCTCGGCATGGTTGTGTTTATCACAAGTAACAAGAACCTCCATAGCGGCTAGAAATAGCCAACAATCCACAGCACCGGGCGGAGCAGTTACTTCTAAAATTACCAATTCCTTAGAGCAAGTGTGCAAAAATGGTAAAGAGCGAGACGCCATCTAAAACACCAATTAAATAAATATAAATTCAATGCATCGAATAAACGCGCGTTGTACCTCCCAGACTTTTTTCGTGAGCAGCAGCATGTGAGCTTGTTTAGCGAATAAGTAAGCTCTTAGTTCTAGTAGAGATGGTTCGTTGGATAGTTTGGAATATCCGAGTTTGAGTCCGTGCCATCTTGCCAAAGGTTTCTGGAAGTTGCTCAGCCAACCTACGCTATCGCTTGTTATTCCATTGGCTACAAATTGAGAAAACAGGGCGTCCAATTCGTCGTATTGGATCAAAGCTTCATCGTAGAGCTGGAGCATTTCCAGGACTTGAGCTAATTCTTCCTAAAACGGTTACAAATTCACATACATAAGTTTTAATGATTACAAAGTGGTTACCTGTAGCGAGAAATAGTGCATAAAATCCCAACTCGGTTCGTTTCTTCTCTCTCTTTGTTGTCGCACATGTTCTTCTAATCTATATATCGCTTTAGCATATGCCGTTAATAGTAAATGTCTAATTCTATTGACTAAGCCTCGCCATGAATCAGCAGAACGAGATTCGATTTTTCCAGGATTTATCACAGACACACAGCGGTCACCTAAAGATAAATTACAGTAATTATCGATGTTAAACATGTTTGGGTTGGGAAAATTAGTAAGGTACCTTGTTTCGGGGCAAAATCGGCTCTAATTTTATCTAACACTGTTGTTCTCGGCAATAATTTATTTGTACGTTTCCCATCGAAATTTTCAACAACTACTATTAACCAATCAACGATATCCTTGCTACTTAATTCTTTAAGCCAACTTTCAATGTCTTCCTTAATACTACTTTTGTAAATTTCCACATCCTTAAAACAATAACGTAAATTACTAGATTACACTAGTGGATTTTAAGTAAACGTACAGAACAGTCCGTCCAATAAACATGAAACACGGGCTGCCGAATTAAGTCCCAACTGTTGGGTTTAGGTAAAGCAGCTGGGCTATACGGTACGAAAACCCCTCCAATATGGACTGATCGTACTGGCCTGCCAAATGATCTCCTCCATTCGTGACTATCCTGAGGCAATGCATCAGACAAATTATCTTCTATTAGAGAGAACACTTCTATTTCTCCAGCGCCTAAAACCACGTAATTATAACCACCAGTAACTCGCGTAAATTTCAAATATTTTACATGTTATAATAGGTCTTCGGTCAATTTGTGACCCTTCTTCATTTAAATGACTTCCATTCATTTCTGATCGAAAAATTTATCCAGGAGGAACAACGTATATCATTTTTACACTAATTGCACAGGTTTATGCAGCTTTTCACGCACATCACGATAAAAGTACAAAAGTACAACGCATCGTTCTAATACAATTGCATTACAATTACAAATATTAATGTTATTCTATTCGATTACTTTCATAACCCTTCCAAAAAAATTGACGTTTATTGACAATCAACTGACGTGTGAACTGTGAAGTTGACACTTGTTTGAACGAAATTTATAAGATATATTTTGAATTATCTAATATATCATGTTGGGGAATACATTAAAAAAATAAGTGCTTGGATCAATTTTAAATAATGTTTGTCTTATTTTATAGGAAAAGTAAAAGAGACTCGTGCATTGAGTCGGGGAACCAACGAGGAAGAGGCCTCTCAAGATGAAGTTGAAGAAATTTATAAGCAACATTGTCGAATGTCACAAATTTCAGTAAAAATGCTAGTTACATTAAAATTAATAATGAAATTTATGCATAAATTCAATTAAATAAAAATCCAAATTTATTAAATAACCGTTACGATTTGTTTTAATTACAAATTGGAATGAAATTATGACTAAATACAGTGCTAATGAAGTTATTGATTAGCTGGTTTATTTGTTTACAAGGAAATGTGGCAACAAGTATTATTATTGAATCATAAAGTGGCGAAACGAAAGGCGAAAAGGAGGGATCTGGTATCTGGTGGCACCTACACATTTATTTTATTAGTTGCTCCATGAGTTAGGCCAGGCCAGGCCAAAGACCCCTCTACTTCTTACCTAATTATATTTGAAGTGCCCGACAGAAGCTGAGCTGATAAAGTAAATCATGCCGCTGTTCTGTTTAGTGCGAGCGATGTATTTTAAAACTCTCTTTAAGTGCCTTTAAATGGAACCAGTGCATTGTGAATTGTGAAATAATCGTTATATACCTTAAAAATCGCCGTGCCTTGCGTATAAAGACTGTAAACAATGTTCGGAGTCCCCACTTTTAGCAAGACGCTTCTGTTGTTGATTGTATTCAAAGAAAGCCACAATTTTAACCTAGAAGACAGGGATCCCTTGGTGAAAAAGGCCCCCGACGACCAGCAGGGCTCCTATTTCGGTTTCAGCGTCGCTCAACACGGGACAGGCGCCACAAGCAACCACAACAACACTTATTGGATTCTAGTCGGGGCTCCTCTAGGAAGGAATTTACAGCCAGCAACAAACCATTCCGGTGCCTTATTCAAGTGCCCCATTTCCAGAAACGACAACGACTGCGAACAAGTAGAAACCGATGGTAAACAAACCACAGATTTTGATTATAACATTGACAATGGTAACACAGAACAAATCGATGAGAGCCAGTTAAAACCGCCCGATTCCAACGAAATAAAGAACGGGCAATGGTTAGGGGTGACCGTGAGGTCCCAGAAACTCGGGGGCATAGTCCTAGTGTGCGCCCACAGGTACATCATGAGCGAGAACTTGAACCGGTTCCACTACGGTCAAGGCCTGTGCTATTTGCTCGATAAAGATTTGAATACCTACAACAGTTTGTTGTTGTGTAAGGGTAGACGTATGGAGAAGCTTCATCAACAGTTTGGTTTCTGTCAGGTAAGAATTATAATCAATATTCAGTATACAATCGGAGTTATATAGTCGGTGCAAAACAAATATCAATGCACGTCACTACTCTCCTCGTATTTGCCAAACATTGTGTCCAACTTTTAAAAATAAATATACAAAATAGATTAAGCTTAAATATAGCCGGCATAATTTAATTTAATATTAATAAGGGATGAGAAAATGTTAAAAAGCACAATTAAATCACACAAAAAAATATATATTGTCAAATTTCAACGTTTTTTATATAAAATTATTATTTTCTACACACAAGAAATTTCACACAATTTCAGCTCGTAATAATTCAGATTCTGAAGTTTTCTCAGAAATTTCACTATGTACTCTTTTAAGGGTCAATTGTAGGTACACTAAATTTTTTACTCCTATGTTTAATATATTTATTATGATAAATGAATTTAATGATTAATTATAGTGAGACCCTGAATACGTCCGCCGTTTAGAAGCATGAAATTTTAATTAGGGTCAACCATAATTTTCAATTTGTTGTCATTTTGCTTGATTATTTGACAATTTTAGAAAAATCTTAGATTTTGTAAACTCTATAAAAGTTTGGCAACACTGCCTACTTGTAGGTACTTGTGACTATATCTAGCACTCTATATTCTACCCTGTTATGTGGTGTTTATTTTAATTTCAGGTTGGTACCAGTGCTTCGTTCGTAGGGGAAGATTTTGCATTAATGGGCTCCCCGGGCCCTTACACCTGGCGAGGGACCATATTCGCGCAAATGGTAACAGGCGACTGGTTAAAACAAGACAAGACCATCTACCACGGACCGTTCGGAGACATCGACTTGATAGAGAAGTACAGTTACCTGGGCATGAGCGTGGGCGGTGGGCACTTCTTCGACAAGAAGCAATACACTTACGTGGCGGGCGCCCCGCGCTCTAAAATGGTCGGGCAAGTTTACTTTTTCAAGAAGTACAAGACCAACGAGGAATTGAACACGTCGCTTATTTTGACCGGCGAACAATTCGCCGGTAGCTTCGGCTACGAATTACTAGCTACCGATGTCAATAGCGATGGTTACGATGATTTATTCGTCGCCGCTCCGTTTTATTATGAAGAATTTAAGGGAGGCGCCGTGTACATTTACTACAACTTGAAGGATTGCAAGAGCGATAATTGCCGATGGGATAAAGTTTTGCACGGTAAACCCCAATCGAGGTTCGGTTTCTCCATGACTTCCTTAGGAGACATAAACAAAGATGGTTACAACGACATCGCTATAGGAGCTCCTTACGAAGATGAACAAGGCGCTATTTACATCTATTTAGGTTCCGGTAACGGCATCAGCGACGAACCCTCGCAAGTAATAAGGAAGAAACAAGTTAAAACGCTCGGGTATTCTCTAAGCGGCGGTTTAGATATGGACGACAACGGCTATCCGGATCTACTAGCGGGCGCTTTCGAATCCGACAAAGTCCTCTTGTTCAAAACCAGACCCATCATCGACATAAAGATAGTCGTACGCGGCGACGAATTGAAGAACATCAACGCGACGAAGAAAGGTTGCTCGTCCGCGCCGAACAACAATTACACCTGCTTCTCGTTCAGCACGTGCTTCTCGGTGGTGGGCCGGACGCAGCGAAGCCACCGATTCAACGTCATCTACAAAATCGCCGAAGAAAAGAAAATAGTGAATCGCGTGTGGTTCGTGGACCCCGAACACCCCGACAAGAAGTCGACGTTCAACACCAAAATGGTGCCCGTCGACCGGTACTCGCACGAGTATTGCCAAGTCGAAACGGTGAACATCAAAGACGGCATCAGCGACATACTGTCGCCCATAAAATTCCGCGTCAACTACACGCTGGAGAACAACACCTTTCACGCGCCGATACTGAACAAAACCTCGGTGAAGATAATCACGGCCTCGTTCCAAAAGGAATGCGGCGCCGACGACGAATGCGAGAGTTACCTAACGCTAGAGGCCGGCGCCGATTTGAAGCTGGACGAATCGGGCGCCTACAAAATCGAGATGATCGACGAGCCCATCGTGCTCGAAGCCAACGTGACGAATACCGGCGAGTCCGCCTACGAGGCGAAGCTGTTCGTCGCGCATCCGACGTCGCTCAGCTACGTCGGCATCAAGAGCGAGAACAAGAACGTCACCGACGCGCTGAAGTGCTCCTACGCCAATCAAACGCTGGTGGTGTGCGAGATCGGCAATCCGTTGCGCAAGAACGGTCGCGTCAACGTCGGGCTGCGCTTCGAGATATCGAAGAAAGCCGATGTTCAAAGGATCGTGCTGCGGACGTTCGTCAATTCGACGTCGACGGAGCTGTCGGAGCGCACCGGTCAGGACGTCGTCGCCGTTTTGAAGAAGATCGCCAAGTTCCAGGTCAGAGGGAAGGCGTCGTCGAATCTGTTCTACGGGGGCCGGGTGATCGGAGAGTCTGCTATTAAACATATCAACGAAGTTGGGGCCAGGGTGGTGCACAAGTATTATATCGACAATAACGGGCAATGGGATTTGGTTAATTTGAAGGTAAAAATATGTCATTTTGATGGCCGATTTCGCCAACCAGTTCCTAATGTTAGGTAATACCTAAACCAGATTTAGGATTTTCTAAGTACAATTTGCGTTTCACCATGCACTAAGTAATACCTAAAGGTAATGCCTAAAGTTAGGAGAGCTCACTGGGCTTGCCTAAAACATTTAGGATATACTTATCCATACTTTTCATGTGATTTCATGTGACTTAAAACTTGACTGTATTTAGACGAAAATCTAAAATGAGAGGAGGGTTTTGAGAAACTGGACGAAACTGATTTTTCGCCTTTTTCGATACATAAAAATACGGCAAAACAATATTAGAAAGAATTGAAGATGATTTTTAATTTGAACCACAGGAAATTTTCTGATACAAACTGGGGACTTAGCAGATGTGAGTCCCAACACAAGCAGCCGAGAGTAATTGAAAGACTATCTGCAGGCTATCCAAATATTATGGGAACTATTGACCGTACACACGCATGTAAAGATTGTCCTGGAGGAGAAGATGCAAAAATAATTTAGAAATCGAAAAGGCTATTTTTCTATTTCTATACAGACTACATCTTCAGCAGATTTAAAAATAACTAACATAGTTTAAAGATGGCCCGGATCATCAAAACCTCTTCTTTTCTCTTAACATATTCAATTATGATCTCCCCTTATTCGGTTTACACGGGAAAATTAGGAATGCTACCAATAACATTCAAAAAATTGTCGAAATTAAATTTTTACCTATGTATTTCTTAGTAAGGGATTTCTAATGTTGGTGAAATTCGATTTAGGTAATTCCTATCTTAGGAATTACTTCGTTAGGAAATGCCTAAGAACATGTTGGTGAAATCGGGCATTAGGGATCTACACCTTTTCCAGTTGTATTTCAGAAAGCGTCAATTGAATTTAAGAAGAGTCACTTATATTTCGGAAAGTATCAATTGTATTTCAGAATAGTCATTTTGATTTCAAAAATCATCAATTGAATTTCAAAATAGTCAATTGTATTTAAGAAATTACCATTTGTGATTCGGAAAGTGTCATTCGTATTTCGGAAACCGTCAAAAGGATTTCAGAGTCCCATTTGGAATGCAGAAATCATATGACAATTATTATTACAATTATTAACGAAGAAGTCCACTCAGTCCACTCCACAATTTATATTATTTATTAAGAATTAAGATTGAAAAGCTATAGATATTGAAGAATTCCGAAATAGAAATGATGATTTCTGAAATGAATTTGACTATTTTGAAATTCAAATGATCGTTTCCGAAATCGAACTGACTATTCTGAAATACAACAGATATTTTCCGAAATATAAGTGACTATTCTTAAATTCAATTGACGGTTTCTGAAATAAAATTTGAAAATGGGAAGAGCGAAGAATTCTACTATCCTTGATACATGAGCAGTTTTCGGCGTAAAATTTGGTATTTGATGATTAAAATTACAGTTAAAAACTCTCCTGATATTATCACTTTAACAAATTATCATGCTCCTATAAATAATGTAATCTTGTTAATGTTAGCAAATTCACATTTATCTTAGAATTTTATTGACTCATTTGCTCGTCATTTCTAATGTAGAAGCGGGATTTTAATGCGGGTTATTTACGATAGCTTCTACAAGGTGTGATTTCGTATCGCTGCGCAAATACAAGAGGTCCTTTTATCACAGTACACTCTGTATGTTTTATTCGAAAAGCAAAGGGAACGAAATCGTTGCAAAATAAATAAAAATATTTTATCGACCGATAGATAAAACTAAGTCTAGTTTAAATAAATAATCCGCTTATTTTTCTCTGTGACGACATACTTGTCTACAGTGCATTTCTTTAATGAACGAATCAACTTAGAAAATTGAAATTTGGGATAATGAAACTAATGCATAATTACTATATTTTGGAGTAAAATTGGCAGATGAAAATTTCAAGATGGCGACTGGGTGCTCTCTTGAGAAATATATTTAAATGGAAAGGGGGGTCTTGTGATACATCATTTTGAGGCTCCTGACAAATACTATACAACCCTGGAATATAAAGTCAATATCTGCACCTGCTACAAAATGGCGGAACATTTAATAATTACGTGAATACAAACAAAGTAATATCAATTTTTCTAGAAATATTTGTTTTTCTATGCCAAATAGCAATCCCAACAAACCACTAAGGTTTGACAAGTTATTTTTGGTTAAAAAATTCCAAAAAATTTAAGTACGACAACGAACATTAATGGTTTAGTCAAAATATTCTCATTTAGTTTTTGGTTTTCCTGGTGTTCAAAATATTCTCTTTAGTTTTCGATTTTCCTAGTGTTCAAAATATTTTTATTTTGTTTTCGGTTGTTTAGTTCTCATTGTAGTTAGGTACCACGTGAACTAACTCTAAAATGGCCAATTCTCGTCCATTGGAAGATGGAGCAACACCAAATTACTCCAGACAAGTAATGAACTATTTGGATGCTATTTTCCCTAGTCGTTGGATTGGTCGTCGAGGTCCTACGGAATGGCCAGCCTGATGCTCGACAGATTTGACACCTTTAGACTTTTTATGGTGCTATTTGAACCAAAAAGTGTACGAAACTGAACCTGCTTCAATATTGGATATACGAGAAAGAATTACAGATATTTGTAGAAATATCGACGTTACTATGTTCGGCGTGAAACATCGGATAGGCTGTTCTTATGTCAAGAAGTTCAAGGCAACCATTTCGAGCATTTTCTAAACTGAACTCAGCTTATTTCCTCAAATTAAGACTTTAAACATCGATGTATTCAGGTAAATAATAAATGTCCGCAATTTTGTAGCAGGTGGAGATATTGACTTTATATTCCAGGGTTGTACAGTATTTGTCAGGAGCTTCAAAATAATGTGTCACAAGACCCCCCTTTCCATTTAAATATATTTCTCAAGATAGCGTCCAGTCGCCATCTTGAAATTTTCATCTGCCAATTTTACTCCAAAATATAGTAATTATGCATTAGTTTCATTATCCCAAATTTTAATTTTCTAAGTTGATCCGTTCAAAAAATAAAAGGGGGGAGAACATTAAAGAAATGCAGTGTACAAGTAAAATTCAGCTAAGTTGAATACACCACGTGTTTTTTCGCGCACAACATCATAAAGAGGCTGGGCTCAGCCGATGTTTTCGATGCAAATAACAAATAATTAATTACAAATAAACCCCGACTCGACCTTCGCTGTTATCGGGTATACTGTGGATGGTTCGCCGGTCATACTTTTGGGGTAAAACCACGCCTATCTCCTTAGTCTCGTCTGTGCGCATTTTTACAGCTGTATTCAACTGAGCTGATTTTACTATATAACAATCCGTTTATTTGAAGGTTTCCATAAAATGGCCGTTGCAAGTTTCGCCGGGCCCGGACCATCCAGACAAACAGGGCAAATGGCTGTTGTACCTGGACAGCGAGCCGAAGCTGTACGGATCGAACATAGAAGGCTACTGTTCCCTCTTGGGCGACGTAAAACCCAACGAGTTATCCTTGAACACGTCCAAAGGTTACGACGAGCCGGAGAATCTGATGATGCCGGACGGGTTCGATGCGAACGAGGGCGATTTCAACGCTTCGACGGGCCATTTCCGCGCGAAAAGGAGCGCCACCTACGTGGTACCTTACGAGACCACCGAGCGGGCGGGCAAGAAGCGGAAAATCGCGATAATGGACTGCGACGCGGGCACGGCCAAATGCATCGGCATATCCTGCACCATCAGGAGATTGGGCAAAGGACATCAGGCGGAGATAGACGTGACGTCGCGCATATGGAATTCGACGCTGGTGGAGGATTACAGCAACGTGGATTGGGTGGTGATTAGATCGAAGGCGTTCGTCGAGTTGGAGGATCTTTCGTACAATATCAGCGTCGATACGATGCCGCAATTTTCCGACGAGACTATCGCTTATCCGGAAATCGTTTCCGCCGATACGGAAATTAATTGGTACATAATTGGCATCGCCGTCGTCGTCGGTTTGATCCTGCTGATATTTATCGTCGTTATATTGTACAAGTGCGGTTTCTTCAAGCGAAAAAGGGTCAGTAAGGATCCCACGCTTTCCGGTAATTTGCAGAAGAAAGACGAAGCCGATCACTTGTTGAAAGAGTAGAATTTTTACGTCGATTTATTTTCGTACAATCTTAAAAAAAACGGTTGCTAAATCATTTAGAAGGTACTTAAAATATGTGGTATCACTTCCTGCAGTTTATACGCTTGGATTTTTGTATTTGTAATAGTTATGTACTTAAGTAATTCTTTTTATGCGTCTATAAATATAAATTTTATAATGTTGTTGTCGGAATTCAGTTTTTAGGTACATGATTCGTTGTTCTCGATTTATTATTGAAACTAAAAGCAGCTGGTTCGTCGAACTGATTTTGAAGGACGGGCGTTTTATGAATAGTTTTTACAATTATATTTTTATTTTTAAATATATACAACGATTTTAGAGAAATTAAGTTATTTTTGAATAAACATTGTAAACAAAAAATCGACTTTTATTCCACTCTCCTTTCAAAAATGCTTTTGCTCTATCACAAGTAAAACTAATTATTGATTTCAGACTATTTTATTTAATTTTAAAATAATTTACAATATTAAAAATGCAATCGTATTTTCCATTAAAACACACAGAGCCGTTTCTGCATTGTTCGGAAAATCTACATCAATTATAAAAATAAGTAAACTAATTTGAATGAAAATCATATAATACCAAAACTGTTGGAAAATATGTTTTTAAACAAGTAAAAAGATTCGAGATTCGACACATTAGACGAGAATTTAAAATCAGAAGTATAAACGGTAAAGATACAAAAATAATCTATTACAAACATTTTTACAATAAGTCACCTGCAAATATCTAAGATATTTTACATTGCAATAACTTACATTATTTGTGCTGTGGCCGACTTATTTTCATAAGGTACTTATTTTTTGGACAAATTAGTTTCCTTTAAAACACTTCTCTTCAAACGACCTACTATTAAAAAGATAAACAAAGTAAATATTGGAATAACAACATCCTGTATAAATCAATAAGATGCATTAAGATTGTCACAAATTTCATACAAAGTAAATTAATTCGATGCTTTATTTTCTAATCGACATCCTATTGATTATTTAAGATCACAAAAAAATTGAAAAGTCAAGGCTAATAATCTGGCACAAGCCATTTTTTTTCAATATAACTACAGTTTCTAATGGATTCATGGAAGAATATAAAATTAATATAAAACATTTCTACACAATTCAATACGTTTTTAATAAGATAAGTATCTTCAATTTGTAAACGTGGAAATACAGATTTACCCTATTATACAATTGCAATCAAATTCTAGGATATCCTATAGATTTCGAGATCAAATTGAAAAATACATCCTTAATTCGCTAATTTGTTCAAAAATAGAAACAGCTCTGTAAGTACTAAATTGAATAATTTTTATCTAGAAACTATGGCGACAAAAAATTTACACAATATTTTTGTCCATTTTTAAAACGATAAAAAAATTATAATCTCATTTTGGTTGGATTACGAGTTTTTTTTTCATACATGCCTGAGTTACATTAACCTAAAAAAAATCACTAAAAACTTCAGTTGTTCAGTACAAGTCCATATTTTTTTTCCATTTTTTACTTTTCGTTCACATTAACTACCATCACATCACAGAGCAATAATTGCAAAAATTCAAAATTCAAAAAACTAGTCGTCTCTTCGCATATAGATAATATAGATCAGTTTGTACACGAGTTTAAAACTTGATTGCAAACGAAGTTTTCCAAATTAAACATTAATTAAAAAAAAAAAATATCCGCGATATAATGTTCAGTTCACTGCACTACTTGGTATTATTTTGGTATTATCTTCTATCACGATAAAGCAGGTAAGTTTGTAACGCTTGTGGCAACTGCAAATTCATGACTTTATCCTCCAGAAGCTGCTTCCCAAGTCGTTGTCTTATTATACGTCTGCATAGGTCCATCAGAGGTAGAGGCTCCGCTAATAACATCAACAAATATTTAATTTTTCGGCTACCAAACCACACGTAATGGTGATTGCCAACGAAACAAACTACTCACGGTCTAATCCTCCAACGTATTTCATGGTTATCTCGCAATGACCCCAAACGGCGCTGACGATCGGATACAATTTCCGACCTTTGAGACCCCTGAAAGCGACGCCTAAGTATTGCCCGTCCACAACGAAACTCAACGTCCCCTCATCCATGTCCAACACCACCAGGAATTTGTCTGGTACTATGAAAGTTTCATCCGGTTTCAATAGAGCCGGATAAGTTACGCCCGGATAGTTCTTCGAATCGTGGTACAATTTATTTCGACCTACAACATAATATACAACGCGTTTAGTACCCACATCTCCAACCAGTCGTACATAAATTCAAACATTTTTGACGCCAGCATTGAGAATTATCTGTTACATATTAAGTAAACGGGGCAGAAAAAGTTAGATGGAAAAATTAGAGGTACCATGGCGGATCTAATCAGGCGCCTTGAGCGTAGGCAAATATATTTTAAATAAGAATTTGATCATGTTAATAATTGTTATGGTAAAAATGTAATAATATGTATGAAAATTTAGTTGATATTGCATGAAAAAACAGTGACAACTGTTTCCCGGTTTCCCTCTATTTGCTATTATTCGCTGGGAAAATGAGATACTGTTCTCTGATCTCTCTTTAGTCGTAATCGTCTACAAATTTTACTACGAGCCAAAATACACCGTTGCCAAATTTGCAAGAGTTTACTATTACATGAATTTTGAAATACATAATTCGTCACATTTTGAAACTATGTTTCTTAAACTTGCAATCTATTATATGTTGTGGGTATATTTTGAAGAATGTAAATAATATTAGTTGTTTGTATTAAGACGATTACATAATAAGGATATAAAAATTAAAAATATAGCAGAAGGAAAATAGCTCGACAACATGCAATGTTTTACCTCTATTTTCTGTTAGACTCTGACCTATTGTTGGTACCCTAAAATTTTGTAAACAGTTTCATCTGCTTTAGTTATATATCTATGTTTAGTACCTATTTTTTATAGTCGAAACTCTACTGTCCTCTACAGGGTGTACTCAAAATTAATATAACCCAATTTGGTCACAAATTCTTTCTCTAACATTTCATGACACCCTGTATAGACTAACACAGAAGCGAAAGAACAGAGTAGGAGTAGATACATGATCCTTTTGCTTCTGCATAGATTCTACAAGTACAAGGGTAAAGTGAAAAGTTCTCGACCTGATCATGAAAAACCTTGATTTTCAGTTGAAAAATCCCATTAATCTCCTTATTACTTCGAAACCTTTAGTTCTAGACAGTTCTAAATGATTCTGGAGAGTTCCAAATGGTTTTAGACACTTCTAAATGATCCTGTAGCGTTCTAAATAGTTTTATACAGTTCTAAAAGAACCTGGAGCGTTCTAAACAGTTCTAATAATTCTAGAGCGTTCTGAATGACTATGGAACGTTCTTTATGATTCCAAAACGTTCCAAATGGTTTTAGACCGTTCTAAAAGACCCTAGAGGGTTCTAATTGATTCTATAGCGTCCTGAGTGGTTCTGAAGCGTTCTAAATGGTTTAAAAGAGTTCTAAATGATTCTGGAGCGTTCTAAGCAGTTCTAATTGATTCTAGAGCGTCCTGAGTGGTTCTGAAGCGTTCTAAATGGTTTAAGAGAGTTTTAAATGATTCGTTTAAACTGGTTCTGGACAGTTCTGAATAATTCTAGGGCGTTCTGAATGACTATGGACCGTTCTATATGGTTCTGAAACTTTCTAAATGGTTTTAGACAGTTCTAAAAGACCCTAGAGAGTTCTAAGCAGTTTTAATTGATTCTAGAGCGTTCTGAGTGGTTTGAAGCGTTCTAAATGGTTTAAAAGAGTTCTAAATAATGCTAGAGCGTTCTAAGCAGTTCTAATTGATTCTAAATCGTTCCAAGTGGTTCTGAAGCGTTCTAAATGGGTTAAAAGTGTTTTAAATGATTCTGGAGCGTTCTAAATGTTATGAAGCGTTCTAGACTTCTAGACAAACGGTTCTAGACAGTTCTGGAACGAATTAGAAATGTCCCAAAGAGAAAACCATCAGTGTAACAGGCCGATTTTTCCAACTTTTCACCCTACGCTCGTACGCGTCGAGTTAAAGAGATGATTACCTAAGTCCCAACCCCACGACGTGTCGGTACTACCGACTAAGCTTTGATAACCGACGGAATGAAGGGGCGCCTCGGCGGTGGCGACGCCGACGACGGCGTGAGTGCCCCTTTGCCTTGTCGACCAGCTCACCTCCCAACAGTGCATGCCCTTCGTGAAGCCCACTTTACCTCGGATGCAGTCAGTACTTTGGGCTACCGGGTGTCTGTAAAACGATTATGATAAGCGTAACTAGAAGTCGATAAAAAAATAATCGTTATCGCGTACCTGTGAAAAGTAAGCCGGTCGTCGTCTTTAACGAATATATTTAGAGATCGATCGTCTTGGTTCCAACTATATTTCAATTGCATTTCCCTTACAGCTGGCGGCATATCGAGGAGCATGTCGAGCCTTGGGGGTCGAGCAAAGTCCTAAAAATAAAACGCGTCTTTCGTTATAATATACAAAATTCATTTGGTACTCGTTGAGCTAGTGCACTCATTAAGGTTATTTTAACGCTGTAATTTAAACACCAAGTGGGTGAATCTAGTTAATCTGAGCGATTCTATTTCATTTGATCAGAGTTGAATCTGTTTAATGTCAATATATTTATTAAAATTGCAAAATTCTCAAGAGTACTATCTTCCTAAAGTCGATAATGAAAGAAGTCATTTTTATCTTCTAAAAACATTCAATGATCTACCTAAATTTATCTCCTCAAGAGAATTCAATCTATACCATATTCCATCTCGTTAGGCAATGACGCTACGAGCTAGCCTGTTGCAACGTTGCCGGAGTGTAATTGAAATTCTTTGTATGACAGATATATTTAATTGAAGGTTATGTTTACTTTCATTGTTTACAAATTACACCGAGAGAAGTCAGTTAAAAGATTGTCATTTCAAAAAAAATCATATAGCTCCTAAAAAAGTTATTTTAGTTTTTTTTTTCTTGTAAGTATGAAAAAAAGAAATTTCAGGGCGTAAAAGCTTATCTTTTCAAAACCATCCGTTTGTTTAATAGGGTTCCCATTTAGCTCTTATAAGTTACTTTATTATCGTTAAAAGATGGAATTAAAATAAAATAGATGTCACGATTAATATCGGTAACGTTGCAACAGATGCACGAAAAACTAAACACACGTAAAAAACAAGAAATCAACGCAAAATGGCCTGAAAAAATCGTAACGAAATTCAAGCAAATTGTAATTGAAGCGTGTCAGCTGTCAACTAAAAAGCAAAAAATTTTGAGACTAATGCATGACAACATCGCCTTGGACTTTCAACTACGCGTCGTTAAATTCCCCTAGTCAAATGGGAGAAATAACATTCGCACTAGGGAAATGTTGAACTGCGTGGAAATTACTAAAACTTACGTCATTGCCTAACGAGATGGAATATGGTTTATACACTGTGCTTCATTCCAGATCACAACGTAGGTTATAGGTGCGATAGAGACAACTTTCATTTGACATTTATAAAGAAAAAAGAAAGAGTGACATTTGTGTCATTGCAACTTTTCACTCTGACAACTGTTATTTTATTAATCTTTCTTTGTTCAACTCATAGAAACGACCATGGGCCTGTTTCATATAACTGTTAAGTCCTGTCGGACAAGTGTAGTCTAAATTTGACTGGAGTATTTGACAAGTTTGTGTTTCATAAAATTACACGAGTAGATTATTAGTGACATGTGACTAGCCTAATATTACAAGTCTGTTTTACAATTGTAGATAGGTTTGCGTTTCATAAAAAATAAATTAAACAACACTTGTCATTTATTCCTATCATATATCAATGTAAAGCGACAAGAACTTGATTTCCTGTCACCATCCGATTTTCTTGTAAATTTAAAAGAAAATGTAGTCTAGCGACAGTGAGGAGGAAGCTTAATGAGAGTTTATTAAACGATTTCGAATGAATTCGATAAAAATTGAGGAAATATTAAAATCTATTGGTCCCCGTCTAATGTATAGAACCAACGTATAGAAATTATGCATTGTCTTTGTTCGTTCCAATGCTCACATTTTACTGCTTTTGTAGAAGTGGGACTAAATTTTCCAAATAGAATGTCATTTCTTTATTAAAATAATTGAATATAAAATAAATGTTGCTGCATTTTAGAAATAAGTGACAAAAGTCAATAAACGAAAATGTCGTGGTTCACATCTAAAAATAGCTCAAACCAGAAAAAATACAATTTCAAAGTAAAAGTTTCCCAATATCGAAAAACGAAGGTTGTGCTATGCTTATGCTCCTCAGTATAGTAAGTACTATTTTTTTCTTTTTGGCTTAAGTCTGACGTTTAATTAATATTAGAGTTGTAGAAAAACAGATGCCAAAAATTTAATTCGACAAGTGTCGAAATTTATTTTATGAAACGAAATTTTTAAATACTTGTCAACCAACACTTGTAACTTGTCAACTTGTCAGTTATATGAAACAGGCCCCATGTTACGGTCTGAATTGAAGCATTCTGTATAGTTGTCTATAATAACTTAAATAAAATTGTTAGATGCAATTGGATAGCAACCCGTAACGTGACCCCCCCATCGGTCTCACGACCTCTCTCACCTGTGCCAATTCTCTAGGAATGACGGGTTTGTAGGGCGCAGCAGCGTCTCTGTTTACAGATTTAACTCCACCTGACACTTTCTGCCCCATGCTCATTCCACGAGCCCGACGACGGGCCGTTTTCCACGGCGTCGGCGTCAGTGTCGTCTTATAGACGCGTCTCTCCTCGCAGGCCCTTCCAACGCCTACACCGCCGCCGCCGGTGCCCCCACCACCACCAGTGTTTATCACCCCCGCGCCTGCGCCGCCGTTCCTTAACGTGCTGCCTCCGCGGTTTCCACTTTTGAATCTGAAACAAACGTTTAATTACACGAGGAACGATAATAGATCGTATTTATACGGCCGAAGACGGAACGCAGGAAGTCGATTAGTTCGATAGGAGGACGAGGAACGAATCTCTCCGCATGGGGGTCGGGAACACATCGAAGCGCTCTCGTATTCAGGGGGGCTCGCCCGAACGAGCGATGTGTCGTTAAACTTTGTTAATTCGACTCATCTGTTCGCCGTTGACTAAATTTTAAAATTGATACTACGGTTTTATCCTCGGTGAAACACACAAATTAACATCGTAGGTCATTAACTATAAGGTAACGTTGGCCTGAATACATGCCCTTGAATATAACTGGCCACCAGAAAAAACCCGTCGGCGTCGTCAACAGTGAATGCTAATATTTTCTGTTTGTACTGCAGGAAAATAAGGTTGAGGACGCGTTCGTTTTACCATTTTGAAACGATACACACACTTACTTCACTGTAATGTAAATTTTACCTCAAATATTACTTTCAAAAATACAGTATAAACGCAAAAAAATCCATATTCGCTTCGAAACTTTTTTTTTTTTTGGCTGGGTACGTTTCACGTCTCGCAACGCAGGGAACCTTGAACTCGCTTGCATAAGGTCGTCGAAATCTCAAAGGAAACCAAGAACCGATTTTAATTGGAGTTTTGAGTTTATTGTATTCGGTATACACCGCTTAAAATATGTTGTGGAAACATGTTAATTAAATATAGGGTGACTCATAATTATGAGAATCGATATACTTGCATAAACACAGTTACTGTAAAAAAAATCCCACAAAAAACATTTCAAAATTTGCATCAATGAATAATTAGATAATAAAAAAAATCTGATAAAAAAGTTTTTAATTTGGGAAGGGCTGTTTATATTTTGAAAAATACCAAAAATGTCTACCTATTATGAATCACTCTGTAGAAATTACCTAAACGTTAGTCACCGTTAAAAACCCACAAAACAATCGCACAACATGTAGGTAAAAAAATATAGTTTATTCATTCTTCTCGAATGTCCAGGAAACGAAATATCAAATAAACGATGCTTTCTCGGAAAAATCGCACCTAAATTAGCAGAAAAATTTCGCAATTTACTGATTATAAACATACGTTACACAGGTATATCAAAAGTCTTTCGTTTTTCTTGCGGGATAAACGAAATATGCGAATGAATCGAATGGAATTCATACGAATCAAATTATGGCAGTTTTTCACTCGGATTTTTTTTTGCAATTTCAAAAAAAAACCGCCGATAAAATGCGCTCCGTACATTTTCTCACAGTACTTTCCGTATAACCCTCGTAATTACTAGTAAGTTAAAAAATTCATTATAATGAGAAGAAACGTTCGACTGGCATGGAAAACCGGTTCGTATAATTAGGTATAGGTAACCCCCTTTGTAATGGTTTGTTAAGGGATAGACTAGAATACCATCAGGTAAAAGAGAAGTTTGTTTATACCTTACAGAGTTTACTTTAAAAGTTGAGAAACAGTTTCAACGAATAAATAACTCGGAATTTTCTCTTCGTAGCTTTCCAAAAAGCGCTTTATAAACAGTAAAGACAAAAGATTGTACACCTACGCGAATTATCATTGTTAAGAAAAATCAAGGTTAAAATTAATAATACATAGGTTTTATATTTGTGCTTAGCTATTACCTATTGAATTAATTAAAATAAAACGTTACTATTCAATTTGAAGGTACCTTATAAAGGCCAAATTAAATATTTCAATACGATTAGATAGGTAGAGGTACTTCCATAATTGCAAATTTTAAATAGATTTTGCAACAAAACTTGCATTATAAACTTGCAAAATTTTTCGCAAACTTACAGACTTCTCTACAAAAGAATTAAGCAAACGTATTTTGAAATAAAGTAGACAAGTACACAGTATTCGAAAGTACATAAAACGATATTAAACCTGTTTGTTTATTTTATTTTGAATGTTACTAATAATGATTGCAAATTGATATTACTAATATTTGTTCGTATACACGCGCATTTCGTACCACACCGTATATAAAACCAATTAAAAAGTGGTTCTCAACGTTGAGGGACACCCAGTACCCAAACAAAAGAATTCAGTTATCGACCTTAAAAACTTCAGTTTTTTGCCCGGTGCGATTTTCCTTTTCCTTCGTTCGTTCGGGATTCACAAAACGAAAACCGAAGATTGCGGAAAAAAAATAATCGACTAAACAATTCCCATTCGATTGAAATACACGACGAATTGACACACCCTTTTCGCCTCCACTGGAATCGTCGATATAATACAGCTAGGGGAGAAGGAAACGAAACCCATTTAGGGTTATGAACCTTTTGGGCGGCCCGAATGTTTCTACATCGCACGGTTTCGTTACGAAACAGATGTTTAAATACAAACTTTTCGCTACCAAAATGCTGTCCGAAACGTCGAATTAAAATTACAAACGCGGACTCGTTAAATCGAATAATGACGGTTATAAATAGGGTAACGTTTGGTCACCTACCGAGTTTCCATAATTCGCAGAGGCACAGTCGATTGATAGAAGACGAGGAAATTGTTCCAAAATCCGACATACGGAGTCGCGGTCGTTTTAATCGTCAAAAAACACTGCGGAATCAAGGAAAAGTTATCGAAAGCACTGCTATTTACAACACTTCTATTGGGTAATAAACATTGGTTCGGTAAGGGCGAACTTATCATCACCATATCAAACAACTTATGAGTCTTTGTGCGGTGTTTACGGACGTCAGAGCGCCAGCGCCAGCGCTTCTATTCGCTCCGCATCGTTGCCAGAACTATACACTACATTTCACCAAATCTCATCGTTTTAATAGAGTCTATAAACATACAAACCAACAACAAATAAGGAGGAAATCGGACAAAAAAAAAACACCACAATTTGACGTTTCAAAACGAATAATGTCATATGAAATTCGAATAACTTCAGCCTACTAACAAAAATTGATACAAATATTGAAAGAATGAAAGATGTCTCATGAATGTAGCAAAAAAATGAAACAATAAGGAATAACCTACCAAAATCTTTTACTAGCTCGTACCATTACGATTAAAAATATTGTAGTTAAAGCACTAAACCAATTTGCCCAATAAGAAAAAAATCAACTTTTAGACAAATGATCAATTTGACATTTGATTGACAAGTAGCCAATGCCTACTAACGATATCCTACTATTAGAGTACAAACTCAACACATACTTCAAAAAACGAAAATAAACCACAAATTTGACCCATTTAAATGTCAATAAATATATCTTTATCAATCCACAAATAAATCAGTAAATTGATATTTATAAAAAAGTAAAAATACTTGGCGTACGTACAAAATTTTTAATGCAATATTTAATTGAGAGAAATATCCGACAGCTAAATTTATCTGTGTAGTGATAAACCTTCCATTAAAATAATCAGTAATTACTCTTTCGATAAGTATTTAAAATATATTCAGCCACATTTTGACATTTTAATTCGTACATAGCTAATTTGACATTTGATTGACATCCATTGCCCAGGGCACACTATACCGAAACCTTCCAGCAAAAACAAGAGACAGAAAATGGTTTTATGAATGCATAATATATGTGAGCAACAATGAGAAGATTACAAACGCTAATTCTACAAGTATAGAGATAGTGGATTTTTGTGGATATCTAAAGCGATATGGCAACGGTGTCGGACGATTAACGACGAAAATAGCCGATCGTAGATCGTCTAAAACGATCAATGCTCGACGTTTTAAGGACGATACACTATAAAAAAAGTACAGGGTGTAACAAAAATTTACGCACACATGGAACAATGAATCACATTTTTTAACAATTTGTATATCGAGATTTCAAGGAAATACCAATTTAATCTTTGTTAAAGTTTGCACGAATATAACGTAAACGATACCTACCTAACACCAAATAATCACATCGACTGGGCCCAAGCCCAACTCGTATAAGGAAAAATAATAAAATAATTTAATGAACCTTACTGGGTAACATTAACCTACCTACCTCCATAATCATACTAAAACATTGCCTCCAATTCAAAACAATACGAACAAAAACCACTTCTCAAAAGTACCAAAAAAAAGTGGCATTCGCACACGGGTCGATAACCTTTGGGAAGTTATCATAAAAATAATATGCAAATTTTATAATATTTTTTTAATAAACAAGTACCAAAAAAAATTCGTTCGGCAAAAAATAAACCGCGGGTTAGTGTTATTAAATTAGGATATTCGATGCAGAACTTCGAGCTTTTTGAGCTAAATTTAGATAATAATTAACGTGGTTAAGCGAGTTTAACTGCACTTCAACTGGAGGAGAATTGAAAATGATTGTACCAAGTGGTCTTAATTTGTTCGAAAAGGGCCAACGAAATTTAAAATGAAAGAAAACGTGGATTTTCTAATAAACTTACTCAAAATTTGGTGTCAATGAGATTTATCTTGCAATTAAGAATGTTTGTTCATTAACCTTTAATAAGTAGGTAGATAATATAAAACCAATTAGGTACTGAATGGTTTTGTACTTTAACTTGAAGAGAATTTAACTTTGGTATTGAGTATTCAGTCTATACTCTTTGCTTACATAAAGTTTTACATTTCGTACTACTAATCGATAGATATTCATAGTCCATACACTTTAACTTTAATAAGATAATATCCTCAATAACAACTTTCTCTTCAATACCTATATACCCCATTATGTCATTTAATAGCATAACCAGCAACTTCCAAAACTGTTGGATTTTATTATAATGCCTCTCTCATTATTATTTACTGTAAATTAGAGACAAAATGTTGTTTGTAAAGCTCGGCAATACCAAAGATTCATATCAAGTATTTGTATTTTTTATGTACCTATTCTAATAACAAAACACTTTAGAAATTATCAATGATTGTTGTTTAGGTAATTCACCTTCAGACAAAGTTATTAGTATTTTATATACCTCAAAATCTTATTCATCGGATAATAGAAATCTTACTGTTCTTAACTATAGAAATAGTGAGGCAATGCAACTATTTTTGGAGGTTATTGAGATATTGCATAGTCTTGGAAAAAATCTGATAAAAGGACTTTTTATTTCTACATTCTAGCGTAATAAAATTAGTGGTTGTTACAAAATCACTTTGATTTGAATTTAAATAATGTTAAAATCCGAGAAAAAAAACTTACATGTACAGAATTCACAATGTGCTATCTAAATTAAAAACGTGATATGTTTTTTCCAAAAAATTAATTGAATAACAAATTTAAAATCTTTCGAATAACATTTGTAATAAGTTAACAAAACATTATTCTTCGATACTCAAGGACTTGAATCTACTTATCACTTTGTGCGTTGGTCTTTGATCGTATCCAAAATGGAATAATTTACTAAACCCCAATATGATAAATAATATTAGCAATATTTATTCACTCATTATTTGACGATGATATTCTTGGTTGGAAAAATCTTCTAAATTAGCATACGCTTTGTGGTACATTATATTTTTAACATATCAAAAACAAATAAATGCTCGCAATAAAAATTGAAATATCTCACATAAGTCATGGTTAATTTGTTTATCTTTATCTCATTAATATTTAATTATACGAAATTATTTTAAAATTCCCAAAATGCAATACGTTTTTGTCCAAATACTTAATTCCAACATGACTATTTTTCACTAAATATGCTACCAGTTTTCTTATTCATTAAGTAATAATTATTATCTCACCTTGTAGTTAATATAATCGACATCACATTTTGTTTCAACAAGGACTTCACAATGACGTTAAACGTTCACCAAAATGTTCTTTTACTAATCATCTATCTATCACTGAAGCGATTACCCCCTCAAGTTATAAAATATTTAACGAAAAAATCACTTACCCTGATGATATCGGGCCATCTACAATAGCTGGATTAATTGATACGTTCAATAATAGTTCGTAAAATCATAACTTTCATTACAGTTACTTATTTTTATCCGTAAAAGTAAACATTAACCCCATAATAACAAAACAAACTTCGACATTTGACAAAGCAATGGGAAGTGGGAAAACGCAGTGACATTGACAACTGACGTGACGTTTAAGTCATCACAGCATTGGCCAGGGGACTCGTAATAGAGAGGGGCGTTTTCAAAAACGAAAATTTCATTTATTTATATTTTGTTGAATTATTGTTGAATAGTACAAAACAATGTAATAAAATTATTCTAATTGGTTCCAACACAGTTTGCATACATGAAGTAATTACACCAAACTAGTAATTCAATGGCAAAAAAAATCATGGAACGTAACTGTCTTGTCCCATCTTTAACATCGAATTTGACTAAATTATTTTACTATGGAATGTCGGACTACTATGCGCAAAGCATTTTTTAATAATTCTCGTTGTAATGTTATATAAAAAAAACATATTTTTAAGGCAAAATAAAAATATTATGCTCATTTTTTATGAGCTCGAACCAGCGCATTATTTAGACAATACCAGTACTGCCACACCACCACCCACAATGTCACAAATGAAATGTAAAAATAACTAGGGTGTTTTTTTTTGTAATTTACAGACTAATGAAATGAAATGAATAATTTTGATAATATTTAGGCCTGTGAGCTGAATATATGAGCCTAGATTTTTTTAATTATACTTTCATTATATTAGGAAATTGTTTTTGTGTTCATTTCACTTTCCAAAAATAGGAATTTTGATATTTAAAGCATAATAATGGTAATATCTGGAATATTAACGAAAATTCCTATGACGTTTTCATAGCTATCACAGTTTTAAGTATAATATTGAATATATAAAATTCATAAAAATTTTGAGCTGGTGAATCAAGCGAGAGCAACCCAGATCTCAACTCCTTCACCAGCTCACAGTAAGGTTTTGCAACGTCCATGACTTAGAGTGATTGGAGAAACATATACCTAAAAATCTATTAATTACATAAAAACCGATTTATACTAAATTTATTCTAAAAGTTAAAGTCGAATTCGGGAATTCAGACAAGCACATTTTTAACAAACTTTCCCGGCCATACATTGTTCCTAAATACAACGAAAACGAATTACAAACTAAAAACTAAACAGTTATTAGAATTAAAATAAAATCAAAATGTATTTAATGGTTTTACGAAAATATTAGGAATGTGACTGCTGTTCTACGTGTAAAAGATACGAAGTCGGTTGTCCAGAGTTGCTGTTACACGACGCGTATCCGTTATGATGGAACATATCCGGTATTTGTACTAATGTTTCGGCTAGAGCGTTTTCGTCCAACAACGAATCCAGTAATCCCTGAGATTGACTTAATTTTTCTAAAGATTTTACGTCGTTATCGACCGCCGCTAGGGCCTTTTCTAATTCTTCTGCTTCTTCTCTAGACGGCTCATATTCACCATTTTTATTAACTAAAAAAATATAACAACACTTTAGTAGAATACGGGGTTTACTCATAAGAATAAGCAAGATAGCAAGAACATGACAAAGTACAAATATAAGAATAAGGAGAATAGCATGAACATCACTGACAGTATAAGGATAAGAATAAAGAGAATAGCAAAAACATGACAGCCAGTATGAGCACAAGAATAAGGAGAATAGGAAGAATATGACTGACAGTATAAGGAGAATAGCATGAACATCACTGATAGTATAAGGATAAGAATAAAGAGAATAGCAAAAATATGACAGCCAGTATGAGCACAAGAATAAGGAGAATAGGAAGAATATGACTGACAGTATAAGGAGAATAGCATGAACATCACTGATAGTATAAGGATAAGAATAAAGAGAATAGCAAAAACATGGCAGCCAGTATGAGCACAAGAATAAGAATAGCAAAAACGTAACAGCCAGTACGAGTATAAGAATAAGAAGAAAGGCTAAAACAAGACTGGCGGTAAAAGTATAAGAATAAGAAGAATAAAGACAGTATAGCAACGGCTTTATAAATGTATATACCTGCAAAAAAATCAGAAAATTCGTCGACTTGTATTGTGTTAAGAACATTGCTTATGTCGTTTTCTTCTAATAAATGTTGTTGTGTTTGTAGGCCGCTTCCGTTTAAGTCGAGAACTTGATCCACAATTTGTATATCTTCCACTTCCAAATTGGAAGAATCTGCTGTAATATCGTCGATATCTGTAAATAATTGACGAGAATCATAAAACGATTGAATGATAAGCATTAGACTAATCTGATTTAGACAATTACCCGAATTAGAAGACTTGGTACAAGCTTCTAATATGGATTCCGACATGGTGATACCATCGGGTTTATAAATAATCTTCTTCTTCTTCTTATTCCTTTTTTGCGGCCTAATCATGGCTGATAGTTTCACCTTCTTTTTTACTTTTTTCGGTTTTTCTACTTGAAACAGATTGTAATTTTCCTAAAAAATAACAACGATTAACCAACGCCTTAAAATTGATAATACACACTTGTCTTACCCTTTTTCTTGCATGTTCGGAGCATAATGGCAGTTCATAGAGAATATCGAGAACTGGGGTAGAACACTGAGTGTTATCTGAAAACTTGGCTGTACAATATTCGAATAATACTTGTTCAGAATTGAACATTATGTGCATAATACACTGTTTAGTACAAGGTAGAGCGGGTCGGTTGCATTTCTTAATTTCGCACATGTTCGGTGGAACGATTCCACTGCCGTTAGTCCTTTTTTCAGATTTCGTCATTGCCGAATATTTGTTAATACTATTTTCAGTGTGGTTAAATGCTATATTTGTGGCGCCGACGTCGCTTCTGATGAGCTGATGAATGTGTCTTCTGAATTCGTGACGGGTAATTTCTATTTTTTCTTCTCTGGACCTATCTTCCAATTTAAACTTCTAAAACGGAACAATCGTAAATTTGAATGGTAATTGAACAAATTTAGGCAATACTTACTTCTAATCCGGGGCTAAACCAGTGTTGTTGATAACAGTTTTGAATGATATCATCTACGCTCATTTTAATTCTAAATTCCAGAACTTACTTTACTAAATACAAAATAATGATTGACTCTGCAAAATGCAAAAATTATTAATTGTGTAATACCGTCAATTTGCTCATAGCTACATATAATCAGATTTCTCCTAACAAAACAATTATCTGTTGTGAAGTTTAATTACTCATTACTTCACAAATCCGCACCTAGCCGTACGGTATTTACGTACTACATAAGAATATTAATGCGTATTTACAATAAAATTTGGAATAATGAGGGATTTTATAAACAAATTGTACAGATATAAACAATATTACTTTCTCTAAAATTTCGTGTGTACAGAATTAATAAGACCACTTCAAAATACTTACAGCTTCCTTATCCCTATATAAATAATTTATTTTTAACTAAATATGTTTCTTATTGTTTAATCAGTTCTTATTTTTAACTAAAAATTCAAATAACATAAACAACCATCTTCTTGGTTATAAAGTCATTGACAATGACACTAATGACAGCGTACTGACATGTGACATTTATTGTTAAAATTTCTTCTTATTTTCGAAACGGCCTTTTTTAGTTGTAAAAAGGCATTATTTGATGGCGTAATGGCGTAGTTATTTTGCAATGTTGCCAAATCATAAACATGTGAAAATTAATAAATTAAAATACACAAAAATTAAGTTATTTTAAGATAAAAACGGAATGTAGAGTCAAAAGTTAATACAAATAGTAACGAAATGAATTCGCTGAAATTAATTGGAAAAGTATTCGTGCTGTTTGAGTTGTCACGATTGTTATTAACATTATTGGCAACGTTGCAACGTTAATCTATCAAATCAGTCATAGATTCCGGAAAGCTCTCGGTTTATCTTTGTACTGAGTGACTTCGTTGAATTTTCTGATTTTCCAGATTGCCCCGTAATATTTACGGATCTTTTGAATTCGCTTAATATCAATAAGTCGTCGGCGTTTTCGGAAAATCCGCCAACGGGCCCGTGAAATCATTTTACAATGGCTACTCCGTCAACTGGTGTTGGTAAGTGCAGGAAGTTTCGCCGATTTCGGCAATTCCACATGATCTAATGGATTTTTACAGTTGTTCCTAGAAATTTCCGGTTGCTCGAAGAGCTAGAGGCCGGCCAAAAGGGCGTTTCTGATGGTACCATCAGCTGGGGTTTAGAAAACGACGATGATATGACTCTAACGCATTGGATGGGCATGATAATCGGCCCCCCTCGTACACCCTATGAGAATAGAATGTACTCTGTTAAAATAGAATGTGGCCAAAAGTACCCTGATGATGCCCCAACAGCTAAATTCATTTCTAGAATTAATATTAATTGTATCAACAGTAACACCGGAGTGGTGAGTATTTTATTGTATATTTAGCTTCTACGTATTAAGAATATCTTGTATATTCGAAAAATCTGCTTGATTAATGAGGTTTTAGTTAGCAGTTTATAAAAATTGTCAAATATGTGACATATTCAAATAACTTGTATCGAGTATGATCTACTGGAGTTTCGACAATTCTAATTAAAAATACCCACTTCTTATTTATTTGGAGCAATTTTCACGTTCATAAAGAACTAATTTGTATATCAAATAACTGTTTGATACAAGAATAATTATTATTGACTTAAATATTTTCGATTTTGGTATCAGAAATAAACAAAAATAATCATATCGAATTTGATTGTGTATTAATATTTGGAATTCTTGATTAACTAGCGATAAAAGAAATAGTTATTTTCCATTATTAATTTCAAGCTCCTTCCTACCTGACCCTTTATTTATCCACTATAGGCCTCTTCCAATTGCTTCCATTTTGTTCTATCTCTTGCAGTTCTCCTCCATTCTTTTTCCCCATATCTGTTTCATGCCATATCTTTTTTTTGTGATCTATCTATTCCTCTTTCATTTTCTTTTGTTCTCCAGTTTGTTAAAGCTCCTCGAATGTTAGAAATTGTTCCATTGAAACGGAATTATATTTATATTATATTTATATTTCCAGGTCGATAACAGGCAAGTACCGGTCTTGGCTAGGTGGCAGAGAGACTACACAATCAAATCGGTCCTCCAAGAACTGCGAAGATTAATGACATTGAAAGAGAATATGAAGTTAACGCAGCCTCCGGAAGGCAGTTGCTTCTAGCCTAAGAAGAACCAGCAAAACATCCCCACAATCTTTTGTTGTAACTTTAATTACTCTAAATGTCGATATTTTTTACAACCGAAACAAACATTTTGTTCGCATCCCTTCTTAAAACAAACAATGCTATTGATAAGTTGCAGCGGAGATCGTTAGGTGTACAGCTTTATAAGCTAAGGTATATTTAGTTATACTTATTAGAGTAATTGTAAGTTTATAATCATAATCCATAGACACTGAGCATCCCAATTTGTAGCGGCTTGAATTGATTTTTAAAACGAACTTGCGGAATTCATTTTGCCCGCTTTAAATAATTTTGGGATTTTTTTAATTATACATGTAATTCGTTGCTTAAAAAAATAGATTAGCTAATTCGAGCTGTACCGCTTATTTAACTACACATTTGTACTTTATCGATATGTTGCTGCTACCTTCGCAGGATTGCAATTCTATCTTTGTTGATATATTTCTAATTATACATTAATACGAGTTTACTTACATTAATGCTAAACAATGATTAGAATGATCTATCTGATTTGTAACTCACAATTTTTTTTATCGTTTTATCCTACAGTGACATTTTTTTTTGTAAGAGTCCTTTCTGATCCTTTTAATTTTAATATCTAATGTCCTCGAATGAAAAGTTATGAATTTGGTTTTTCGATCGAGTTATGGGTGAAATTTATTAATTGCTTTCAAATATAGTAAAATCGTTCAAAATATTTCGGCTTCTGATTTGGTTTTCTCCTATTTATCAACATAGACAAATACCAAAATGTTTATCAACATCAACAATACGGCAACATTGTAGAATTCTGACTGTGATTAGAACAATAATTGACAGTTGACGTTTTTGACAGTAACTGTCAGTCATCTGCCACTTTCCTCGTGGTTAAGTTAAATGAAACGTCAAAACATAAGAAAACATCGAATTTGTTAATAAAATACTTAATTGTTATTCCAAAATGGTAAGTTGCAAATAAATAGCTTGTAGTGTACATCTGTAAACACAAATATAATTTCAGCCGAAGCATAAAATCAATAAAAAAGACGCTGTTACTTTCCAAGTGGTTCACAGAAGTCAGCAGGATCCCCTGATTGCTGACGAAGATGCTCCGCAAAGAGTACTTGTCCCCATAAAACCACAAAACGAATCGAAGCACCCTAAGCCACAATCGTCCCACAAACCAGAATCATCGTTACACAGTGACGATGAAGACATCGAGGAACCCAGAGAGTTCAGTATTAAAGTCGCCTTACCTCCTGTTGTCTTCGCTTCGGAGGTGGAAGAAGAAGTCGGTATGTTGGGAAAAGCGGCGCCTGTATCCGGTAAGTACGAAAACCACTCGAAAAAATATAAAAGTAACGAGCGGAATGTTCTATTCAGGACCGCAGCTACATTTGGATCCCGACGTCGTTGCCGCCATGGACGATGACTTCGATTACTCCGATCCAGAAAACGAATTAGAAGACAATTTCATCGAGTTGGCAAAAGGCGATTTCATCACGGAAGAAGGCGAAGAAGAAGACATGAACTCCGATTTCAGCGATGAATGCGACAGCTTCGATGAAGAAGACGAACGATGGAAAGGAGCTTTCGATAAAGAAGAAACCAAATCTAGATTCACAAACTACTCGATTACTAGTTCCGTTATTAGAAGAAACGAAAATTTGCGTTTGCTTGACGAGAAATTCGAAAAAGTATGTAATTGCATTAATCGCAAAATATAGATTTGTTATGTGTTTGTTTTCAGATGTTCATCGATTATGATGAAAATGAGATAGGCGCTTTGGATTTGGAAGAAATTGAGGGCGATGTTTCATCAAACATACTACTAGATTCTGCTTTAAAGGAATTTACAGACGTGCAAAAAATCGAAAATAACGAGCAAAACAAAACCAATTTAGCAGCTCTTGATGATGGTTCAGATGAAGATTTGACTGATTTAGTAGTGGTTGATTCCAAGAAGAAATGGGATTGCGAAAGTATATTATCATCCTATTCGAACATATTTAATCATCCTAAGAAAATCGTAGAACCTAAATCTGGAAAAATCCGCATAAACAAGAAAACGGGAATTCCGAACGATGTCTTCACTAAAAACGGTTTGACCGTTAGAACTTTGGATAAGTTGAACCAGCAAAATGATCTGCTCGAATCGAAATCGATACCAGACCACACCTCTCAGCTATCGATGCTCTCTCAGAGATCCAAACACGAGACCCCGGAGGACAGGAGAGTCCGGAAACAGAAGCTGAAAGAGTACCGAAAGGACAGGAGAATCGAGAAGAAACTCAACACTCAAGCTTTCAAAGACGAGTATTCCCGACAAATCAAAATCGATATTAACAATAGAAATAATGTACAAGGAAATAAAATACTTTAATCGTTTTAATTGTTTTAAAAAATTTTCTAAAAACTAAACGACCATGATCCCATTTGCCCGATACAGTGACCATCTTCATCGAACGTCGCTAAAGTCAACCTATTTAACCTATTACTTAGGCAAGGTAGAGTCGAAGGATAACTTCCCAGAATATAAGAAGAATGCCCTTCTGAAACAGATTTATATTCAAACAAATTAATATCGAATTATTATGTCTCTTACCAACATCCCCAGCATGATCAGCCGGTTTGTCGGTTTCATCATCTTTCTTCATCCTCGTCTGCTTCATAAACGCAGTTATCAAAGTATCCATCAAGCTGGCCTGCCTCGAAAATATCTGCAGGATTTTCGAAACGGTAGTCCCGTTTTCGACGATGTTAAATTGCACGAAAAGACACGGCAAACAATTCGGGTTTTCTTCTCTAGAGGGCCTGGCGTATTCCCAACTAAACTCCTCGAATTTCAAACCTAGCAGGAGCACCTGCAATATTGAATTTACAGAGGTTCGTACGACTTGTTTATTCGGGTCTAGGTACATATTTAATGTCGTCCATTATGTAGAGACCATCAGCATTGATTGCGACTAAAACCGGCTGGTCTTGATGGGTCATTAGAGACGTAAGGCCTGTTACTGGTTGTTCGATTTGCCCTTCGAAGTACGCAGAACTGAAAAATGCATCTTACAAACAACATTCGTTCACTGCAACAGGAATAGTTGCGTATTTCTGTTGGATTGTAGATGCGTACCCGTAGAAGGGAAGAGACCAACAGAACTCCAAATACTTCTTCATCAATTTTCTGTTAGTCGTCGAAATCGGTATCCTCTTGAATTGCTCCAGCAGCTTCACCTCCGCGGAGTTCTTGCAGCTTATCGGCAACCAGCTCCAGGTGGAGCTCTTCCTGATGTGCAGCGGCAGGTACTTCCCTTGCTTCTCTCGGAAAAAGTGAATCGTGTGCTGTTGAGGATTGTACGGCCCCAGCTCGATCCTCGCCTGTATGCCCCCCAGCATGATGTAGTGGACCTCTTCGCAGGGATACCTGCCTTGCAGGACGTTGTGCCTCGCCTCTTCGTATAACAGCTCTATAATTTTTTGATCCCTGTAAAGAGCGAATTAACGAAGAAATTGGGGAAGTATTGCGAGTTAATACTTAATTTTTTCTTCGAGTTGTTGGGAGAAGAACACGTTTCTTTGTACTATTAATCTACACTCGTCTCGTTGTTGTCTGTAGTAGGAAGCGTGACTGTATTGTTCAAGCAGGTAATTCCAGCGTTTTCTAATGTCGTAAGGTTTATGCGAAGGTTTAAGTTGAAGTTCTGCAAGTTGCAACGGTTAAATCGGTATAAATTTTCGCCCAAACACTACCTAAAAGTGGACTGACCATCCACAAGGTGAACACCTGGGAAAATAGCTGCTTGTTCATCCCTAATTCATCGCTACTCATCAGCACTTCTGATAATTGTTCAGCTGTTGAATCCATGTCTTCCATTTCTATTATGACCGCCGTATGATTGTGCAAGTAAACGCAAGTGTTAACTGCGTGGTAATCTTCGAAATTCCTCAAAGAAGATTTGCTGATACTAGAAGTCGATACAGACGATGTGGTCGTGTCTACAATAGAAACGAAGAGAATTGTTGGAATTTTCGCGAGTTTCGAATGTACCTTTGACTTTTTTCTTTTCCAAGGCGGCCTCCTGGTTGTTCTCCACGTCCCAATCGCCTTGTTTCGCCGCAGGATACTTGATCTGATCGTAACCGCCATTAATCCCAGCTAAATTCGAAAAGCTGCTATTCGAGGGCGGCAATCTCTGCGATACCGAATACAAATAGTTGGATAGATCGTCCGTTTGGGCATAATCGTCGTGCGTTTGGCTGCAATAAATTTCTTTCATCGTGAAAACCGAAGCGATAGCGACTCAAAAAGGCTCATCGATTTTCCTTACTTTTGCCACATCCTGCCGATCACCTTCTAATTACATCATCGACGCATCTCTTTTAATCGTGTGTAAAAAAACATTTTCCGACATTACATGGGACTCGTTTGCTCCGAATTCCGCCGAAAACACTGCGTTGGAGGAACCGAAATTCCTGCTGGTAAGGGCGGAGATCGCAGGGGTTGAGAATCCGGAACGCATGCGCACACCCTACAGCCGATCGCGATACAAACGTACAGAGGGCGAGGGATTCGGCGATTGAGAAATATATTAAACGATTGGGAAATGATGAGGAAAAATTAAGAAACAGCATGTGTTAATATGAGATTGTTTATTGCAAGGTTAATTAGATATTATTGGGATGGTTTGTGGTTGGTTTGAGGTGGTTACTTAATTATAAGTTTTGAGTAGTAATTGGAGGATTTAGTTTGGTAATGAATATATGTAGGTTTATAATAGGGGAATTTTAGAGTGTATAAATAGGGTTGTAATTGCTTTATGTATAGGAAAGATTTTGAATCGTAGGAATTTTAATGATTCTAATTAGACAGTAAATTGAGCTTTAAATAGACGAATCTGGTATAAAAAAATGTTTGAGCTTTTAGTAGGTCAAAAAAAAAATACGCCAGATATATCTTCGAAACGAGCCAGCAAGCAAGCAAAAAAAAAAAAGGGAAAAATCGATTGTTAACGGTTATTTTCGGCTCTCCCATCTACATGGAGGTAAGAAGATATATCCCGCGTCTTTACCCGCCCGCATACACTCCAGCCGGCGGCGGCCTCGAGCGCGTCGCGTTCGCCCCCCCGAACCGTCCCCTAAGCGCGCGAGCGCCCCCCGCGCGCCGCCCCCCCCGCCGATTTTCGGCGGACACACGAGCTACATTTTTAATCTATCGCAGCGAGCGGGATTGGACGCGCGTCGCGGCGTCGGGTCGAATTTAGATTTACGCCGTAATGTCCGCGACGCCGCCGGCGAGCGAGGACCCCGCGACCGGCGCGGCGCTCGCGTCGCGACGCCGCGGGGTTAGTCACGTCCGATTACGGAGCGCGACGAAAAGTCGACCCCTCCGAAAAAGGGCTCCTAATAAGAAGCAAAGCGTGGAAGGCTCTTTGTACGCGGAACGCGAGAGAGGGTCTCGCGTTATATAGCGGGCTGTACGGCCGTTGTGCAATAATGGCCGATCCGGCGCTATATACAGGGCGATCGGAACTCTATGAGGGTTGATATTTAACGATCATTACGTTACAAAGTGTCTATTATTGTTATCTAAATTCGATTCAAAAGGGATGTATTATTCGAAGGAATATGCTGTAGATATTTGCTAAAATTGTATCTACATTGCAATTATAAGATAATTAGATGTTTGTAAGAAAGGATGCAAGTCTAATTGAACTAAATTTCAAGAAGTATTTGAAATTAGAGGAAATAAACAGCTTAACAATACAATATCTATTTATACAATTTAATTACAAAGAATTAATTTAAACACATCTCTTTTTGTTGAACATGCAGATTTCGTTTAGAAATACCTAATTCAATTATTTAGCTACATTATGAGCTAATACAAGCGATTTTATTCATTTAAATTTCAAGTTAATCGGCATAAAAGATCCAATAAGGAGCAAACATGTAATGCAAACACACAAACTTTCGTTTTTTTATAGATATGGTATAATATTTATAATTTGTTAGATCAAGAGAAATCCAAATGCAGCTATTTATAAAAAATTAACTGATAACAGCTACGGCCTCTGTACAATAATGGCCGATCCGGCGCTATATACAGGGTGATCGGAACTCTATGAGGGTTGATATTTAACGATCATTACGTTACAAAGTCTATTATTATTATCTAAATTCGATTCAAAAGGGATCAAAAGCGATTCATTCGAAGGAATATCCTGTGTAGATATTTACTAAAATTTCTACAATTAAAAGATAATTAGATGTTTGTAGGGAAGGGTGCAAGTCTAATTGAAATTAGAGGAAATAAAAACATTTTATTTTAACAATACAATTATTTATACAATTTAATTACAAAGAAATATTTAAAACACATATATTTTTGCTGAATATGCATTTTTCGAAGACATGAGTAAAAAGATTTCGTTTAGAAATACCTAATTCAATTATTAAGCTACATTATAAGCTAATACAAACGATTTTATTCATTTAAATTTCAAGTTAATCGGCATAAAAGAGCCAATAAGGAACAAACATGGAATGCAAACACACAAACTTTCGTTTTTTTATAGATATAGTATAAGATTTATAATTTGTTGGATCAAGAGAAATCCAAATGCAGCTATTTATAAAAAATTAACTGATAGCGGCTACGGTCGTGCAATAATGGCCGATCCGGCGCTATATACAGGGTGATCGGAACTCTTTAGGGTTGATATTTAACGATCATTACGTTACAAAGTCTATTATCTAAATTTGATTCAAAAGGGATGTATTATTCGAAGGAATATCCTGTAGATATTTACTAAAATTGTATCTACAATTAAAAGATAATTAGATGTTTGTAAGAAAGGATGCAAATCTAATTGAACTAAATTTCAAGAAGTATTTGAAATTAGAGGAAATAAACAGCTTAACAATACAATATGTATTTATACAATTTAATTACAAAGAATTAATTAAAACACATCTCTTTTTGTTGAACATGCAGATTTCTTTTAGAAATACCTAATTCAATTATTTAGCTACATTATGAGCTAATACAAGCGATTTTATTCATTTAAATTTCAAGTTAATCGGCATAAAAGAGCCAATAAGGAACAAACATGTAATGCAAACACACAAACTTTCGTTTTTTTATAGATATAGTATAAGATTTATAATTTGTTGGATCAAGAGAAATCCAAATGCAGCTATTTATAAAAAATTAACTGATAGCGGCTACGGTCGTGCAATAATGGCCGATCCGGCGCTATATACAGGGTGATCGGAACTCTATAAGGGTTGATATTTAACGATCATTACGTTACAAAGTCTATTATCTAAATTTGATTCAAAAGGGATGTATTATTCGAAGGAATATCCTGTAGATATTTACTAAAATTGTATCTACAATTAAAAGATAATTAGATGTTTGTAAGAAAGGATGCAAATCTAATTGAACTAAATTTCAAGAAGTATTTGAAATTAGAGGAAATAAACAGCTTAACAATACAATATGTATTTATACAATTTAATTACAAAGAATTAATTAAAACACATCTCTTTTTGTTGAACATGCAGATTTCTTTTAGAAATACCTAATTCAATTATTTAGATACATTATGAGCTAATACAAGCGATTTTGTTCATTTAAATTTCAAGTCAATCTTTATAAAAGAGCCAATAAGGAACAAACATGTAATGCAAACATACAAACTTTCGTTTTTTTATAGATATAGTATAAGATTTTAAAATTTGTTGGATTAAGAGAAATCCAAATGCAGCTATTTATAAAAAATTAACTGTGTATGTATTACCTCACGAAATTATAAATCAAATTTTAAATTTTTCCAATAAATACTTAGAATTTCTATTGATGCAATAAACTCTTTCAGCATTGTAAACAAATTGAATCGCTCTATTCAAATTTTATTAATCTTCTAAAACGGATTGTTATTTTAACGATTATAAATATTAAGAAACTTTCGTTATTGTGCATTAGTCGACTATTGAACGGCGATTTAACTAACGAAAACCGTCGCCGAACGGTCCTAAATTATCTAGAAATTCGGCGATATTTCCTGTCGAACGAGTATTCACGGTGTGTTTTGAAACGGTTTAACGTCGACGAAACAGCAGTAGGTAGCTGTCCTAATAAGCCGCACTTTCTAAGAAAAACCCTTAAAGACGGGCTCTCCGCTGCGTTTTGCATCCTATCTCTGCGCCCTTGAGGGGTTTTAATAGCCATGCGGAATTGTACCTAATCTGTTTGCCTGGGCGATTCTCGGAAAAAGAAACAACCCCGTGCAAACGCCAACGTCGCCGTCCCGACCCGTCATCAATACTTTTGTAATTGCTGTACCGCCGCTCACAATATCCCAAAAAAAAAAAAGCAAATTTACTTTCGCGGTAGAACGGATAGGACAGCTGTACCAAAATTTTACACCGTTTTTCTGAACGCCGTCCCGACCTTCTCCGAGGATTATGGTGCATTTTTACCCCTGCAAAAGGGATCCACTCGTAAATTACTAAACTTAATAAAGGCCGTATTTAATTTTTATTAATTTGTAATCGGTAAAATATAAGGAAATCTAAATTAAATCGATTATACTCTAATTCCAAAATAATTCCAAAATAGTAGGCGCTAAATTCTCAGAAATGATTGTGAAGTTTTCGTTATTAGTTAGTCGTTATTCTATGATGGCTATTTAGAAGCTTGTAAATTATTTAAATATAAGATGCTTAAATCTAGAATCACAATCTGATACAATGTTTTCGTTTTAAAGCGATAATATGTCCAAGAATTTAGTGCCTACTATTTTGGAACTAGAGTATAAGTATTGAATATTATTTCAATAATAAATAATTAGAGAGTTTAATGCAAAGAACACTATATTTGCAATTATACAAATTAATTCAAAGCACCATTTGCGACTAATCTAATACGACGGAATTAAAATTGCAAATTACAACCCTTCCGTAATCAATTTCAATACTTTCAAAGTTAATTGATTTAAGTATAAAAAATGAATCGAATTCGGGTCGTTTTGTATTTAAATCGACCGTTCTTAAATCAATTCTTTATTCCGGCCGATTAAAAATGCAACGGTATACTTTCGTTTTCATTTTACGTTTAAAAAGTTTTCCTGCTGAAAGTGCTACCTCAGAAATCATTTTATTTTCTTTGTAAAGTTGTAAACTTCCTTTTACAAGTTTCCTTGTCGATTTAATTCACAATAAAAACTGGTTTAATCAGACATTCAACGAGCAAACGAGATACTTATCGGTATTTACGTTTGTTAAAATTATTATTATGATCTGATAACGTTTAATTCGTCGTTTTATTAGCGACGCGAGAATTTCGACGGAAAATTAATTATTTATAAGGGATGAGTTCCTGTACTCGCAGCGATTTAATTGATTAGGATAAAAACCCCGTAATAAAATAGATGGTGGGGTGCGAAATTGAAATAGACCTTTTTACCGGCGCATATAAAAAGCAACAGTTGTCTGTATGAAGAATTCTTGCACATTAGTTTCGAGTGAAATTGTATACGCACAGAGAGCGAGAGCGAGAGCGATAAGCGAGGTAAGTAAAATATAATGCCATAAGGGTTACACATATCTATATACATATATATTTTTTTTGTCTTTTGAACTTTGTGCATCTGTAGCCGAGCGTTTTGTTATCAGCTGTTCGGGCACGTGAAGTACAAAAAAAAAAAGCGGCGAAAAACGTCGGGAGACGAAACGAAACGAATAGAATAGAATAGAGGTAGCATATAGAAGAGAATAGAATATAGAGAATAGAATAGAGAAGAGAAAACGTTCGGGTTGTTCGGGGGGGTCTAGCGGATGCGAATGGCGAAACTTAGGCTGCGTGAACGCGTCTCTTCGCGCTCCGTTGCGAGAGAAATTCTTCCCGAGAGGCTCGCTGTCCCTCCGAGGGGGTGGGAGGGTGTCACGTCAAGCTATCACGCGGGGACTCGCGAACCTACCAACCTACCTCCCTTATCGCCTGCCCTGCGCTCAGTCCGCGCTAGTCCGTCGTTCGTATTGATCGGCTGGACAAAGGAAACTGACCACCGGTTTAGATTCACAAGAAACTATTCCTTACTAACTGTTCGTCCTGTGCGGTATGTGCCCCTAACGTGTAATTAATCGGAAATAAATCGCAGTGTCGACGCGCGAAAAAATTCGTATTATCGCCGGTTGCAGCGCGTGCGTTTAAAGTTTTCGTTGCCCCCCCGTTCGGTTCGGCTGTTCTGTGTGTGCATTCGTCAAAACTTTGCGGCAACTTTATATTTGTTTCAGAGAAAACTTTTCACTTTATGACTTTTTCGAACTGCGCACTCAATCGGACAGTTTTCATTGGCGTACGACCACGTGCCTCATTGTTGTGATATTTGTAACGATGTCGGCGAAGGCTACCAAACGGCCTTTGCGATCTATGACCGCCCACGAAAAATTGGACGCTATTCGGCGGGTGCACGACGGCGAAAGTAAGGCGTCCGTCGCTCGGGACATCGGCGTTCCCGAATCGACGTTGAGAGGTTGGTGCAAAAACGAGGATAAAATCTCCTATTTATCGAGGCAATCCAGCCCGGAGACCGACGAATCCTTGGACTATCCGTCGCAGATATCGAAAAAAATCAAAATCATCGACGACGTCCAGCATCCGGAGCCGTTCAATTTGAGTATGAAAACGACGCCGAATAATTGCTCGTCGTACGAAGACTCCAATAAGTTGCCCTTACCATCTGCCGCTAATACCGATTCTTCGACGCCGAAATCAATCAACTCGCTCTCGGAAAGAGAAAGGAACAGGGCCGAATTGGCGAGATTGAGCGTCGAATTGGGCCTCAACAGGCCCGAGAGATTCCTACCTAATTTAACCAATTCATTGAGCTTAACTGATTTTAGTACAAATATATCTCTATTGGCGCAATGGAACGCGCTGTTGGCTCAACAACAACAGCTCAAAGCGTTGCAAACGAACAACAAATCCACCAAACACACCGAGGTGTCCTCGTCCAATTCAGTATTATCTTCCATTGAGCAAGCTCAACTCCAAGAGCAATCTCAACTCAATCTACCGAAAATGCAGGAATCCGTATGGTATTGGTTGAAATCGCAACAATCAGTATTAAACGTCAATCCCGCGATACCAACGACCTCGTCCACTTCGAACGGTGTATCGTCAAATCCTCTGCCTTCCAGCAGCACCATCACCCCCACGGACCAGAGTTCGTGGTTCTGGAAATGGTACAAACAAATCGCCTACAAAGAACAAGAAACCAACAACATCCTCTACCAGCAGCTGACCAAAGAAATGGCGCAAAATAAGGAGCAAACCGCGCCGGCGGCGACGTCGCCGCTTCCGGACCTTTTGCACCAGCAGAACGCCGAGAACCTGACGACGGCGAGGGAGCCGGAGGAGGCGCAAAAGGAGAACGACAAATCAGCCGTGAAAGTTCGATCGGTTTTGGACAATTTGCTGTTCAACAACAACAACAACGACAATTCGACGACGGACAAACGGCAGGCCATCGACGAAGACGACGGTCTCAGCCAAAGCGAGGCCGTCGAACACGGCGAGAAGTTCCTCAAGTGGCTGGAATCGTGCAGTGATCCATCGGTGACGGCCGTTCAAATTATGCAATTCAAGACGCTTTTAAATAACGTGAAAACCGGCGCCGACAGGAAAAACAGCGACAACCAGAACAAAGCAAAAGTGAAAAGAAAGTGAAACAAGGCTGTATTTTAGCTCTAAACCAAATTATGTGTTGATGAATCGTTATAATGCAAAAGTGAAGCCGGTGGGTAATTCGTATTAAATAAACAAACCGCGGAGATTTTTTTAAAAATATTTTGTATACTCGAGACGATTGTGCGAAATCAAAGAGGTAAGCCGCCGATGCTGTTGTTAAAGGTATAATTACTTCATTGAAATCTTCCAAAAGTAATGGTGCGGAAGTAATTACCAGGATAATTTTCATAGGAATTATTTGTTTGTCGTTAATTCGAATTCGTCTAGCTCGAGCTAATAACTATCATTCGATTACAAACATTATAAATAAAGTTAAAATTTGTACAAAAAATAGTTGTTGAAAATTACTTTAAATATTATTTTTCTATATACATCGTTATTTTGGAACATTTTTAATTAATTCTTGGCTTTAATAGTGGCATCTGTAGCTTTCATGTTTATTTTATACAGAGTGAGTTAATAAAAACTAATTGCTCTATAAAGCTCTGAAATTTATCATTGAAGCTCAAAACGTTTTTTATAAAATTTAATATTTATCATTATTTCACTCACCCGGTATAATAGAACTCGACTAAAGCCATGTCGGTAAGATAATAAACCGACCTGTATAGTCCAGTTTCCTAACAAAATATTTTTAAATCGTACGTTTTACCATCTTGTTATCGGAAATCGAATGAATCGGTCCACCCTGTATATGTAGTTTATGTACAGTTTTTACTGGCGTACGGAATAAGTTGATTGATGCATAATTAAGTACAATTGAAAATTACCTTTAACTGTAGTTCCTTTAAATGTTACCTACGAGTACGACGATATTTATTATGATTATGAATAAAAAAAAGGTAATGTAAATATTGACTTTTTTAATCACGGTGATTTTTGAATAAGAATAAAATTTAAGAAAGCCGATATCCAAATTAATATTAGTTTGTAAGTTGAACAGACTCGCGGATTTTTCTTTACGCGAAAATATCTTGTTTTTTTTTTATTTTGTGATTAATAAAGCATATGTTGTCAATAAAACGAGATTTTATTTTTATTGTATTATCCTTCTACTTGGATAAAACTATAAGCAAATTTCCTCGAGTTTTGGGTTGTAAAATATCGCATAATTTTCGCAGAAGACCCAGTACGAGAAATTGCGTTGTCCAGTATGAAGAATCGTAGAAATTTCGAGCACTTCGTCGGCCCAGAAGGGAAAAAAAACCAGGCGAATTACGGCGAATTTCGTTCGACCATCGCGCGGAATAGGGCAATAGCTGGGGCTAGAGGGATAGGGTAGGTAAACGGAATGTTTCCTGGCCAGATCATACATTTTGCAACGTCAGGACGGAGGACATACGTCCATCAGCCCGAGGGTAAATTAAACAAGGACGGTAAGTAACGGTTCGCGTCGAAAATTCGTGCACAGCGGCGTATCGACGGCAACGAAGGGTTCCCGTCGATAAAATCGCCTTCCATCTGACCCTTCGGCCGCGAATCCGCGGAGGAGGCTCGAGAAATGGCCGTGGGAATAAATTCGACCGGCGAAATTTCGTTCGTGGAATTCGATAGTCGGGCGTTTTTCGATTCCATTCGGCGATTTCTACCTTTTTCGTGCTACGAAATTTGTTGAAATGAGCTAATTTTCTATTGAAAATGTACGAAAATTTATTTTTTTCATACGAAATTACGCTATTATAACGTTTTTGTCATATTGTGTTATATGAGAGAATTGAAATTGCTCTTTGTAAATGTGGAGAGAATACAGGGTGTCCCAATGAAAAGTAGCCCCTTTAGTGAGCTAATATTTTTTAAACGCCTAATCATAAAAACATGCGGTTTTCGTAGATATATTTTATTTTGCTATAACACAAAAATTTGTATCGCATGTACAAGGTATTTCAAAAAAAACCCTCTTTTAAATTCACATTAACTAAATTTTATCATATAGGACATCTTCTATTGTACAATAATATGTACAAATGACACATTTTTGAAAAGTAGAAGAGTCGAAATATCTCTACATCTACGGGGTGTTCCATTAAAAAAAATGGTTACTGTGTATTTAAAAGAGGAGATTTTAATAAAACACCCTGTATTAGTAATGCATAATTTCTGTATCACTGTAACAAAACTTGTAATAAAATAAAACATTTTTGAGAAAACCGCATTTTTTTATGATTAGGCATTTAAAAATTATAAGCTCAATAAAGGGGCTACTTTACATTTTGGGACACCCTGTATTGAAATAACAAACATTACGAGTGTAATAAAAATAAAAACTATTTCTAAACATTTTTAACACACTTCTATCCAGCATAAATCAATTTATAATAGAATATAGTATAACCCTTAAATTGTAAATTATTTAAGCACCAATCAATACATAATAACGCAAAAAAATATGTTGAATATCTTATTAGATAAAAAAAAAACATAAATTACGAATCTAGGATAATCCACGGTACGCTCGCATTGATGCACATAATGCTAGATTTATTTAATTATATACAACTGCCACCGAAAAAAACAAATATCTCTCAATATAGACAACAAAAACCGTCGAATTATATACATTATCCTCAGAAGAAATATATTTAAGTGGGTCATACACACGTCCATAATCTTCTCCGATGCCCCTACTCGTCGCGGCCCGACCGTTGTTGCTTATATAAAGTCGGCATTTCACAACAAACTCGAAATTTTTGAGCGCATTTTCCACGTACGAGCAGTCGGAATCGAAAAGGTAAGAAAAGTGAAAGTTTTGAAAAAATGAGAGTGATTTTTTACGTTGGCGATTAAAGTGATAAAAGATGTTGTTTTCGGCGGGGAATTATTAATAATCGGTTTCGAATTTGGGATAAGTATATGTTGTGAGATGTGAGATTTGATTATTTTTTGAAACATTTCATTTATCAGGTAACATTTTTGTATTACAAATTCGAAATGTGTGTTTTTTTATTATTTTATGTAGGCAAATTTGTAAAAATTTTATGGGTTTTTAAATGACACGTATTTGCCTGATTTGTGTATTTGCTTAAAATTTTAATAATTTATGTATGTTTTTCATGTAGATGCAGAAATTTCTAAATTTAAAAATGTTCAGTGACTAGGAATTTTTTTGAAAAATATTCTAAGACACCAATTATAAATGCATAATGATTAACAACAAGATCATTTACTACATCAGTAATATAAGTATGATTTTTAGCCATTACTCTTGAATTTTCCAAATTATCCATTGATTAGAAAAATATAATATTTTTGAATAAACAGTTCATTTTGGTAGACACTTCATAAAGAACATAATTTCCATTCACTTCCTCAACTAACAAAAAATCAATAATAACAGGCAATAATATCTAATTTCCTTCTACTTGAACCATAGAATCATGATAAAATCCTGTAAAAAAACCAATCCAATCATTACCTACCACCCTTGTCAATAGTACCAATTACTTTTCATACAGTCTCATACAGAAATTTCTTAAAAGTTACTAGTTACTAGAATTTAGTGATGTCAGATAAACGGCGCGAAGCATATACCAATAACTTTTCATTTCATCAGAGAGACTCATTAATTATAAAATCCTTTAAACCAATAAATATTTTTACTTTACCCAATACGTGAGTTGACAGGTGACTTTCTCCATATGCATATTCAAGAAATTCAATAAACGCTTTCTTTGCGAATCCGTCTCGATTGGTTTCCTCATCGGGCACGTTATGTCACACCACATCAATATTTCATTCTTCAAATATGCTCGCCATTTAAACTTTAACATCTAGAATACATAATTCATAGCTTCCGATGTTATGAAAGTTGTTGTTTGTACCAATTTGAACTTTCCCTAATATTTAAATTCAGCCAAAATGAACATATTGGCATTTTATTTTACGCCAGATAAAATTCCGAAAATTCCTTCAACGATCATTTTTTGTTTAAATAAAAAATAATCGGTTTGACCAGGAAGATTCAGGTATATCGAATAAGTAAACGATTCTTTCGACATAACGGGCGAAACGTACACGAATCGAATTTTCTTTTAACGAATATGGTGGGAAAGTTTCACGTTCTTTTGCGGTCGTTCAAAACGTGAGGTCTAGGTGACGACACAATTCAAATAACTTTTTTCCCCGACTTTCTTTTTAATGTACATAAGCTAAATGTAATGTGCAGCGGGCGTTGCGAAATTTGCGCAATTAGTACAAGCTTCAATTAAATTTACTTTAGGTACTTTCGATTTGTCACTACAAAAAGATGTGTATTTTACAGATTTTCGCGATGAAACTCGTAGCTTTTCTAATCTTCGTCGGCGTCGCGAGCGCTTTTCCGCAGAAAGAAGGCAGCGCCTACACCCAGGAGGCGATCAGGCAGGCGCAAAACACCTTCCTGATACCGAAGGACGCCCAAATCCAAAAGGTGAGTAACTCCCGGTGAAATACCCGATGATTACCGAGCGATTCGCAGGTGCAAGAAGGCATCGAAATCGGAGCCTACGAGAGCATCCCCGGCAATCAGAAGATCAATTTGTTCGAAATCCTCGGCGACCAATTCCCCCCGGAGGTAGTCAACAATCTTCAAACTCAAATCGACCAAGTAGGTCGCAGTTAATTATCCAATCGAAATCCGATTTTTTTTTGTACATACATTTTGTGATATAATATATTTTATGGTATTACGCGCATATTGGTATTAGAGTATATTTAAAGTGCCAATAAAACAAATATGAAACATGTAAATACACCAGGAATTTCTGTTTTAATCGGGTTAAATTCATTCGAGTAGAGTTCTATATATTACAAAAAAATATATGTAGTTTTTTTTTAATGTAATAGCAAATTATATTTTTTTATGTTATTTTTTTTAATAAAAACGGTTTGATGTGGATTTTTTGTATTAATTCCAAGTACCTACCTAAAAATGCGTAGTACCTCTCATACAATTTTCGGTACATCGAAGAAGACCATCAGCATTTACCGAAAGTAAAAGTGATTTTCTCTTCGCGTTATGACCTTATAAATCGATTTTTTTTAAACGCGGGGTACCAGCCAAGTTGGGTTCTCTTATTGAGAACGAGCTGCCTGAGCGGTACCAAGAAGTAACAAAATAGGTATGCTAGAGTGGGTACCACCGTGAGAGAGTTCACGGTCGTTTCCATCCATGCTAATCGACATCTTCTTGCAATTATTACGTACTGAACATATAAGAGAATATACTTGAAGTGAGAAGTTTAACTAGGTGAGTACCTACATATGTATTTTTATATACTACTTATAAAATAATATATTTTATTTGGTGAGTAGCATCTGCACCTACTTTATCAGAATGATAGTTTTAAAAGTAGGTATTAAAAAAATTAGCACATAATTGTATATTGAATACTCAATTTAATCATTCGAATGCGAAATATTAAAACGGATGTGATTAATGATTTAATTAAAGAATTACTCAACATAACCTCAACCAATAGGTACTACAAATAATAGTGATCAAATATGTTATAATAATTAACTTATTTAATTATGTTGTTTGTTTCATATAGTTATAATATATGCAGATTGTTTCGTAATAACATACTTTACATAAGTGCTTTTGCAAATTTTTAATTAACGATTATTAACGTTTTTTTTCGCTTTGATTTTGTTATAGGCGTAACATGATATCAGGAGCAATAAGAAGATGCAAAAAACTGTTTCTTATACTCGTATTTATCGTTGCAATCGTGATTTTACTGTTCCTAAAATTGTCCCATTCGAAAAAGGACGAAGAAGAAACGCATTCTAAACGTAACTGGAGGTATTTTATTCATCTACAGAGTGTCTACGTTCGAGCGCTGCAAACAGTAGAAAGAGAGAATCAGTCGAACTGTGGAGAGGCGCGGCTTCGGCGCGATGAATCGGCGTACGAATGTAGCGCTCGAACATAGACACAGTGTATACTTTAATTAAAAACGAAACCACTACAAAATACAGGGTATTCCTAAACATCGTGTACATCCGAAAAGTGGTGATTCCTTGGCTTATTTTATGACTAAAAGTTCATATAAACATAGATCCGCAAACGCTTCGTTACCGATCTACAGAGTGTTGAAATTTCAAGATTTTTTTTGTTTCTTTTTTAGAGCTCCTGCAGTTTTTGAGATATTTAGCTCAAATTAGGTATAGGATATAGGGTAAAGAGTATAATTTAAGTAGGAGGGGGTCACTTTCAACATTTATTATAATGTAATTTAATTATTATTTAGGGATTTTGTTTTGTAAAATAAATCACTTGTACAGAAAATCATTTTTAATTTTTTTCTCGATAACGGTCACAGAAACGAAAAAAGTTTAAAAATAATAAAGTTTCTAAACAAAACAGACAATTCATTTTGTAATTTAGAATCTACCAGCGGCGCACAGCAAAAAAGTTCGGGGAGAAAAAAGGGTACATGACCCCTGGAAAAATATCACCCTGTAGAATTCAACAACCATCTGATATACCCAATAATGTATGCCCTATAAAGCAATCTAGATTCAAGATTTGAGCTAAATATCTCATAAAATGCAGGAGCTACAAAGAAAACCCCAAAAAAAATTGAAATTTCAACACCCTGTAAATCGGTAACGAAGCGTTTGCGGATCTATGTTCATATGAACTTTTAGTCATAAAATAAGCCAAGGAATCACCACTTTTCGGTTGTACACGATGTTTAGGAACACCCTGTATATGCCAGTACTTATTTCAGAAACAACGAATACGTAGATAAAAATGGCATAAGCGTGATAGTGGGTCACTACGTGGGAAACTTGGGCTACAACAAAACGAAATTACCGGACGAAATTTTAAATTCGAACAACTTCGCACCGGACCCGAAAGCCGGAAGAAACGGCCAGCCCGTCATCGTACCTTCCAAGGACTTCATCAAAATGCAACAGTTATACCAAATAAACCAATTCAATTTGCTCGCCAGCGACAGAATACCCCTCAATAGGAGCCTGCCCGACTATCGACGAAAAATGTAAAATACTCTCTACTTTTAAACATATCAATTTTACCTGTTCAATTCAAAAAATTACCCACGAAACTTTTTTTTATCAAGCTATGTTCTTTAATTTTGTAGGTGTACTGCGTTATTTAAAGACTACTTAAATTATCCGAAAACTAGCATTATTATAGTATTTCACAACGAAGCTTGGTCCACTTTACTGCGAACAGTATGGAGCGTAATAAACAGATCACCCAAAGAACTGATAAAGGAAATCATACTAGTGGATGATGCGAGTCAAAGAGGTACATAAAAATACTAAAGGTATTGGAAACTGCGATTCCAATTAGAACACCGATAACAATAAACCAGGATATCTTGGTATGAGCTTATAACAGTAAAATACCAATTGCAGATTTCCTAAAGAAGCCATTGGAAGACTACATCCGCAATTTGCCGGTCAAAGTAACCCTAATCAGGAGCGCGATCCGGATAGGTTTAATAAAGGCGCGCCTGATGGGAGCCTCGCAGGCCGCCGGGGAAGTACTCACGTTCCTGGACGCGCACTGCGAATGCACCACAGGCTGGTTGGAGCCTTTGTTATCTGTGATACACGACGACAAAACCACCGTTGTTTGTCCCACCATCGACATCATCAACGACGATACGTTCGCCTACGTCAAAAGCTTCGAGCTCCATTGGGGAGCTTTCAATTGGAACCTCCAATTCAGGTAAAATCTACTGCAAAAAGCATTAGTACTCTACTTTTAAAGGACATTCGCGCTCGGTAGGCAATGACGTCATTTTTAGACGACGTCATTAATTTCCACGCAGTACAACATTTCCCTAGTGTCAATGTTAATTCTCCCATTTGACTAGGGGAATTTAACGACGCGTAGTTGAAAGTCGAAGGCGATGTTGTCATGCATTAGTCTCAACATTCGCAATATTTAGCGGCGCTTTGTAGTTGACACTTTGACGGGTTGTGACTACAATTTGTTGTTTTTGCGCGATTTTCCTGTATTTTTTTTAAGTTTACGAGTAGGTTTTGTGTTTTTCGTTCGTTCGAGATAGTTTTTCATGCGGTTTATGTACATTTATCGACAGTTTCTCTCTCCCGCGATTTTCGGTGTTTTTCGATCTATTTTGGGAGGGAACGAGACGATGTAGGCCCTTTTTTCCCGATTAATTCCCGATCAATATTTTCGATAGTTCAGCACATTGAAATTTATAGGTTATGTTAAATTTACGAATAGTTTTTTTAAATGTATATTTCTGTTTTATAGGGTTGTGAAGCGTTGCAAATAAACACCTCTCCCGTCAATCGGATTGCAACCTAATGCATTTCTTCTTTTTAATTTCTAAACAATGAAAGTTAACATAACCTTAAATTAAACATATCTGTCACATCAAGATTTTCATTTCAACCCGGCAACGTTGCAACATGTTGGCTTGTGACGTCATTGCCTAGCGAGCGCGAATGTCCTTTACTACTTTCACTCTATTCTTCTCTACTTAATACCAATATGGTCAAATACATCAAAATTTAACTTAAATAGAAATCAAAGATTGCAAAATAAAGCTATAAAAAATACATACAATATACCATATGAAACTAGAACTAGTGAATTATATGCTTCTCTACCAATTTTACCTATCAACAAAACAGCAGCCTTAGAAAAGTGTAAATTGGCCTTCAAGATAAAAAATGGATATCTAAAAAGCTCGATCATTCCAACAATTACTTCACAAATCCACAACTACAACACTAGAAATGCAGACAGAATTGAAATTCAATATCAAGTGAGAAGTGAAAAAGGCAGAAAGTTACCAAGCTACAGTTGTTTTAAAAACTTTAATGAACTTCCAAATTCTTTGAGAAATTTAAAAAAGATGGACAGATTTAAAACTGAAGTCAAGAAATATTTAAACGAATAATCGATCGCTTATTTTCTTCCATTTATTTTTAACTAGATTTCTAGAGTTCTAGATCTTTACCTTATCATTTATTTTGTATATTCTTAATATCTATATAATGTTATATTTTTTTTTCTTTTTACTCTACTGTACCAACTTCATGTTGTTTTGTAGATTTATATGTATAAATAAAAATAAAATAAATACTACTACTAACTGAAGGTGCAGGGGAACCTTAACGAAGACAGGCTCAAGCCAAGGTTCCGGTATAGACGAGGCCTCTCTGGCGAAGCCTCATGAAGCTGATGTCGGAACTCAATTAGAATAATTTTGTTGTAGATGGTACACTTTGGGCGACAACGAAATCAAATTGAGGAAGCAGAACATAACGAGGCCGTTTCACTCGCCCGTGATGGCGGGTGGATTGTTCGCCGTGGACAAAGAGTACTTCTACCGGATGGGCGGCTACGACGAGGACATGCTGATTTGGGGCGGCGAGAACCTGGAGATGTCCTTCAGGCTGTGGCAGTGCGGCGGGAGGATCGAGATATCGCCGTGCTCGCGCGTCGGCCACATATTCAGGAAGTCGTCGCCGTACGGGTTCCCGGGCGGGCTGGACAGGACGCTGTTCTCCAATTTGGCCCGAGTGGCCTTGGTGTGGCTGGACGATTGGGCGGATTTTTTCTTCAAGTTCAACGAGCAGCCCAGGTGGAGTTTGAGGTATGTTCCCGTTCGATTCGGCGTCTAATTGTTCGATTGGTAGGTCGGTGAGAGCCAACCAGAACGTGACCAAGAGACTGGAATTGAAGAGGAAATTGAAGTGCAAAAATTTCTCTTGGTATTTGAGTAACGTTTGGCCGCAGCACTTTTTCCCTACGGACGATAGGTTTTTCGGTCGAATAAAGAACGTAGGAAGGAACAAGTGTCTTCTGAAACCGGATAGAAAGGATCTCTCTAACCAACCGGTCGGAGTGGCTACTTTAAATCTGTAAGTATGAAACAATGCGATAAACTCGAATATATTTTATAATTCCAGGTGCTTAGGTGACGATGTGCAAATCGAAATGTTTATTATGACCCAAGAGGGTTTAATTATGACTGATGATTCGCTCTGTTTGGATGCTCCAAATAAACCATCGGCTGATGCCATAGAGGTGCGAATAGTGGCTTGCCACAAATTCCCCAGGCAAAAGTGGCGTTACCACGCAAAGGTATTTTGAAATTTTCGAAAATTGATTGCGTTACAATACGAATAATCGGTTTGTAGACGAAAGAAATCCGCCACAATAGCAGCAACAAATGTTTGGATGTGAAGCTCGGAGCTAAGGAGAATATAATTTTAGTAGAATGCGACGGGAGTGTTAATCAAAAGTGGATTCTGGAGCCAGTACCGTGGAGGTAAATAAAATTTAAATTACCAAAATTATTTATTGGTAAATTTAACACTAAACACTCAAAAATACGCACACAACTGGTTCCTCCATAACGGCAGTAATTCGTAAACTACTTTTGTACTTATTTTTGGAGAAAATAAATCAAATCAATCACAAATCCAATCTTCTATGTACCATCACATACTTCCCGATCCGCGGCGAAAGCGGAAACGTGGTATGAAAAATTTCATGGGTTTGTTTATACCTAAAAAAAACATTCATTTAGCGCATAATGGCTTAATTAGCGTCCTCTTACATGGTTAAAATGTACGAAATTGCGGGCACAGCGACATCGTAACTAATTATGTGAGATGGTAACGCGCCATCAAAAGGATAATTCGCCTTCAACCATCTATCGGGATTTTCATAAAAATAATCCGCCTCGTCCACGTAATTGTCTACTTTATTGAAATTAGGCAAGCAAGTGAGGAACCTTGTGGTTACATTAACGTGTAGATGGCTACAAAAATTAATTAATACACTATTAAAATACATATAGTCGGTGCAAAACAAATATCATTGCACGTCACTACTGTCGTCATACTTGCCAAGCATTGTGGCCAACTTTTACAAATAAATGCACAAAATGGATTAAGCTTAATATCTGCAGAATTTAATTTAATGTTAACAAGGGATGATAGAAAATGTTAAAAGGCAGAATTAATTGATCCAAAAAAATATATATTGTCAAAATTCAATGTTTTGTATATAAAATTATTATTATTTTCTTATAGTAGGTTGGTAGGCACTGACTGTCAAGTAGCATAGTTGCCGTTGTCATCCGATCGGTACTTTACATATTCAATTACTTCTTTTTTCTAGTTTACTACCCTCAACTACTAAAGGCTAATAAGCCAAATAATCAAGAAATAAGAATTTTTGCGAAATAAGAATTCTGGAGTTTTCTCGGAAATTTCACTATGTACTCTCTTATGGGTTAATTGTACACTAAATATTTTACTCGCACTGTTAAATATATTTCAGATGGTAAAGGATATTGATGATTAATTATAGTGAGACCCTGAATACGTCCGCAGTTTAGAAACGTGATACAGGAACCCCTAATTTCCAATTTGTTCTTGTCATTTTGCCATTTGACAACTTTAGAAAATTCTTAGATTTTGTAAACTCTATAAAAGTTCGGCAACACTGCCTACTTGTGACGTAGTAAATTATAGGTGACGTGCATTGATATTTGTTTTGCATCGACTATATACCAAGATTTTTATACCTATACAGAGGTGTTGAATGACAGGGCATTAAGAACAACAAATTCGTATTGTTAGGGTCATTATTCGATACGTCCCTGAGGGCAGTCATCACGTCTAAAGTTCCACGTTGGTGCTCCATTCCTAGCACCCAAGCAGCACCTAAATTCCCTGTAAAAATCACTATCGTCGCCAACCATACTGAAAATCTAAAAGTTTCAATAGAATATACTATTTCTCGAGCTTTATAAAACTCACTTTGTCGCTTTCCTGCTCCAAGCAGATAAAAATCTTGAGGAAACGTACAACATAAACGGCAATAGTGGAAGTATGAATCGAAACTCTTTGTGCGGCAACAAACTAAAATAACAACAAATAAATTAGTAATTAAAATAGAGTAATTGAGGGTATACAAAACCTGTAAATCGTTATTGTGAAGATGATGATGCCCAACATAATCAGCTCGTTGGGATGATTACCTCTGTGTTTTAATATAGTCATTACGGCCCATAAGAACGGAAGGATGTTTATACTTAACAAACCGAGTAAACCGGAGGATAAGTACCAATGCCACGGGTTCGCGCCGTAGAATCCGCTCAAGTTTTGTAGCAAGTTGAATTTGAAAAATTCGTAAGGCGTTATTATTAACGAGCCGTGACAAATGCTGTCCAATAATACTGTAAAAGCGAGTACAGGAATTCTGGAAAAATATTAATTTACACGTTTTGCGGGGATGTTTATGATGATGTAAATTTACCCTATGAGTAAATATTTCGTTAATTCAGTCAAAAACGTATTTTTGCTTATCCATATGTGGTAAAAGCACAACGGGGCCCAAATTATCGCAGATGTCGGTCGTATGAAGAATAATAACGCTGCTATCCAAATGAAAATCCTCGATTCCTCTAAAAATAATTACATCGTTTATTCAAAACCTTTTCCGAAGCGATTGCTTAGTACCTATTCCCTTTCCGGGCCACGGAAACTTCGACAAACCGATAGTCGTTAAAGCACATTCAAAAGTATTTATTATTGTTCTGGATCCGGTGTAAAACCAATACCACGATGTGGCTATAGAGAATACCGCCCATTTCTTTGTGCCCGACCATTTGTAGAAACACAAATCCGAATAAGCGCTTAAAATCGCTTGCAATACCCGAGGACTGTAAATCTGTAAAATAATACATAAATTTACCATCGAACATTTATTTACTTACTTACTTACCAAAGCTTGTGGGGAATCTAAACCGACGACTTGAAGGAACTTATACAAACCGGCAATGATTAGAGGAGGAATGTAACTCCGGATACCTTTGCTCCATTCCCATGTTAAATAACCGTACTTAAATACCAAGTTGTGAGCAACTTCCAGGGATTGCCAGTATTCGTCGGGCACGTAGAACGTTTGAACGAAATAAACTGAAGCAAGTCTTACTAGCAAGAACAAAAAGAACACGTCCAAATTCTTCATAATGTTCAATTAGTGTTTGTCAACTTGAAGAGCGGAATCATCAATTAAAGTGGGTGAGTTTTCGAATCGGGTAAGAAGCACGTGTAACAAAACTAGGAAATTCGACTATAAATACCGTTGTACTACTAAAATTGTGCCGTTATATTAATAGAACTGCTAAATTAAAATTATACTGCAGAAGCTGGGTTATATTTGTAGGTTAGTTTGTTTGAAATTTTAATAGAGTGAAGTTAGATAGAGCCGCTTAGAAAAATAAATTCATAAAAAAAGAAGAAGTAATAATCTTTACTGAGGAATTGAGGTTATGTTTTTTGTTATGATTGGAATTTAATAAACAATATTTACTAAAAAATGGCACACAAAATATTGGGACTATTCAAATTAACCTATTATTCGATACCAAATACACAAGTACCTAACTCAATATTTCTAAAGTGTAATTACTCCATAATTCATTAAAATTTTCATTGTTCCTCCAATAATTCTTCTTACAGGCAAACCATATGTGTATCCTTTATCAAAAAGACACTTCGCAACTGATAACAAAGAGTTAAAAGAAGTATCTTACGCTGAAGTTAAAAGAATTTGCGATGAAGCAAATAAAAATGTTAGCATTATTGATGTACGGCAACCTGAAGAACTTCGACAAACTGGGGTAATACCTGGAAGCATCAATATCCCATGTAAATAAGTGGATTTAAAAAAAGGGAGATATGTTAAATGCTTTTTATTTTAGTGGATCAAGTAAAAGACGCCCTTAATAATCTCACAGCCGATGAATTTAAGAAAAAGTATGGTTGTGATAGACCCGAGAAGAACTCGTTGATTATTTTTTCTTGTAAATTAGGAATGAGAAGTGCTGCAGCTCAAGAAATCGCTGAAAAATTGGGATACAAAATGTGAGTTTATTTTTATTAATTTTAATGTCTCAAAGTATCAAATTGCAGGGCAAAAAACTATCGAGGAGGATGGGATGACTGGGAAGAACGTTTGAAAAAACAGAAATAGATTAATTATTATTTTGAAATTAAAAACAAATCCATAAATGCGATTTTTATTCAAATAAATGTATACACTGGCATCAAATTTGAATTTTGTTTCAACACACCGAGTTAATCACAGGCCAAAAATTACATCAAATGAACGTTCAAATTTAACACCACCGTATATTTTGGCATGAAAATACATAACAATAAAGTATAAAAAAAATAATTGTTATTACAAAAGAAAATAAATAGCTATGTACAGGCGCACAAACAAAATAAAAAAATTAAGTCGCCAACTAATCGTGAACCTTCAAAATAAACAGGGAGTTGGAAATTTAAAAAAAATGGCACAATTCGTGCTTGATATCTTGAATAAAATCCCCAATTTTTAACAACCCTGTACATATTATTTACTAGTTATAAGCACACAAATAATACGAGTAGAAAATATCCTTCAATCCTTCTCATTTATACTTTGCCCAATTATTATTCTATTATAAATAAATTTATTTTAATTATCACAAATTAATGAAGAAAAGTTCGTTTAAAATAATCGATGAGGATTTCATGCACATTAATGAGCAAAAGTTCCGGTAAGCACAGAATCAATTATTGGTTTTGCGTAATACTGAAACCTTAGTTCATAATGAAACATATTGCCTTTTAAAAGTTAGTAAATAAACTATTCCATTCATATTTCTAATATCTGATGTTTTGTAAGATTCCCTCGATACAAGCAGATATGAGAACATGATTGTAAATTAAAAAAAAACTAAGTATACAGTTTAAACAGAATAAATTGGCTTAATTTCACCTAAAGTGTACAATAAATGTAATTAATACCATACTTTAAAATGTCTTGTGTTACATTTATTGATGACGTCCTGTATAATGTAGTTACGCTTGTAACACAGCCTATGAGAGAGACGTATGTAAATCGTTATATAGAAAAATTGTTGATAATTGTTATATAATATTGCACAGGCGAAATTATGTTTTAATTAATTAGTTAGAACTATAGAGAAGGTACTACTTGCATCCATATAACATACGATGAAAGAAAATTGTACAAATATTTAAAGGCACTTGCGCTAAAAAATGTAATGAGAACATTGAATTATCTCGTAATAGGAAGTAGTTAGTAAAAAAAATGAATCAATAGTGTAATATGTACAAGCAGCTATCAAGTTTTTAAATACTATTAAATGGATAACATTATACAGGATGTTATAGTGCAGTCGCAACGAGTCCTTATCTCCCGTTTTTAATAATATTAGAAAGATTATGACACAGCTTTATACAGAATTTTTATATTCCGCAAAAAAATAACTGCCAAAAACGTCCAAAACGCCACTTTCAAATCAAATTATATCTCATCATTCTTGCGGAATATAAAATTTAATATCTAACATACAATATGTCCAGTTTCTGCTAGTACGATTAAAAAAAAACATTTTAAAATTGTGATTATCGAATTAAAACGTTAATAAAAATTATCACAACCGAAGTGTAAAATAAAACAACGATCTTTTTAAAACAAAGACATATCGTACGTTTTTTCCCCGTAAATTAAGATCTACCAAACGTTTAATATAATTGGCTAATATTGTTGTAACCGTCTATCGCATAGGCGTCAAAGACAACGGTCCCATACTGCTAAAAGACGAGTTCGGCATAGACGGTATCGATATATTCAATTTCTCCAATTCATCGACCACCTGATTATTTCGCAGCTCCTGCGTAGTGTAGAGAAATTTGTTCCATTCGTCGTGTCTCGGATGCGCGAAATTCTACAAAACATATAATCTAGCTAGCACCAACAACAAACTATAAAATATAAGCGAATACATTGCTTATAAATACGCAACTTTTTCAAGTATTTTTTTTAATATTCTGGAAAATAAAAAAGATGGAAGTTTTTAAATTTTCTTTAAATTTCGAATATTTTTCAATACGTACCTGCCATTACCATACAGATGTCAAAAATAATAAATAATTAATGACAAAAAATTAATATTTCGATTGCTGAATTGAAAATGGCTCATCTTTATAAAAATAATGAATTGGTGGACATGCTGATTATTTATGGAGAGTGTTTTCAAAGCGTTTAACCGTATTAACTAACTTTAAAATAATTAAAAATTGAAAAAAAAACATGCTCTCTTATTTTCCAGAATATTCAAAAATTTTACTTGAAAAAGTTGCTTATAATTAAAAGATCTATACGCAGTTAAAAAAAAGTAACAACTTATGTACTTATAACATGTACCTACTTATTTTAATAGGTAATTTTTGGGCTAATTTTGAGTCGAAAAGTTCATATAAAGGTATGTCCTCCGAAGCTCGGTTTTCGATAAACAGGCGTTGTAAAGTTTTATTTTTATTTAGGTTTTTTTCATAAATTAAATACGATTTTTTTAACCAGTGGCGTAGATATGGGTAGATCTTGGTAGAATTTTATCTAAAAAAAGTAGTACGCCACTGTTTTTTAGAAACTTTCTTTAAAAATTATTGAGAAACAATTCATTTTAAACAAAAAAAAGTTTCTTGCATTTTTGTCGTGGAACTATCTACTTATATGCTACATGCGTAGTTTTACCATAATATGTTATCCTAAAATTCAATAATGTACAGTTGTATTAAAAAAAGGGTATAAATAATAGAAAGAGACATTAACGTCATCCCGGCTGGGATTATTGGAGCTTATCTAATGTCAAAAGTTGTCAAAAATGTAAATAATTAGTATCATTGGTCATTATTTCGTTTAATTGAGCCCAACGCCAATGATTTCCATTTTTTTCAACATATCACATTTGATAAGCTAAAAAAATTCTAGCCAGTTTTACGCAAATAGGATGACGTTAATGTCTCTTTCTATTACTTGTACCCTTTTTTTTAATACAACTGTAATATCGCAAACGGTTTTTCAAATTTTCAGAATAAAAATACAAACCTGTAGATATATCGAAAACCGAGCTTCGGAGGACATATCTTTATATAAACTTTTCGACTCAAAATTAACTCAAGAATCGCCCAATAAAATAAGTAAATTGCATTAATGTAACACCATATATGTAATACCTCTGCAACGTCGTACACCCAGATCCTGCCTTGGTTATCACCGACGGTGACCTGCAGCCCGTTGGGCGTCCACGAAACTTTATTCAAAGCCGGATTTCCTTCGACGTAGACGCTCGCCGCCGGCACTTCCGTATCCTGGTTCAAATTCCACAAATCCAATCGACCGCTGCCGTCCACAGCGGCGAACAGAGCCGGATGAGTCGGCGACCATTTCACATCCAAAACGTAATCGCCGTTATCTTCGAACGAATAAATCGGCTTCGAGTCCTGCGAACGCAATCAAATACATCTCAAATCAGTAATTAGAAGCATTAGAAGTATTAGAAGTAGTAGTAGTTTTTCAAGACAGCTTGAGTATTAGTGAACGACAAAGGTACAATCAGGTCGATTCTGTTCGGATCTTGTTATGAATCTTGCTATGATAACCAGGTTGTTAAATGTTTAAGGTATAACAATATTGCCAAAAATTGTCTTATTCTGTTTCGATTAGTTTAGCAATGTTGGTTATATTTTTAACGCTTAACTTGTTAAAAACATGTAATTATCTCAATATAATCGAAAAAAGAAAAATCTTCCGTATTTTTTTATTTTACTATTACAATTGACGCCTGACGGCAGCTTTTCATGTGTTTTTTATTTTACATGTGTCAATTATTTTTATTATACATTTCTGAACTAGCAACTTGTAGATGAAAAGCTGTTGTATATGATTTCGGAATGGTTCTTCTAGAACTTCTGACAACTGTTGAATTAAATTTAAAGCTGTTGCCTTATTTAAGTTTTATAAATGTTTCATTTAGCAAATCAAAGGGTTACTTGTATCTCGTATTTGCAGAAAATGTAAACTTATAGCTCATATATAGCAATGAAAAATGATTGGATTAGCCATATTGATATTAAATAGCAAGTACAAAAATGACATTGTTCAAATAGCAAGATTTATAACAAGATATCTTTACTAGTGACAGATCATAAATTACACGAACAGGTTATTCTTTAGGACATTGCTATGATAACAATATCTTTATGTAGTAGCCAATAACTATATTGCTATTTACAAACAGAATCGACCCGAATAACAATGAAGATCGCATTGCTTTTTTTTAAACTAACGCATATCGTTCCAACCACCGTCTCAAATTCACAAAATTATCATCAACCAGTACCTTCAAACTCCACAATTTAATAGTCCAATCGATCGACGACGTGAGGAACATGTGCGAGAAATCGATGCCGCCCTGCACGCCGTTGGCGCTGATGCCGGTCACGGGACCCTGGTGCCCGTCGTACGTGTCCGTCACGCCCACTTTGGCGCCGTGCCGGCACGCCGAATACGCCGAACCCTCCTCGCTGCCCACGACGAAGTTGTTCACGTCCGAATGCGGGAAATCCAAGCAGGTGACGGCCACCGGTTTCGATTGCATCCGGTGCAACTCGAGGATCTCCTGCGGCTGGCCGAGCATGTCCAACGACCACGAGCACAGGCGACCGTCGGTCGAGATGCTGATCAGATTGTGCGCGTTCTGCGTGCCCACCACGCTCATGCAGTAGACCGGGTGCTGTAAATTACACGTCGATTTTTTTAATGCTTTCGATGCGTTACTGACGATTAAGGCAACACCGCTCACGGAGCGACTGTTTTGAAATAAAAGATTTCAATCTATACTTCGTCCATTAAACCAATGGAGTAGCTAAAACAAGATTAGACGCTGGATCAACGCGTGATCACAAGTGATTGGCCAGCGTAAGGAGGCTTTTTTATTTTACCCAATAGATGCAAACATGCTTGATGATCACGTGTCTAACCTTGTTTTGGTTACTCCGTTGGTTGGATGGATGAAGTATAGTTTAGTCTGTAACCAGTTTACAACTAATATTAAACTTCTGTACGCACACGGATGCGACTATTATAAAATAGTTTCAATCAGTTGCCATAGTAATTTATCGAATGTCGAATGAATAACACCAGAAATTGGCAAGAATTTTAAGCAACTTGAAACTGCAAAGCGAGACTACGACCGCGGGAAATTGTCGGGTACAACGGGCTTATGACTTATTACAAACTAGTTTCATTTGAATCGACTTGTGTGCAGTTCCACACTACTATACATCGCCGAGGTTGCAAAATAGTTGCAAGATCAACTGGTTTACAATTTTTATTTTAAAACATTTGCTCCGTGAGCGATCGGGCTAAGTGATTAGTACCGTGTGCGCGGAAGCCGACAATGGGGTCCTCTGTATGGGGGTCCGTTTTTGCACTCTGTTGTCCCATAGGACGATCTGTCCCGAATAGGTCCCACCCAGGATTAAATTGGGATGGAATCGAGCGAAGGTGGCCGACAGCACGGCGCTTTGACAGTGAAAAACGTACTCCGGCGTGGTTTTCTTGAATTTCGTGTTCCAAATGAGCACGACGCCGTCGGGATCGTTGGGAGATTCTTCGTTGTTGTTGTAAGCGGCGAGCATCAGTTCGGGAAACTGCGGCGACCAGTCCAACGAGGTGACCGTTCGATTGCGCGACCATCGATCGTCGAAGAAATTCCGTTGGAACGAAATGCGCTGATGAGACTTTTCGTCCCTGGAAATTATCATTGATATACACTGTGCTTCATTCCAGATCGCAATAAATTTTATACAGGGTGGCCCAGAACGCACGCCTCACCGTAAAATGCCTTATGGAGGCGACAATGGAGATGCCAAAACTGCAGCCAAAAACATGAAAAAGGTATTCTTTTGGTAAATAAAGAGGAGTAAATAAATAAAGAGATTTGCTTCCAAATTGGTTAAAAAATCGATCATTCGATTCGAACCACTTTTAAAGCAATAAAAAATTCTTTAGGTTTGGTATCAGCACAACGGAGTTCCTAAATGATCGATTTGAAAGCAAATCTTTGATCAATAGTTAGAGCTGAGTTTGGCAAATTTTGTTAACCTTGAAAGTAAAATGGACATAAAATCTTTCAATAATGTCAAAATGGTGTATAGCTAATTCACGTCATTTTCGTGGATTTGAATTCCTACTGGGATTGGTCGATTTTAAACCTCTTTATTTACCAAAAGAATAACTTTTTTATGTTTTTGGCTGCAGTTTTGGCATTTCCATTGTCGTTTACATAAGGCATTTCCCGGTGGGGCGTGAGTTCTGGGCCACTCTGTATAGGCTGCAGGTGCGATAAAGACAACTTCCATTAGACACTTATAAAGGAAAAAGAAAGACTGACATTTCTGTCATTGCAACTTTTCCTCTGACAATTGTCATCATGATTGAATTAAAGCAATCGGTATAACTAAAACAGATGAAACTGTTTACAAAATTTTACCAACAATAGGCCATAGTCTAACAGAAAATAGAGGTAAAACATTGCATGTTGTCGCGCTATTTTTTACAATTTCCTTCTGTTGTATTTTTTATTTTTATATCATTATTTTAATAATATTTCTTTGTTCAACTCATAGAAATGCCCATGTTGCAATCGCGAATGAAGCACGGTGTATAATAAATTGCAAGTTTAAGAAATGTAGTTTCAAAATGTGACGAATTATATATTTCAAAATTCCAGATTTCGATTAAAGAGAGATCAGAAAACAGTATCTATCCCATCTTCCCAGCGAATAATAGCACATAGAGGGAAAGCGGGAAGCAGTTGTCACTGTTTTTTCATATAATATCTACAAAATTTTCAAAAGCAATATTATACAGGGTGTTTCACAACTTATCCGACAAATTCTAACCACATATGCACTGTTATGAAAGAAGTTGGTTTCTCAAAATTTCTATGGGGATACTTGAGAAACGAGGTATACCGTACTCCAGTTGGGAACAATTTTGAACATCTTGTATAAGTAATTGAACTGTTAAACTATTATTTTATTATCTCGATTTCTGTAAAGACTTTTTTACATTTTTTTTTGGAAATCAACTTCTTTCGAAACAGTGCATATGTGGTTAAAATTTGTCGGATAAGTTGTGAAACACCCTGTATATTGTTATATTTTTACCATAACAATTCTTAACATAATTAAATTGTTATTTAAAATATTAATAAATTTGCCCACGTTCAAGGCGCCTGATTGGATCCGCCATGTTACCTCTATTTTCCTATCTTACTTTTTCTGCCTGGTTTACCTAATATGTGACAGATAATTTTCAATGTTGGCGTTAAAAATTTTTGAATTTATAAATGACTTGTTGGGGATGCGGAAACTATCGTTAAACATCGATAACTTTCTTGTACGGGATACTACTCTCTACTTACAATCCTTCCTCTCCGAAATTTCCGGTATAATCCATATAAATATCTACGTTTTCGCACAAAGCCCTCTCCATGATCCTACCCGCTCTATCGATGAAATGCTGGAAGTCTTCCGATAGAATAATCATCTGCTTCTCTTCTTCGCTAAGCTCTCGAACTGGAATTAATCGGATCAAATTTACGATTACATGAATAATCTTCGCTATTACCTTCTTTAAGGTCCTCTTTCTTCTGTTGCTCCTGCTCCAAGGCGGTGACGGCCGGTTGGACTTCCTTGACCTGGGGCAGCCCGTGGGGAAGTATGCCCGGGGGCAATTTGCTGCCGCCGAATCCTCCCAGATGCGGTGGTAAACTGCTCTCCTCGTCTTCGCCTTCTTGCCCATCGTCATACGTCAAAACTGTGGTGAATAATGGGTACGCTCTTTGCGACATTCACACACTTACGCATGCTTACGGGTAACTCATGCAAATCGGGCGGAATAATTTTGCTAATTTTTAAATTTATTTCATGTGTCTATCGGGTATTGTATTTTTTTACCGATTTTAGAGATTTTTTTTATTGTTAAACCAAAAAAAATGCTATTTCACACGCATACACATTCTCACGAATCTCACAAACGTTCAGAATTCAGAAGCAACGAGGAATAAAATATAGTGAAAAAGGTGTCTTTTGTGGGAAAACAAAAATAGGTATATATTTTGTGTATGGGAAAAAAATCCAATATATTATTGATCAATTTTTAATCGAGAGTGATTCCAATATTATAAAAAAATATGCGTAAAAAAGAAAAAACGTGCTACACAAAGACAAAAAACATGCAAAACATGCGTTAATAGAAAATGTGCAATACTAAACTATCTAAAATGTAAAAAGAAATAAAGCAGAAATATGCAATAAATCTTAATTTTTTAGTATCTACATTTCTTCTAATTTGTGTAGAAAATCTGCCATTGGGAGACCATTTTAATGCAGTTTAAATAGTAAATGATATGATTTTAGTAGTATGTATTTCATATTGGTGAGTTATTTAAAATAAATATCATGCAGTGAAATATATGTAGGATTAATTCATGACAGCGACTGCTTTTATTTCATTAAAGTATTATACCTATTTGTTGTAGAATTATTTTATAATATTGAATTTCACAAAACGATGAAGTTCAATTAAATAAATCAAATTTATATGGAATTAACGTAAAATTATGTAGGCAAAAACTTATTTAAATTCAATTAAATTTCATCGTTAAACAATGTTTTGCCGACATGTAAGACACACAACAAATAGATGAATTTTAATTTTTATCGTATATTAAGTGAATAAAAAAAATAGCTTAATGCGCAACCTACCTGTAAATTCATCCTCCCATTCTAAACCAGGGTTAAGATTGTACTCGTCTTGATAAAAAAGAACAATCAACAATTAGCTTTTCGTGTATTTTTTTGTATATAAATTTGAAATTCTACAATTTTTTTTGATGGCTAAAATTTTAATGCGATTTTTTTGGACAAAACTGTAGAATTTAAGATCAATTAGAGTTCTTTTTACACGTTTTTCCTTAAAAAAGAAAACTATACGACCAATTAAAGTACAAGATGATTTTTCAAGTAAAGAAATTTGGAAATATTTTCTCTAAATCTCCTGGTTTAATATTAAATTCACATTGCGTACATATTTTTTAAACTATTAATTAATCAACCTGTACTATGGTCTTTAGATAATGTTTCAACGTGCTGTTAGTTGTTAAGCTTCAGTTATGTAAGTTAGTTTATATACAGAGAGTAGAAAACTCACGATTAAAAATAAAAGAGAAAAAAATACTGAATGTATCCCTGGTTTTTGATTAAATAAAAAATAAAAGCATTTATCGTTTTAATCGACACAAAAAGCGTTTTGTTTAGTATACATGTGCTCCTTGTCCCCCACATAAAAAATCTAGACGAGATACAGTGTACAAAAATAAGCCTTATAAACGATATGTGAAAGGATATTTTAGGAATAAAAAAGAAGGTTTTGTAGCGATTTTGTTTTGAAACTCAAGACACCTTTAATAATCTCATTAGCCAGAGAGAAACAGAGGATTTTACTTTTTTTTAAGCGTAAAATCCACTTTTCTCTATATCGAAACCAAAAAAATTTATAAATTTAAACGAGAATAATGTAATTTGTACCAGAATTGACTTCAATTAGAAACGACAAACAAAGGGAAGGAAAGCTTAGAGGCTTACTAAATAAAAGTCGACTTACCGTAGTAATCGGTCGCATGGGCTGGGAGTACAAAAAAAAAATAAATTAAACATTATTTCAACCAAGATATTTTGTTCACATTGAGGCTCAAATTTTTTCTATCACCAAGATCCCTAATTTTCGAAAAGAAAAACACAAAACGCAACCAGTTATGAAAAAAAGTAGAAAAACATTCCACTTCTTAGTTGCCCATAAGGAAAAATAAAAGAAACTAAACATGTTTATTGCCGTGTGTGCTGGAATTAAAACATATAAAAGCGAACAGAAGAGGAAAATAAAAAGAAAATACGAATGATATCCCTAAAAATAAATCGAGACTAGAAAATAATTCGGTGCACATGGTTTTAGTAAAATATTGATGTAAATGTCGTTATTAATCTTGGTATAAAGTTAATGTATAAAATCAATTGATCGAAGAAACAATTTATTATTTTGTTACAAGAAATGTTAACCATTAGCAAAAGTATGTACACATTCTAATATTGCAAAGAAATCAATTGCAGGATTACTGCAAATTCCTTTGCAACACCAGAATTCCATATTAAACCTTCCAAGATTAATTAATTCTCTTGTATATCTAGAAAAATAACATCCAGAAAAATCGATTATACGAATGCTATTTTTCCTAATCGAGAGAATATATTCATTAAATTTTTACAGAAGTGTAGAATTGGTGACATTAATAAAATTATAATAATTAGAACATCGAATAATAGTATGATTTTTTTCGTGCACACCGTACCTTTCCTTGGCCTCCACCAGTCCTCCATGTAGCCTTTAAGTGGGGAAGAAGAACATGAAGATCCTTGTTAGCATTACAATAATTAACTTATGTCACTTAATACTAAGAATACCCAGATTTATCAATGGCAGTTTCTTTCCATTCATCTACTAAATGATCTTTGTTCGAATTATTTTTTAGATGATAATTAATAAAACTGCCATTTTTTAAATGCAATTTTCCAATAATTACGAGCAAAAGTTTACTTGGAAAATATTCTAAGGTTCAAGGAATTGTTGTGAAATGATGGCACCGATTAAAAAAACCAAAAGCTAATAGGTAGCAAATCTAAGGTAATCTAATCTAATACAAGCTTGAAAAATGGACTAAAAACTCACACGACTTTCTCCACAATCCCAAATCTTCGGCGGCGCAAAAAAAACACGAAAAAAAAAAATCAGTTTTTAAATCATTTATCAAGCGTGTCCGTGAGGGAGAAAACGAAAACACAAAATACCCCGTTACTCGAGATTTATAAACAAGAAACGTATCGGAACAATCCTAAAAATCAAGACACCAAATGAAAAATTTGAGCCACCAAATCACAAAATTAAAAAATAAGCCAATCTAATTCAATAGGAATCATTGTCACTAATGCACTATAAGAAATTGAAAATATTACGGATTGTAATGACAAATTTGTGGAAAGCGAAATAACAATTTTAGAGCCCTAAATTATCTGTTCTTTCCACATATTTGATAATAATACAGCAACAAAAAATAACACAAACTTACCATCTCTAACATCGTGATGTCCAGAGGTCGTAGTTTGAGTTTGCTTCGTATAAACAACAACTTCTTTCGGAGGAATGTTTGTCGATTGAACGGAAACTACAGTTAATTGTGGAATTTTTCTCTTCAAAGCTGTTACACTGAAAATAAATTCACCAAATCGATTACTACGTAATATATTCGAACAAAATGCTTACTTATTGGGTAGACTATTAGGCTGCAACGAAGTCTCCGGGGTATGGTTCCTGCTGGGCTCGGGCGTGAGGGAATTAGCGCTGGAAATGCTGGAGAATACATCGGATATGGGGGCAACGCCGACTTCTCGCATCAGATCGTCCAGTTCTTTCCTATCGCCCCCGCTCAGGACGGTCCGGTGGGATGCATCTTCGATATCCTTGATTTCCTTCTCGCGGCGACGTCGGTCTTTCTCCTCGCGAAGGGCCTGCAGCTTGGCCTTCTTCCTCTCCAATTCCGCCTTTCTGTCTGCCATACTCGGTTTTGGTCTATCTAAAATCACGTCCATTTTGACGATTAGAAATGCACTTGCAACAAATTGTGAGTCATGGAAATGTAGAGAGACATTTCGCATTACACATGCGTTCCAGCCATACCGAAAATCAATTCTTTTGAGTCGGCTATTTAGTATTTTAGTTCGTTTCGCACAGACGTGGGGTTTTTGCGGTTGTTTTAAGTTAAGATTAGAACGCCAAATGTGATGGGAAATTACCGTTATGTAAAATTTAATGAAATTTCGAATACTTACTTACAATGTATGTTTGTATAATAAATTAATAAGGTATACTACAATTGCACTATATTATAAATATAGTGTTTTAGTAAAAAAAGGCCGATAAAAAATATTTATTCCAGAACGCCCAACTGTCATCTACACACCATTTTTCATTCCATTGATGACGTAATCGGCTAAATGCTAATTTATTCTTTAAATTATATCGAGCTGTAATATTACAGATTAATCAAGAAAATTATCAATCACCCCAATACTTCCAAATAAAAGACGATTTAAACAATATTATTATTATATATTATAGAAAAACTGGAATCAAATAAAATATATTCAAATTTCAAGGTTGGCTAACTGTCAATGTCACGTCAATAATGACAGAAAAAATGACATAACTAATGGCTGGATAGCTAGTATCTATCATTTTAAAGAAAAAGAAGAAATTTTAAATTTTTACCGTAACCACAAAATAATTCAAAACTCACAAAGTTACAAAATATTCCTTTTCTTTTAATTGTTACTTGTTATGATTAATGCCAAACTAACTCATTGTATGTTGAAATGGATGAAATAGAAATTTGTTGCATAAGTTCTGAAGAAAGTGCAGATGAAGAACCAACCACAAGTAAATCTACTAAAAATATCACTCCAACACAAACGACTTTTAAAAGAAATATATACGACCTAAATGAATTAGAAGATGATGATATTTGCACAGAAAATACCGGTACCAATACAGGTAGCTGCGATGATTATTTGAAAGAGCTTATTCAAAAGTATTCACAACAATCTCCATCATCGAGTACGAGCAATACAAAGAGAAATAACGTATGTTCTTATGATGAATCATTTAACTTCCCAACTTGTAGTAGTAGTACAGAAGAAAGACTTAATGAAGATGTTGAATATTACAATTCGTCACAAACAACAGAATCATCTCCAAAATCACCTGCAAAAACTTACGAATTACTATCTAGTTCAGATGATGAAAATGATAATTCAATAGAGAGGAAAAAGATAAAACAGTCGAATGGTTACAGAACTAAATCTCCATTGAGAGAGAACAGAAGTATAGAAAAAATCAGTAAAAAAGAACAATTGGAAATAGAAAGAACGAATAAAAGGAATGAAAAAATTAGGAAAAAGGAGCAGTTATTGGAAGAAAAAGCGTTGAAACAAGCACAGAAAATTGTTGATAATAGTTGCAAACAAGCTAATAACTTAAAGGTTCATATTACACACTTAAATCAAACTTTCGAAATTATTAAATTTATCAATATTTTAGTATATCACGATAAACATGGACAACTCGATTTGTGATGACTCGAGATATGGTGGGTACCTCAGAGACTACTTTGATGAAAATAAAATTACATACAAAATAAAAACCACTTTACCAGGCTTGATAAGTTGGACGAGAAAAATTCTTTCCCTTGAAAATGAGGCATGTTATACCTATACTTACTATTTCTATTAATAATTAAAACAATTTTAGAAAGTTAAAGAAACGGAAACTCCCGAACAACATTACGCAGTTATTATAAAACCAACAGCATTTGGAAATTTATTGAGTTGTATACAAAGTATACAGAAACAAGTCAATTTCAAGCATTTGAGTATAATAATTTACGGCCAGACTAAACCTAATCCAACTCAAGAAGATGAAATGACTACTATTACATTGCAATTTCCGACATATTGGCAATTTGTAACAACTAATGAAAATTTAGGAAACTTTTTATTCATGTTGACGAAATCAATTGCACAGAAACCACATGAGTAAGTATCAGAATTACTGAGGTTAATCTCAATACAGTATAAGCATTGTTTATATTCATTTTAGGATGAACCAAGAATTGCAATACGATTACTACGAAGACTGTAATAGGAAGAAAATTAAAGTAGACAAAGATGGTTCCGGGATGGGGCAATTATGGCGACAAATGTTAACGATGTTCCCGTTAGTTCGATTAGAAACTGCAGAAGCCATAACAGCAGCTTATCCCACTCCAAGTTCTTTGTTTAGGGTATTTTGTTATACAATGTAGGTGAAATAGTTTTATATTTAACAATTTTAGGCTTTTGAAAACTGCACCGAATCACCTGAGGAACTCATTCAAGATTTACCCATTAGAAGGGCCCATGGACCTTCGGTTGCTAATAAAAAGGTAGGAATTAAACTTAGTACAAAATGTTTTAGATATTTTACGTTAAAAGACGACGATTTAGTGTAAACGCATCAAAACATGCAAAGCATAACAAGGAACGTTTTTATCATTTCCAATTTATATAAATTAGAATTTTATTTTACGTCAATAATACAAAAATCTAACTAAACTCTAAGAATAATTAGTGGACTAATGACAGAAACTTACAAATCACAAAACTAATTGTAAGTGAAAACACATTTATCTTAAATAATTCATAAATACAAATCTAGGTTTCTTGAGTTTCCATACTCTCATCGCCATCCGCTTCCATATCTTCATCATCTTCCTCGCCCTCTTTCTTCTCCGGTGGATTCTCGTAAGCTTTATCCAACGGAGAAACCACAATTCCATCCCAAACCGTCAATTCTTGCGCTACAAAACCAAAAAAATCCAATTGAAATTACTCGCACAAAACCCCACAAACCAATCCTCACCTATATTCGCGTTTCCTTCCAACCCAAGAATGTGTTTGTAACCGCCATGGGCCAACACACGGACGACCGATTGCGCCGTAAGACAGCAAATATCCTGCTGTTCGAGGGTCATAGCGGTGTGTATCCTTAAACTAACCCCTTCGCAAGGATCCGTGATTCCAGCGGAGCCGGGCAGGAACAAACCGGCAGCGAGCAACTGGAATACCCTCCGGAAAGCGACGTTCAAAGGCAACGCCTGCCTGCTCGGATTGTGCATGATGGCGAAATGCGCCAAGAGGTCCAGCATCCAAGGCGTGAGCGGCTCGAAGCCTTCGTTCCTGCTGCGCACGTCCCTCAGTAATCTTATGAGGACTTTAATCGAGGAATGATGCGCGTTCTCTTCGAACCACCGGCTGTGACGTATGGCCGCCAAATGGCTCAGCATTATCTTCTGATCCAAATGGATCTCGGGATCGAGTTTCCGGATGTTGTGGTGCAGCGTGGTGACCATGACTCGCACGCAAGCGAACGAGTTGCTTATTTCGATGCCCCGTTCGTTGGTCATGTGCTGTAGTTGTTCGCCTTTTTGGACTATCTCGTTTTTCATGAGGTTTCGCAGATCGTCTCGTACTTTGTTGCCTAGAGCTTCGACCGCTTCTCTCGTCGGAAGTGTCTTGAGGATGACGACTATGTCGGCTATGTTATGGCCGGTGACCATCGTACCTTTCTTGAACGAGCCTACTTGTCGAACTTCATCTAATTGCTACAAAAAATCGAAATTTATTCAATGCTGTTCGAGTTTAATAGTAGTATACTTACACAAGCATCGAAATTCCCCGGTGCTACTACCAAATTGTCCAGAACCGTCTGGATTTTCGTTACCAAGTTCAAAATAGCAGTTTGCTCGGCGGGCGTGGGGGACAAATCGGAGTTCCTCTTGAGCAAGGCCTGCGTGAACGAACTATCATCGGGGGCTGGTTTGGTCCTCGAAAACGACGATTCGCATAGCGCTAGATCGAACGGGTGCCTCGGCAGGAACATTTTCACTTTGAACGGAGGGCGTCCGCCGACGCTGCGATTCATGCCGCCTCTACCACGCATCCCTCCTCTGGCCATCTTGATGCTACAACAGATCCGCTTAGGTTAACTTTTTGGCTGTGATTCGTTTTCACTATTCAATTGAACGTTAAGTATTTACTTTTATTGATTTAATTATCCGGTAGGATATCTCGCTGTCTCGCAAATAGAAGGTTAATTGAATTCCAATCCAAAATAAAAGGTAGGGGAACAAAGCGACACGACAGATGACAGATGACAGTGACTTGACAGATAACTGTTTGTAACTGAATAACTAGTTGATAAAGTATATGGAAAAAAAAGAAGAAAATTAATTTAGCAGCTGGTGTATAGATAGCGTTAGTGTCTTTCTTTTCAAATTAATGAAGAATTTTTCAAGATATTCTTTATTTGGAAAGTTTATAAAAAAAACTTACGTCACTTGCGGTTAGGAAGAATTCTCATAGCTTTAATGAAGAGTAACTGTAATAAAGAGTAGTAGAAGTTTCATTCATTCTTTATTGAGGTTTGAAATAATTAGAATTTTAAATTTGTCTTTTCATTCCGAAACTCTTCCACTTCCCGGCTCTTTTACTTGGTGGTTGGAGATATAAAAAAGCCCGAATTGAGAAATCATTGATACAGATCTAACGAAATCGCGATATGCTGATTAGACGGAAAAAAATCTAGAGATACGCCGGGCTAGAAGAAGGAAAATGCATTTGCCAGCGCTTTTCACTTCAGTTAGTCTTCCGATTTCGTTTTCTCGTCCTTCCTTTCCGAGACTTTCCCGCCTTCTTACTCGCCTAGAATGCTTTTCTTTCATTGTATCTTTCCAGTTGCGTTCAGGTCAATGAAATGAACGCATTGGCGTGTAGCTTAAAAGAAGTCTTTATCATCTTTTTTTTAAGTATAATAAAATAGAAAAGGTATCGCTTTAGTTCACCGTGATAAATTTTAGTTAATAATTCAAATTCTAATCGATGAAGTTGCAATAGCTTCAGCATCGGTTCCAACTCAATTCCAACTTTTTCTGCGATCTCCAATCTCGGTAAAACTGTTTAAACTTACTTACCTATTTAAACTTAGCGGAAATCCAATTCCACACATAGGCAAAAGCCGAATTCTCGGAAAACGAAATACGAGTATATTTTCAATTTGAAAGTTTCAGTTTCGCCAGACTTTCCGCCGAATCGTTTAGCGACAAAACATTCAAATCGGCCCGATTAATTTTTAATCTCGAATAGTTTTCCGGCACAATGTTAATCCGTCTTCGAATCACGCGCCTCGAATTTGCATTATTCATCGAATTCATGACGACTCTGTAATTCAATTGTAGCGTATATTGTAGCACCCGGAGCAGTTAATATGGAAATGAACACTATACGGCAGCCGAAACTGAAAGTTACCGCGCCTCTACCGGCTACTGCCCTTTAGAGATTACATTGTCTCCACTAGGGCAATCCTGACAAGTTTAAAACTAATACGGTCCGGTAGATTAGCTTCAAAGTGGATATGAATTATTGTTGTAGCTCATAGCACTTGCAAGAGTTTGTTAGAAGTGTTCTATCTACATTATTTTCATATATACTCCAAAAATTCATAAAAATACATTTCCTGTATTTGCATTGTTGTGTTCTCAAAAAATACTGAAGAAATTTTTCTCAACGCTAACCATTTTGTATGGCAAGTGATGGTGGAATTGACTAATCTAATATCTTCTATAAGAAAATGTGTTTATTAGGAATTGGAAAATTCGCAAACGTTTTTAATTTCATTAAACCGTTCGCATTGGCTGTTTGGGCCTCTTGTTTCCGACTGAACTTCCGGAATAAAGTATGAGATAACCGCCGTCGCCTGGTGGAATATGAGCGGAATATTAGAGAACGCCGGTTCAGTCTTTCTGGCTGTTTGTCCTTCCCGGTTGTCGTATCTCGCAGCCAGGATAAAGAGTGAACATTCGAGGAGAATGCACGCTACAGTTTTACGATAGCAACATCTGTGTCGAAGAGATAACGTCCTTGCTCCTTCCAGATCTAAAAGGATATACTCCGAAACTCAAATAGGTTTTACAAGAGAAACAGTTACAAAATATCTGGATGGAAATAAAGCGAGTCTCGTCGGGATTGTTGATGGAATTACCTTCGCTCGAAGACTTTGTTGTAAATTTATCTTTTCAACAATTTTGTTTCCGCGCTACTACCCAGCTCTTATTATTATTAACATTCTAGTAGTGCGAGCGTTATTGTAGAAGAAATGTAAAACACCCCCATGCGTCATTGCTTTAATATTGAAACGGGGCTTCTCCGAGGGCTCGCCAGTAATAAAACCTCCGAAGATGAGATCGAATAAACTGCGAAATGTTGTCACAAATCATATTTAATACGGGGTGAAAATTGTGAAGCAATCCCGAGCCGCGCCTTTATCGCCATGTTAAGTAATACAAATGGGCCTTCGTATCCCAATAGAGATTACACCGGGGCTTTCCTTCGACGATCCTTATCTGTATAGGACGCCCCGAATTACGGTAATTTACCATACAAGTTTTTGATATACACATACGTACCGGTCGTTTAATTGTAAAGCATTATTCGTTTGGGTTAATATAATTTTCAATTACCTCCATTTCAAATAAGTTTATTCATGAAAACGGGCAAATAGCCCTTTCGGTATATATTCCACAACTGGGATGTCGCCTCGAATTTCCTCGTCGAAATTGTCATTACTAGCCGTTATTCAACAACGTGGAGTACACACCAGTAAACCAAACACATACACATCTGGTCAAGAGCGTTTGAATTATTTAGAACATATCTAACGGTACTCGGCGAAGCTATTGCAGCATACCGACCCGTCAACACATCATCTCTGTTTGTGACACTTGCAGAATACGACATCGGTGGAAACGAGAGAAATACGTAATATTTCGAGACACATCAAGCGCGTATTGCTCGACTGGTAATCGTTGAATTATACGAAATATTTCACCTTCGCTTAATTTTTTCTTTCTATTACCTAGTAAATTTTTTCGTTAAGTTAATTATAAATTAATCCGGAATTTTATTACCTTCCGATTCGTTATTATCTGTTTTAATTGCAAAGTGGATGCGCCGTAAAACTCCGTGTAGTATTGTTAAGTGTTATTTATGTTATTTTCAATTGGATTTTCCAATTATTGAGAACATTTCCATAAGCTGCCTGTAGACGTGTAAGCGAATTTAGTGCTACCCGATAGCCGAGTTTAAGCTCTGTTCGGTAATTAAGATTAGAGGCGGCGTTAATAAAGTGATAAAATTATAAATTAAATATTTTGCGCAAACATGGGACAGATAAATTTAAATTGCGGGATACACAAATACTCGGAGATAATTGGAGAAGTCCGAGTGTGTCTTCGCTCGATCCATCCCGTACCCGAAAAAATTTAATTTTATTGTACCAGTAGCGGGAGTGAAACGTTGAAACTTTTCAACTTTTAACGATCCTCGTACTGATAGGAGCTTTGGCAAAGAGAGAGCAAAGCACACCAGCCGGAGCTTTTGAATCGAAGAAGTTTCTATACCGAAAACTCGGCAAAGTTTCTCTATTATTTGCTCCTCTAAGGCCTTCAAGGTAGTATCTTGCTTTGTGTTATCGGATGCAACGAATAATGGTATGTCAAAACTTTTAAGTTACTTCGTCTTCTTCTTCTAGTTTTCAGCGACTTGGCAGAGATTTATCATTTTTGGGTGTTTGATTTATTGTGAACGATAGCCGTGAAATATAATCATTTTATATGCACTAATTCCTATTAAATTGTAGATACTATAACAAACAAGTTACCTATACATCATTATTTTTTATTATTTTGTACAATCAGTACTTCGATTTGTTTCTTTTATGTGAAACCGCGCGGCTATAATCAAAGAACTTTCGAAACCAAATTTTCTTGAAATTATTATTAGGAAGAAGGAACGCGACAAACAACGCTGGATATGCTGGCGAGGATCTTTCTACTTTGAGAGTAAAACCTTTCACTCCGGTTACCTTGTTCGTTGCGGCTCACGTTTTTCTAAAAGTACGTAAATCCGCAGATTTAGGAAGGTAGACAAAAGCTGGAAGAGCGAAGTACAAAGCTCAGATTTACTTAATATGCAAACCAGGCGAGCAGCCGGAGCGTCGCGGAGCCTTTTCAGACGAATTTTATGTAAAATACGTAGTATATTAGTGTTGCGATTGAAAAAGGCATCTTTATTAAGTTCGCTTTCCCTTTTTGGAAAAATTTTAATTTATGTATACTTGGAGGGAACGACGGCGAGATGCTGACGATTTACGAGCTAAGCGGCGTATTATAATAAAAAAATTGAGATCCCGTAAAGACTAGTTTCTGCGAAAAAAAAAGACATGGAGAGATTAGAATGTATATCAAAGCTTTAAATCTGCGGAGCGCCGTTAAAGAATCTCGAAGCAAAAGCTAAAGATAATTGCCGGTGCCGCCTCCGGTGAAAAAAATGTTAGTGCATATCTGGGAGCCATTCGGCCCTCGAAAACGTCTTCTTGTTTGCAGAGAACTAAACCGCTTACAAAGGATCTACTGTGGCAAGAGTGAGGTCTTGTCCTGAAGGACCCCCCAGGCGATCATATCCACTTTTAGCTCGACGTAAACGTACAAGAGGCCATTTTGCACCGCGATTCAAACTGATACCCATTCGAATTGTTTCCCGCTATACCCGCTAACCGGTCAGATTTTATCGATTCTATCATAATTTCTTGATTTTTTACGATTTCCGCATTGAAAAAAATTCTCACGGTCGATTGAAACTAAAATTTCTCCTTGCGCTGTTAATACCACGGCGAGAACGATACCGCACAAAACTGTAACAAGTGGTTTTACTGGTATCGATGAGCCAACGAAGATATAAAATTTTATTACCGGCAATACGAGAACTCACCTAGAATTTCCAAGTATCTGCCATAATAAGTCTGTCTAGACCAATGATGGCATTTTAAAACAACACAAGTTCTTTAAGGTTCACTGAAAATTACACTATAATAAATTTAGCTCAATTACTTCAAACTCTCAAGTAGCTGGTACTAAATTAGAGTCTTTAAATCTTACATCAATACTTAGAAAGATGTTATTTGCAGTGAGTTATATTGTTATATTCTTTAAAAACTATAGTACAATTATCTTTTAGTATACATATTGTGCCTTTATGAAAATCGTATAAACATATTTTTTGATATAGAATTAATAATAACAAAG